CTTAGTTTCTTTAACTGTAAAATTAGAACAAAAAGACCTTATCTCTTAGGGCTGTTGTGAGGATTCAAGATATATTTAGGATAACTCATTGGGAGCCTACTACATGCCAGGAACTGTGCCAATTAGCTCTACCCTTATAGTAATCTTGGCACATAAGAGGTACTCAACAAATGATAATTATTATTATTTAACTAAACAATTCAGATAAAACATACAGACCAAGAAAATCTTCTTAAAGTTTCTTTAAACTTTCTTTGAACCAAATCTTGAGGTAAAGTACACGATAGCATTCCACATTCTTTTAGAGTGCTTTACTTCTATTTCTGACCAAGTAAAAACAGCTTAAGAAAAACACCCACATCCCTCCTTTAGCATATTCTCTTATTTCCCTTCTTTTATATTTTCTTTTCCACTTCTTTCCTCCTTTTCTCAGGGGTTGGGGGAGGTGTGATGATAAAGAGGAAGAGAGGGGGTTGGATATTAGAAATAAAGAGGGGCCAAGAAAGATTGTTTTACTTATCCCCCTCTGGTTGAACAGAATACGGCCTATAGCATATCATTGAGGGTAAAACCCAGAACAGCCTGACCTCCCAACCTCAAATTTGGGTGATGGGGTCATGAAGCATAGGTTAGGGTGATGGTAGGGCAGATGATATCTTTCTGGGAGTGGGATGTACTTAATCATGACTGTGAGGCTAAAAGAGCATAACTTTGAAGTCAAAGATACCAGGATTAAAATCCTGGCTCTGTTTTTGTTTTTAAATATATTGTTATTTATTTCAGAGAGGAAGGGAGAGGGAGAGAAAGATAGAAACATCAATGATGAGAGAGAATCCTTGATCAGCTGCCTTCTGCATGCCCCACACCGGGGATCAAGCCCACAACCCGGGCATGTACCCTGACCGGGAATCAAACCCGTGACCTCCTGGTTCATAGGTCGATGCTCAACCACTGAGCCACAACAGCCGGGCTAGCTCTGTTTTTTAATTGTGTGATTGAGTAAGTACTAAATACTCTGAGCCTCTGTTTTCTCTTTTATAAATTAGGAATAATATCTATCTGAAATACTTGTTGGAGTGGGGACCTTGAGGGGCCTGGGCAAAGGCAAGCTTGAGGGACAATTGGTAGTTGTGGTATTTTTGACTTGATAAGGGGTAAGCTTACAGATAAAATTTCTGAGAAGGGGTCCAATGAGGAGAAAAAGACAGGGTGAGCATGCTCAAGAATAAGGAAGATGCTTTGAGATTAGGGAAAGATAGTGAGAAAAGAATATTGCCAAAAGAATTTTGGAGAAAGAGAAGAGATGGTTTTAAAAAAAGGACTATGTTTAACAAGTCTTGTTAAGTAATTCATCCCTTTTGTTTCCTCCAAAAGTATGCAGAAAAATCTACATTTTTTTCCACATTTTGAGATGGAATTCTAGAGTTTTTTGGGAGCAGGGGAAGGATGGAGGAACATACTGAGAACACCTTCATAGAAAAAACAGGAAGGCCCAAGGAGGCTGAGTGAATTACATAAGATAATGCATGAAAGACCTGGCCATGGTAAGCAATCAATAAATATAAATTCTCTTCATTTTGATGGAGAAGAATATAAGTTCAAATGACAAGGTCACCATTCTAGTAACCCTGGTTTAATATTTTTCTCTAACTATATTGCCTCTTAATTTATGCTAATGATGTTGAATCAGGAGACATCCCTAGAGAATAAACTGACTTCATATTTATGAGACTGCAAATGTCTTAAGATGACTTTTTGTTTTAGCAAGACAAATACACAAATGAAATAAGACCACTATCATGGTCTTATTCATTCCTCATCTTATTATTTACCCTGGTGTGCAGTTTTATAGCCTGACTAGAGGCCCAGTGCATGAAATTCCTGTACTGGGAGTGGGGGGTTCCCTCAGCCCGGCCCATACCCTCTCGCAGTCCAGGACCCCTTGCTTCTTACTGCTCCTCCCCACCCCCTCACTGGCTGCTCCTTACCACTCAGCTTGCTGCTCTTTAGTGCTGCCACAGAGGCGGGAGAGGCTTCTGCCACCACTGCTGCACTTGCCAGTCGTAAGTTCAGCTTCTGGCTGGAGCGCACTGACTACCAGGGGGCAGCTCCTGCATTGAGTGTCTGCCCCCTGGTGGTCAGTGCGCATCATAGCGACTGGTTGTTCTGCTGTTTGCTCAATTTGCATATTGGCCTTTTATTATATACTAGAGGCCCGGTACACAAATTTGTGCACACGTCAGGGCTGGCAGGCCAGGGGGAGGGGATGCAGGAGGTTGGCTGGCCACCCCCAATCAGGGGGCGGGGGCCGATCGGGGCTTGGGTGGGCAGGGTGAGGGGCCGCAGGAGGTTGGCTGGCCACAGTGTGTGTCATAGTGACCAATCATTCCGGTTGTTCTGGTCATTCTGGTCGCTTGGCTTTTATATATAGAGAGGATATTCTGACTTTTTATCTCTAGCCCAGGGGTGGGCAAACTTTTTTACTCGAGGGCCACAGTGGGTTCTTAAACTGGACCGGAGGGCCGGAACAAAAGCATGGATGGAGTGTTTGTGTGAACTAATATAAATTCAAAGTAAACATCATTACATAAAAGGGTACGGTCTTTTTTTTCAATAGTTTTATTCATTTCAAACAGGCCGAATCCGGCCCGCGGGCCATAGTTAGCCCACGGCTGCTCTAGACCTTCATCAGTTGGATTATTCTAGTTTTAAAATCTGTATCTGTAAGCTTTGTCTAGGAGCTACTGCTCTGCTGTATCACATGGTAGCTCCTTGCCTCTATAATTTTGTTTCTTTTTAATACACTGTGCCATCAAGTATAATGCATGGGCTATAAGCCTCAATTATTGTCAGCACTTGGGGACTCATCCTAATTATAGTGACATTTCTCTGACAGGCTCCAGGCAAGCTGTAGCTTGGAGTTCAACACTGAGAAACAAAGGTATTTTCTTTATGGGAGGTTTTCTAATAGCATTTGGAATCCTTTAGTTTAAAACTGTCTTTTTTTTTCATTTAGTGTGGTAATTTATGTGCCTTATATGAAGACATGCATTTAATTTGTATTGTTATAATTTAAAATACTTTAGAATATACTAATTATGGAGAGCCTTGTTTCCTTACAACTCAGTTAGGTGGAGGAGATAATGTTTCAAAGCAGATTCACCCAGCAAAAATACTAGCTTCTGTTACCTTCTCTGGCTCTCTACCTAGCTCATCCTCCTATATAATAAAAGGCTAATATGCAAATCAACCAAACAGCAGAATGACCAGTCACTATGACACGCACTGACCACCAGGGGGCAGATGCGCAACTCAGGAGCTGCCCCCTGGTGATCAGTGCACTCCCACAGGGGGAGTGCCACTCAGCCAGAAGCCAGGCTTACAGCTGGCAAGTGCAGCGGCGGCAGCGGGAGCCTCTCCCACCTCCATGGCAGCGCTAAGGATATCTGACTGCTGGCTTAGGCCCGCTTCCTATGGGGAGCGGGCCTAAGCAGTCAGTCAGACATCCCTCAAGGGATCCCAGACTGCAAGAGGCACATTTTGTGCACCGGGCCTCTAGTTTCATTATAAATCTCCTCTCCGACTCCTTAAATTATTCCCTTTTTGTCACCTCTCTATTTCTCCTGTCATTGTCTTACTGGAGTCAATTCAAAATGGTTTTATTCTTTTTGAAACTTTCTACAAATATAAGAAAAAAAACCCCTACCTGTGACCTAATTCCCACTGATTTCCTTTGCCTTCTAACTCCAGATAGACAGTGTTGGCCTCTTCATTGTTCCCTCCCCACATCTGAAGAAAGAACATTGCTCTTTAACTTGAACTGTTTTATTTGAATGCAACCCACTGAGCCAATGAGTCATTTTCTCTTTTTAAAGCAAGCCTGAAAAATCTTCCATTTCTCTTCAGTTTAAAATTATTCTGTTTGTGAAGTGTTTTATGTCCTATGTATAAAGATACCCTATAAAACAGAGAAGATTGCCTTCCCCACTCAATGACTAACAACAATGGGTGCCCTACCAAGACTAAAATTTTGAGGTAAAGGAACATCATTTAGTTGTCTTTTTTTATGGAGGCAAGGCACATAGTCTCTTGTTCACTAGTGAATTTCCAGAATCTTGATATACATTTTCAATAAATATTTATTTAATGAATTTAATGACTGATTTCCCCCCCTCAATCTTTTAAATTGCTTAATATAATTTGTGTAGTTAGTCTTTTCACATTGGAATCTCCTGTGATCAAAAGAGTATTGAAAAATGAGAGATATATCAAACTGCAGAAGGTGCAGCAATACTCTTAGGGTTAATTTAGAAAATGCCTAATGAGAGACACATTCATTTCAGTACAATTTGCAGAATCTGCACTAGCATATCAAATATCATCTAATATATATGTCAATCTCCATTACATTTATTTTATAATTGGAAGTTTGGGGAATGTAATAGACAGCAGAGTGACTGCAGTTAATAATAAAAAATAATATATGTCAGTGACTCATTTATCTGTTACTCTCTGATATACTGACTCAGTTTTCAAGTGATATCACTATGTTTTGCAACCATCAGAGTAATAATTGATGGAAGCAAAAATCTTCAACGGATGTTGAAATGATTGGGTGAAAGCTTATCATAGAACAAGGTATTTACACCAGTCTCAAAGTATAACCTCACAAATTACTTGTTGATTACAAAGGGGAAAAAGTCTTTTACAATGCAGAAATTTTGTGAACACTATCTTAACCACATGATCAAACTTAACATCACTAATAATGGGACAAACTGTCCTATAATTTTCCTGCCAAAATTATTAAATAATGAGAAAAAAATCAACCCCAATTTGAGGGACATTCAGAAAAAACAGTTTGCCTGTGATCTTCAAAAATGTCAGTGTCATAGAAGTCTAACACCAAAACTGATTATATTGGAATTGTTTTCTACTCTACACTTTAATCCTTTGTTATTAACCTTTTTGAAATACAAAAGCAGAATATTGGGGCTTACGTCATAGTTGCTCCTGGATCAGCAGTCATTTGATTGGTCACAAACACAGCCACATTATATTCTGCATCAAGAAATAAAATTAAGAAACTAAGATAATGGCAAAGTAAATATAAAAAGTTCTTTGCTTAGATTTCAGAGGTTAGGAATATTGTAGCTTATTTTATAAACAAAATTATATTCCTATTTTTCCTTAATTAAATAAATTGAGTCAAAGTTATTATTATTATTTTTTAAAAATATATATTTTATTGATTTTTTACAGAAAGGAAGGGAGAGGAATAGAGAGTTAGAAACATCGATGAGAGAGAAACATCAATCAGCTGCCTCCTGCACACCTCTTAATGGGGATGTGCCCGCAACCAAGGTACATGCCCTTGACCGGAATCGAACCTGGGACCTTTCAGTCTGCAGGACAATGCTCTAGCCACTGGCCAAACCGGTTAGGGCAAAGTTATTATTATTACTTAGGTACCTTATTGTATTAGAATCAATATATATATTTTTTTTAAAGAGCGGTATTCCCATGAGAGTAATTTTAATTTTAGAAAATGTATTGCCTCCTGATATTATTCTGAGTTTCTCTGCAAAGTCAACTCAGGAAACAGTCACAGATGCTATTCTGATAGTGCAATTTATTAAAATCTACCTTCTGAGATTTTTTGGAGTCGTGATAACATCTGGGCCAATTTTTGTTGTCGTTCAGCCAACTCCCCACGACCACTGAAATCCACTCGAAAAAGGGCCATTATCGAATCAATGATCTGCACAGAATTCATGTAAAAATAAATACGCATTTGGAAAGGAAGAAGTTAATATTAATCAGAATCAATAGAAGAAAAATAATATACTAAATAACTCTGTGAATGAGCAATATTTAAAGGCTTGTACCAACAGCTTGAAGATGCCAGCTTCTTCATGGAACTTTGCTGCTACATAGTCAAGTAGCTCCATCTGATGTTCACCTGGTGGGAAATGCAGTGAGAAAATGTTGTAAAAGCTGGAAGAAGCAGAGGTTAAGATCAATTATGTCCTTGGCAGCCAGGCAAAGAGAATCCTAGAAGGATTTCTTTCTATTGTTTATCCTCACTCGAGGATATTTTTTCCATTGATCTTTTTTTAAAATATTTTTTTATTGATTTTAGAGAGAGGAAGGGAGAGGGATAGAGAGATAGAAGCATCAGTGAGAGAGGAACATCATCCATCAGCTGCCTCCTTCATGCACCCCTACCGGGGATAGAACCCTCAAACCCGGGCATGTGCCCTGACCAGGAATCCAACTAGTGACCTCTTAGTTCCTGGGTCAACATTCAACTGTTGAGCCACACCAGCTGGGCTCCATTGATCTTTAGAGAGTGGAAAGGAGGGATAAGGGAGAGAGAGAAAGAGAGAGAAACATTGATATGTGAGACACACATTGATTAGCTGCTTCCTGCATGTGCCCCTACTGGGGCTGGGGAACGTGCAAGCGAGGTACATGCCCTTGACTGGGAATCGAACTGGAGACCCTTCCTTCCGTGGCTGATGCTCTACCAATGAGGAAAACTAGCCAGGGCAGGATTTTCTTTTTTAAAAATATTTTTGTATTGATTTCAGAGAGGAAAGAAGAGGGAGAGATAGAAACACCAATGATGAGAGAGAATCATTGATTGGCTGCCTCCTGCATGCCCCACACTGGGGATTGAGCCTGAAACCTGGGCATGTGCCCTGACCAGGAATCAAACCATGACCTCCTGGTTCATAGGTCGATGCTCAACCACTGAGCCAAGACAGCCCAGCAGGATTTTCTTAGTTATTTAATTATTTAACTTTATTAAATACTAGAGGCCCGGTACACAAAAATTTGTGCACTCAGGAGGGTCCTTCAGCCCAGCCTGTGCCCTCTCACAGTCTGGGACCCCTCGGGGAATGACCACCTGCTGGTTTAGGCCTGCTCCCCGGGGGATGGAGCCTAAGCTGGCAGTCAGACATCCCTCTGGCAGCCCGGGAGCCCTCGGGGGATGTCCCCTTGCAAGCGGAGAGCAGGCCTAGCTGCAGTCGGACATCCTTAGCGCTGCTGAGGAGGCAGGAGAGGCTTCCACCACCACTGTTATACTGGCAGCCGTCAGCCAGGCTTGTGGCTGAGCAGAGCTCCCCCTGTGGGAGCACACTGACAACCAGGGGGCAGCTCCTGCATTGAGCATCTGCCCCCTGGTGGTCAGTGTGTGTCATAGTGACCAGTCATTCCCAGTTGCTCTGATGTTAGGGTCAATTTGCACATTACCCTTTTATTATATAGGACTAGAGGCCCAGTGCACAAAATTCGTGCACTGGAGGGGGGCATACCTCAGCCCAGCCTGTGCCCTCTCGCAGTCCGAGAGCCACCGGGGGATATCCAACTGATGCAGAGGTAGGAGAGGATCCCATCACCACTGCTGCACTTGCCAGCCGTGAGCCTGGCTCAGGGCTTCTGGCTGAGTGGTGCTCCCCCTGTGGGAGCGCACTGACCATCAGGGGACAGCTCCTGCATTCAGCATCTGCCCCTTGGTGGTCAATGCGCATCATAGTGACTGGTCGTTCCACAGTGTGGTCGATTTTCATATTAGCTTTTATTATATAGGATGACTTCATATTCTGCATTAGCATACATGCCAAGTACTACATTATCCATATTACTCTCCATTTCAAAGATAAAGGTAAGAAATAATTTCATGGCATTTTAATATCTAAGCTGGCAGTCAGACATGATGATACAATTTGTGGACTGACTAAATTAATTTGGAGAAAAGTAAAATAAAAAGAGAAAATAACAGTGTCAAAAAGTTGTGACTATCACTCATATAGTAAATCAGTGCTGCCAACCTTAAAACAACCCAAGCTTCCAATTGCTTGGGGTTCTTACTAGTATATGCACGTGCATAAAGCACATTGTCCAGTACTGCATCATGGTCTACATTGAAGCGATCAGCAATGTCCCGGAGGCGATCTGGACGGCTGGAAGGTGCCAAAATTAAGGAACTAATAAAGCAATTTTTAAAAAGTTTAGACAACTACAAAAAATAATACTGTAAGGAAATGAACAGAAAGGCAAAACAATGTACCTGCACAGGTATTCTGGAGGATACTAATAATCACTTCAAATCTACACCACATTTTATTTTTCATAAGTGCCTCAATGAATACCTTAGGTAGTGATAATGGTTAGAGAAATGATAAGGCCGTAAACATTTAAATGTTAAATTACCTAATTTTTACAATAACCATGGAAGCCAGTTGTATGGCCTATATTACATTTTACAAATGAGGACAGGACAGAGATTAAGCAAATGACTCAGGATATGCAGCAAATCAATTACAAGAGAAAAACTAAATATTAAGATTTGTGAATCTCTTTTGTTCTCAATTCTATAATAGATGTATTCTAGGAAGATAATATCACTGAATTATAATTTAAGTTGCTTCAAAGTGAATTAATTCACTCTGTTCATACTCCTCATTGTTCAATATGAAATAGCTTAATATACCATTAATCATGTTTTGCCAGTGAATGGTAAATTTGACTACATGAACCAAAGGGTCAGAAAGGTAACTTCAAAGGTCAAAAGGGAATTACCAACCTTCTTCTAAGGAGTTGTGTTAATTTTCTGAAATTAGTAAATTCATAGGAAAGCAAATTCAGTGTACCTGCAAAGGTATTCTGGAAGATGCTAATTATCACTTAGATCTATCTAAACTGTAAATGAGTAAAAACATTTTTCACCATGTCAGTGTTTACAAAACTTGGTTACTATGTAACCAGAAGTATAAAAATTGTGCTTATGCTGAAGGGAAGTTCAAATCAATCTACAAATATTTATTAACTGAACACCATATGGAATAAATCACCATAATCATAAATTACCAATGCAAGGCATTATGGTGAATATAAGGAGTCTTAAGATAATCCACACCAAAAGGTAAGCATAAAACATAATTAAGTAGGCAAAATATAAACATTAAAAAGAAAAATATCAAGAGAGAACCAAATACATGTAAGAGACACTGGAAGAATGAAAACATTCTGAGGCACTCGTGTGTCCTTGTCCCTCCCTACTCGTTCTTGTACAGGACTTGGCTCCTGTTTCTCTTTACCGTTCTTGATAAAATCTAAATTGCCCAAACAATGGTTTCTAATCTGTAAGAACAATTCCTCCCTCTCCAAGAACCACCCTTAAACAGCTATTTCTGAAACTAGCTGGAGCCCAGCTGAGCTCCTCTCATTACAGCCCTATACAACATTTCAGCCTCCTTCCCCAAGTTAGAAATTTCCTTCAGAGCCTTCTTATGCCCAGTATTTCCAAATAAAGTATTCTGCAAACAGTTCTCTGGTGTTTTTCTTCTACTGGAGTTTTTTTGGGTAGTAAATTTAGAGGATTTATATGATCCAGAAACACTGTGAGGTGGGCATAGAGGGAGCAAATACCCAATAGGATAGAAATATACCATGCAAATTTGTATATGACAGGCCAAATGAACATTCAAGAGTGAGAGCAAAATAATGTATCTTCAGAATGTCAGAGCTCAAGTTTACCACCTCATTACTTTTCTGATAAAATGACCTGAGTGGGTACTCCAGGACAACAGAAATACAGAAAAGATTTGGGATGCAAAAAACAATAATGAATAAAGAAAAGGAGAGTCTTAATAGTTAAGTCTAAATAATTGAAACTCTTCTTTTTGTTTATCCTTCACATCCAGATTTCCTCCTACTTCCTCTATCTCCATGGTTTCTTCTTAAGTCCTTCTTTCTAAATACTGGCATACCCCAAAGTTGTGTTCTCAGTTCTCTCTTCTAAGTTCTCTTGCCCCTTTGGTTATTACATCCATATCTCTAGGTCCTATCCCTTTCTTAAGCTGAGTCCAATGTTTGCAATTGTCATTTGAATGTCTTCCTGTACCTCACATTCAACACATTAAAATGAAAAATCACCTTTTCTCTGAAACATGATCTGCTCAATTCTGTCATTAGCATCATGATTCTCCCATTTTCTACACAAAAAACCTTGTGTGGTTTCTCTCACCTTTCCTTTGTCTACCAAATACAGTCATCAAGTCCTATCAATTTTCCTCCCTAATATTTCTTGTCCTTTTCTTTTTATTCCTACTGCTTCCAACCTAGATCAAGTTCTCACTACTTGCCTAGAATATTGCAAAAGTATCTAATTTACACTCATCATCCATCTGGTTTTAAAGCCCTTTATGTTTAAGACCCAAATCACCTTACCAGCCTTGCATTCTGGAATACCTTCCACTTCAAACAAATTCTTTGTTATCTAAATAGGTTCTGCCCTTTACCCTTCTGTGCTTGTGTTCCTTTCATACATTTCCCCTTATTTTGGACCACACTCTGAATGAATCAATAATCTTCTGTCTAATTATAAGTAAAACTAGAGGCCCGGTGTAAAACATTTGTGCACTTGGGGTGGGGATGAGCGTCCCTCAGCCCAGCCTGTGCCCTTTTGCCCTCGGGGGATGTCGGACATCCTTAGCGCTGCCACGCTTGTGGCTGAGTGGCGCTCACCCTGTGGGAGTGCATTGACCACCAGGGGGAAGTTCCTGTATTGAGCATCTGCCCCCTGGTGGTTAATGCATGTCATAGCGACTGGTCATTGCACCATTCAGTCGATTTGCATATTACCCTTTTATTATATAGAATATTTGGAGAAGAGGATTAAAAATGAATATGTATTTTACTCTCATGTATTTGTTTTGTCAATTTCACAGCAAATCCTTCCAGAGAAATGAAATCTTTTTAAATAAAAAGTGATTTGAGACCTTGACCAGCAATTGTTTTCCCCTTGGCTTTTCTCATTATTGCTGGTTTCTGAGATGATTATAAAAATGATATATTTAAACAAAACTATTTTATAATAACAGTACTAAATCACACTACTATGACAGCAAGTTGTTTAAATAAAAAGGTTACAAAGTATTTTCTGTATCGATGAAGATAATCTTTCCTCCTGAGTAGCCACCTGCTCCTGGAAGTTGAGCTGTCACTAGGAAGCAATTAAGAGTTAATTAATATTAATAGGAATGAATACACTTTATACAAATAAATATATAAATTAACATGGGATTTATGCTGGTTGCAGTTCTTTAGTTAAGCTAGCAAAGAATCATGATCCTTTAGTTTCTAATCAGCATGTTATATTTTTATATTACTAAGCAATGGCAAAATTAAAGCATTCTGCCAGCAGAATAGTAATTCAACAGAGAATGTCAACATCTCTCACAAGGGGAGATAGTCACGAAAGATAGTTCTCCTAAAATATAAAAATAGAATTTACTAACTTTCTTCCTACAAAAAATAATCACAAATATAATTTATGCTGTATAATCCATTTAATATTTTGATTAATTTTAGTCAAAATTTAAAATGCATTTTCTTTCTTATGTAGTGGTAGCTCATACTAAGGAATTATTTTTACATTAAGTACATGCATTATTTCATTTATTTTTTCAAAACAACTGTAAATTTGGTACTATCATTATTCCTATTTTATTTATTTTTATTTTTTATTTATTTATTTTTTTTAATATATTTTATTGATTTTTCACAGAGAGGAAGGGAGAGAGATAGAAAGTTAGAAACATCGATGAGAGAGAAATATCGATCAGCTGCCTCCTGCACATCTCCCACTGGGGATGTGCCCGCAACCCAGGTACATGCCCTTGACCGGAATTGAACCCGGGACCTTTCAGTCCGCAGGCCGACGCTCTATCCACTGAGCCAAGCCGGTTTTGGCCATTATTCCTATTTTATTGATGGGGACAATTAGGAAGGTGAAGCAACTTGCTCAAGTCACACAGCTATTAATGGTAGAGTCAAGAATGAAGCCAGGTATTTTGGTTCCAGAATCCCTTTCTTACCCATTTTGCCATGCCCCTTGTACTTAAATCAAAGAAATGCACAGTAATGTCTTTGTGCAAAAGGAGGTGTTTTACTTACTGTTTTAGAAAAATTTATTTTTAAGTCTGTCTTAGGGCTAACCTTACTCCACGGGATTCTAGGCCTCAATAGATTTTGTGACATTCTTGAAGATACAACATAGAAGATAGAATGGGAAAAATTGAGACAGTGAAACCCTCTCCCCACCAACACACACATATACCCACTTACCTCATCCCTATTTCCATACAGGTGTTCAGAGTGCAGCATATCACCTTAAACCTCACACATTCAAAGACTAGCTTTGGTATCTGTGTAACTATGGGCAGTTAACCTCTCTGAGATTTATTTTCCTTGTAAATCTGTTCAGATTACATGAGATTATATAAAGTATCAGGCATGCCCTAACTGGTTTGGCTCAGTGGATAGACCAGCGAACCTTTTGAGCTCGGCGTGGCAGCATTTTGAAAAACCCTAACTTAACTCTGGTGTCGTGTCACGTATAGAACTTTTTTTATATTTGCAACCATAGTAAAAAAAAGATTTATATTTTTGATATTTATTTTATATATTTAAATGCAATTTAACAAAGAAAAATCAACCAAAAAAATGAGTTCGCGTGTCACCTCTGACACGTGTGTCATAGGTTCGCCATCACGGGGATAGATCAATGGCCTGTGGACTGAAGGGTCCCGGGTTTGATTCTGGTCAAGGGTGCAGCCTGGGTTTTTGGCTCAATCCCCAGTAGGGGGCGTGCAGGAGGCAGCCAATCAATGATTCTCTCTCATCATTGATGTTTCTCTCTCCCTCTCTAACCCCTTCCTTCCTCTCTGAAATCAATAAAAATATATTTAAAAATAAATAAACAAAGTATCAGGCACAAGTTAGTAAATGATAGCTATGATTATTTTTGTTATTATTATTATTTGTTGTTGTTAATCCTCACCAGAGGATATTTTTCCATTGATTTTTAGAGAGTGGGAAGGAGAGGGAGAGACAGAGAGAGAAACATCGATGTGAGAGAGACACATCGAATGGTTGCCTCTTGCAGGTGCCCTGACCAGGGCCAGGGATGGAGCCTGCAACTGTGGTATGTGCCCCTGACCATCACTGAACCTGGGAGCCTTCAGTCCAAGGGCCGATACTCTATCCACTGAGCCAAACTGGCTGGGGCTTTGTTATTACTGTTGTTATGTATCCTTACCACAGAGTGTATGAGAGAGCTGGGTTTTTCCAGTACGAAATTCTGTGAAAATATAGAAAACAAAAACACATAGTTAATTTTTAGATATTTTCATAAATAATAAAACATGGCCTCAGAGTATAGTTTTCTTTTCCAAGTGTCAAATTTTACACATAAAGTACCACATCATGAATGGATTCTGCATATATGAATACCAGTAGTAAAAATAACTTTTAAAGGTATTTTTTCACAGAATTGTCCTTTAGATAAAGATTAAGTTCAACAAAGTTTTCCTTAGGAATAGTCATATAAATGAGAGTTTAAGACCCTACCTACCATAGGAGAGCCTGGGGTTCTCCCACTGAACTGAGATCCTCAAAGGGGAACTGAAGTAGTCTCATACTGGTGGTATGCCCTAGCTCAGTGATGGTGAACCTTTTGAGCCGGCATGTCAGCATTTTGAAAAACCCTAACTTAACTCTGGTGCCGTGTCACATATAGAAATTTTTTGATATTTGCAACCATAGTAAAACAAAGACTTATATTTTTGATATTTATTTTATATATTTAAATGCCATTTAACAAAGAAAAATCAACCAAAAAAATGAGTTCGCGTGTCACCTCTGACATGCGTGTCATAGGTTCGCCATCACTGCCCTAGCCACCAAAACAGCAAATTCTCTCTGGAGGAAAACTTGCACTCTCACCACTTTCGGCCCACTGAACTCCCACAGATTAAAGTCAAGCAATGATCTCACAAATACCAATACACATACAAGACAATAAGCCACTAAGACTAAGTGAATAAAAATAGAAATAATGAAAACCAGATATATTTTTCTAAGTCAACAAAAACATCAACTAACCAACATATTTAATTCCCCTAGGGCTGCAAGTACTGTAATAGTCAGACATAGTATGTAATATAGTTATGTATGAATTGTTTTGAAGAAAAAATAGAGGATATAAACAGGGAAGAGAAAATCTACTATGTTCACTCAACATGCATTTCTTAGAAATAAGATCTGTTTCATTATTCAACTATCTTTTGAAAGAATGCAAAAAAATTCTACTATCTTCTATAGAAGTCAGAGATGAAACAATGAAAAATGTCAATAAGACCCATCTATTAATGTTGGAATATATTTTAACTATAGCATAGAATAATCCTGTATTATGAGAATTGATATTTAAACATAAGTTCTAAATTAGATATACTTTACTATTGGTTTATTTAATTATATACATATGTTTGTGTATATATATGTATAATTTTCCCCCAATAACAAAATATTAAGGTTCTGCTTACCTCCAAAAGCTTCTGTGATTGCCATGCTTTCAATTCCACCTCCTAGCAACTTACTGGATATAGAAAGCAAGTATTAGTAACAGGAACAGAAACAGAGAAATTAAGAAAGGAGAAAGCATTAATATCATTTCTTTCTATATCTATCTGTCTATCTATATCTATTTAACAGGAACAGGAATTCTTGGCTGAACAAATGGTACACCACCTGTTAAATCACAGGTTCTACTGTGTGAAGGCTGGTGGATCAACAGAACAACTTGTAAGCCCTGCTGTTCTTATTTCTGGTACCAATAGGAAATGGGCATTATAAGCCTTATGTCTCAGTTCTGGTAGAGCTGAATTGGAGTTTGACTAAATAGTCTTATTATTAACTGGGTTTTTCATATTGTGCTGGAACTATGTTTCTAAAAATCAACTATTCAATTTTTAAAAAATATACTGAGAAACATGAAAAGTAGATATAGGAAATGATAAGTTAAATTATTTTTTTAAATTATTTTAAAATTTAGTTTGGGCTAATTTTAAAAATTAGGCTGATTCCAGAAACTATATATTTTTGGTCTGAAGTTCTTGTAAGAAATTTAATCATTTCCAGAAGTAGCTTAAAATTTATTTGCTACAGTTGCCTTTTGGAAAAAAAAAAAAACACACAAAAAACTATTTCAAAAGAAGAAGCTATTTGTATTACCTTTGGTAGAAACAACAGCCAGATAGAGAAAAATAAATATAGTATTTCAAAGACTGTGCTTAGTGGTTATAAAATATATGAGATACACACTCAAATTCCTGGCTCCCAGTGGTGATATGGAAAACCATTTTCCTCTTCTCACTATACTCAAATGCAGTCAAGAATCCTGGCTCCTTCAGAAAGACAAAAAGGAAGGGTTTTAAAAGGGTATAAGATGATGGTTTTAATTTTAAATGCTGCCGAAAACTATAGACTTGGTTATCAGGATCATTATGTGATATAAGCTATAGTTCATTTGTCTTTGAAGGCAGCACAAGGTCATGTTTAAGAATACAGCCTCTTGAGCCACCCTACCTAGGTTCAGTGGCCCCAAAAGCTCTACACAAAAGCTTGAATCAAAGCATATGCTTTTGCTTGGAGCCTGACAGCAGCATGGACCTCTCACTTTGTGGGCTCACTTACAAGGTATGGGTTTGGCTCAGCTGCCACAGTGAGCATATTCTTGGTCCTATCTATCTCAACTGTATACATCCGTTGTTAGTCTTTTTCTAACCCAATGCTCTCTTATCAATTGGTCTATACCAGGAGAAAGTAACTTCTTTGGTGCTGAGTGCATTGCAACAGCTATGATACATTTGAGAAGACAAAACAAAAATAAGGAGGAGGAATATAAAAAAGTAAATAAAAAGGAGAAGAAAAGGCAGAGAAAAGGAAATATAAAGAGAGACAAAAAGGAAAGTTTGGTAAAAATAATTACCTTCATAGTGTTCTAGGTCTCTTAACCCTGCCTCAATCTTTCAGAAATTAATCGGGGAGAATAGTACACTATGATCTATAGTAACTTAAGAGTTCCCACAATGGTTTCTAGTGTTCATAATGAAAAAGGCTACAGAAACTCACAGAGCCCTTCTAAGCTAAAACAACAAAGAATGGATTTTGCTTACAATAAGTTTGTTGGCTGCCTCTTTAATCTTGTCCACTTTTGCTTCTGAGAGCCCTTTGACATTGCACAGGGCTCTTCTTGTTGTCATTTGTATCCCTTTGATGGTACAGATTCCTACTGACTTCAGTTTTTTAATGTCAGCCACGTTCTGTAAGTAAAAGAATGGAGCAGATTGATAAAATACCAGCCTGAGAAATTCCCATAGTATGTCATGCACTTTGTGTCCATCTCCTTCCACCGTGATGCCAATTTTATACAAGCAACCAGGTGGAACCCACCCACCATGTAGCCAAATGTTCTGGAAATACGAGTAGAACATACCCAGCACACGGCCAAATGTTCTGGCTGTGCCCTGATTTCCCAAGAATATTAGTGGGACCATGGCAATGTAACAAGGAATTCAAAAGAAAAGTCTGTTGGTAGAAAAGCTAGCTAATTTATCACACATTCACCCCCTCAGTTCAGCTCCTTCCTTCTACAAAACTTCATTACTAATATATTATTTTAATTTTTTAAGGATTTTTTCCCCTTCTACCCTTGGTGAATGCAAATAACTACAACACCAAAGGACCAGAATTTTCTCTTGCTCCTATTTTCTAAATCTAACCGAAAGAGATAAAATGTGAGGCTCCAAAAGATAATGTCACAGAAGTTTTCTATCAACTAATTGCTGTTGAAGTTCATTTAGTTTGTTATTTGCAGTCTGGATTTCTGTAAACATCATTTACTCTAATCATCTGACACAGAAGTGAATTTTCTGCTGATGAAGACAGTAGGTGCAGAGAGCTTGCAATACCTCCAGTTGAACCAGTGGTTCTCAAACGTGGGCAGTTTTGCCCCCTGGGGATACTGGACAATGTCTGGACAAATTTTAGTTGTGCTACTGGATATAGTGAGTGGTTAGGAGCCAGGATGCTGCTAAACACCCTACAATGCATAGGACAGCTCCCCACAACAAAGAATCGCCCAGTCCCAAATGTTCAATAGGGTCAAGGCTGAGAAACCCTGAATTGGACAATTTCACACAGCATTAAAAAAAATACTTACAATTCCATGTTTTTGTAACAGGTCAATGTCTTGAAACAAAGATTCCTAAAGGAGAGCAAACAGAAAAAAAATGAAGTTTTGATTATTCATATTACATTGTTTAGCACCTTTTAAAGAGTTAATTCAATATTATGGTCACTCCAAATTCCTAAAATTCCACTTCTCCAGACAGAGATATGATCAATAATATTTTTACAAGCACTTTGTTACATACTTAGAAGAGCTAACATCCAAAGAGGTACAAAAATCTAACAGTTTTGTCATGGTTTAAGACAGTGATGGCGAACCTATGACATGCGTGCCAGAGGTGACACGCGAACTCATTTTTTTGATCTTTCTTTGTTAAATGGCATTTAAATATATAAAATAAATATCAAAAATATAAATCTTTGTTTTACTATGGTTGCAAATATCAAAAATTTCTATATGTGACACGGCACCAGAGTTCAGTTAGGGTTTTTCAAAAGGCTGACATGCCGAGCTCAAAAGGTTCGCCCTCACTGGCCTAAGACCTTCACCCACAGGAATGGAACAACATTTAACCTATTTTAAAAAATGTTTTCTCAACCTTCTTCCCCACCAGACCTTGCACTCCTTCCTCTGCTATGTGTCACCGGTATACACAGGAACCAGTGTGGCCATACCAGTGGTTGAGTTACTGCAGTTATCCCATGCCAGTTGCTAAGTAGCTAATCTTAGCACCCTTGCTAAACAAGTTGTTACCTATTTGTAATATTGCCTCTCTCTAGAACTAGGTTTTATTTCTATTCAGTTTCTAAATATTGTTGCTAACAGAGGGAACTTCATTTTTGTGGCATGACTGTCTGCATATCTTTCAATATTCTTGCCATACCTCATCATCTTGGAATCCTGGTTCCTCCAGCACAACTTGATCCTCCTTCATATTGAAAGGAGAGCAGCAGAAAAAAACACCACCACCCAATTCTGGGAAAATAAGAAATATGATTTAAGAAGTAGTCATAGATGATACAGTACAAAATCCTTTGCCCAGAGGCCTCCTTGATTTTATTTCAAAGTCCAGAAGGATAATTAGAGAAACATTTAGTTTGGAATGGCTTGGCCGGCCGATAATCTTCCTGCTGAGCATGTGGCATTATCTCCTTGGTGAGGATGTATGTGGGGTGGGGATTTGAGTTTCTTCTCTCTCTCCTCAAAAGTGGTCATTTATTCTTATATCTTTTGATTTCCTTTAGCACAGCTAATTATGACTGTCTGCCATCTTTTTTGTTATCTTGAAATGTTATCTAGACTTGCATACTGCTATTTAACCTTTCATGTTTAGGTTAATAACACTCTAAGAACTTTGACCTTGTGTCGTTCTTCCTGTATCCTCCCTGGCTCCTAGAACTTAATCTACCCTCAATAGAGAGATTTTATTTTCCTCATAAAAATATGAATACCTTTCTGCTAGTTAATTATGAATGGGCTCTCTTGTAACATACATCTTTTGGCTTCATAGAAGATCAGGTGTATTTTGCATTTACTAATTTTATGAAGATTTAAAATTACAGTGGCTACTCTCTATGTGTATAAAAGGCTAATATGCAGTGTCCCCTTGGGCGTTGGATGGGTTAGAGCACTTGCTATGACGTGCACTGACCACCAGGGGGCGCGCAGAGGGAAGGCCCCCCCCCAATCGGCCCTGATGGCTGGCCAGGCCCAGGGACCCTACCACGCACAAATTTTGTGCACCAGGCCAGTGGGCTATAATAATAAAAGCATAATATGCTAATTAGACCAGGCAGCCTAACGACCTTCCAGACAAAGCCAGAGTGTGCAGGCCGAGCATATGATAACATTAGGGCCAAGAAACAGAATCCAACAGCCATTTAACACTGAAGCTGTTGTTTTAAGACCTCAGGAATCTACAAGCCATGGCCGTATTTATTAGAATAAAATGTGGTCCAAGTAACTCATTTTTTGGGATCTATTCCATCTCCTCACTTAACACTAAGTCGGGGGTCGGGGCCTAGCAGAAGGGAACAAACCGCCGGGAGGTGTGGCTGCTGCCACCTACACAGCCCAGTCACCGAGGAACCGAGGCCGTGCACTGGGGTCTCCTGGATGCTGTCCCTCAGTTAATCATACACATTATTCCCCAAAGTTCCACAGACTGCCCTCCCGGACGAAAACAAAAATCACCCGGTTCTTCTCCCCCTGAAGAAACGAAAAGGTTGTTCTCTCTCCCTCTCAAGTGGCAAGTGAGGGCCCTCAGCTTCAGGCGCCCAGGCGGCAGGGCGGGGGTGGGGGCGCGGGGTGCAGGGAGCGCAGGCCGGCACCCTCAGCCGCGGCCTGGCCGGCTTGGCGGACATTTTCCTGACCGATTCCCTCAGGAGGAGGCTGAGGGTCTGCAGGACGCAGGCCCGGCCGGATTTAACATCGGATGCTGGAAATCCCTCCCGGGGTGAGGGCCCTGCCACCGCCACCGAGCCTTAAGCACGAAGGAACCCAGGCGCCTTCCCTCAGATTCCTCACACGCGTCCTTTTTTGCTGCAAACCCCGCCCGTACCCACAGCCTTCGAGGTTCTTGAAGTGAATCCCTTCCGCCCCCGCGCGGGCTTTTCAGGCCGCAGGGATTCTGCCTTGGAACCCGAACCCGGAGACGGGCGCCTCGCGCGTCGCCGGCCAGGAGGTTGGGTTCCAACCGGCGGCAACTGGCACGCGGAGGACCCAGGGGGCGGGGCTGCGCGCGAGGGGCGGGGCTGCGCGGGGGGGGGGAGGCTGGGCGCGAGGGGCGGGGCTTCAGGGGGCGGGGCGCGAGGGGCGGGGCTGCGCGGGGGGGCCTGGGCGCGAGGGGCGGGGCTTCAGGGGGGCTGGGCGCGAGGGGCGGGGCTGCGCGGGGGGGGGAGGCTGGGCGCGAGGGGCGGGGCTGGGCGCGAGAGGCGGGGCTGTGCGCGAGGGGCGGGGCGGCCCCCGGGGCACTGGGGAGACCGGTTGAAATCTGCAGGTGCAAGTACTGAGGCGGGCGCGGGGGAAGGCTGGCAGCTGTGAGAAAGAAGGCCCTAAGGCGGGGGCGCCCCGGGATGAAGAGACCCCTGGGGAGGGGACTTCAGTGGCAGAGCTCAAGGCGGAGGAGCGGTGCTGCGGGAGTGGCTGACTTTTCCTGCTCAGGACTGCTGTTAGGAGGACGAATACGGGGCTCTTTTCCTCCTGCTCAAGGCTTTTCTTTTCCCTCCCAGTTCATTCCTGGCATTGGTAACTGGCTTCACTATAACCTCAGGGTTTCCTAACGTCTCTTTCTTCTCTATGACTCTCTCGCCACTTGCCACTCTCTAGCTTGCGAGTGAGGCACCCAAAGCCCATTCAGGATGTAGAGTACGTTTTCTTCGCCTTAACTTGAAAATTAATTAATTAAAGGATAGAGCAATCTTTTCTTTTTCTTAAATATATTTGTATTAATTTCAGAGAGGAAGAGAGAGGGAGGGAGAGATAGAAACATCAATGATGAGAGAGAGTCATTGATCGTCTACCTCCTGCACGCTCCCCACTGGGGATCCAGCCCACTACCTGGGCATGTGCCCTTGACCGGAATCGAACCTGGGACCCTTCAGTCCGCAGGTCGAAGCTCTATCCACTGAGCCAAACCGGCCAGGGCACAATCTTTTCTTGTTAGACACTTAGAGTGTCAGTACATACACTTTCCAGGGAGAACAAGGAACATGAAAATCAGCCTCCAACCCCGGGCAGCTGCTCTCGGATGCCCTCTCCTGGAGGTGGGTGGAGGCTGTACTCCCTTCCGTTATCAGCTTGTCCTGCCGACACGGGATGGCACTCAGACGGGTCATCGGGTCACGGGTCACCTTGCAGAAGCAAGGCAGGCATTCTAGGAAGTCATCATATTCTCTCTCGCACTCTCTCTGTGCGGATGCCACGGATTGCATGTGCACCTTCTATCCGTTCTTTCTCAAAAGCATGGTCCCGACATGGAGTCTCGGAGGCTGCTCAGCACTTTGGACCGCCGCCGGGACTGGATGATATGCTGGCGGACGCGAAGACCTGCCACAACGTTAACTTGAAATGTTAAATACACAACAGAAGCCAAACACAGTCTGGTCCAGCTTTTAAATAGAAATGTTAAGCCAGCTTTCATGTCAGCAGAGCTGTCTCTTAAATGCTGACTATTGAGGAGAGAGAGTCATGAAACATTTGAGAGAGCATCTGTTGAGGTGGAGGCTGTGATGTGTCTTGGCTGAATATCTGTGCAAACAGTTTTTGTGTTCAAGACCCAGTACAGGGCGACTCTTTTTCTTCAGTGTCTGGACCATTTTGCTGGAATAAATAGCAACAAATCCCCACAACAGCAGTTGTCATTTTGTAGGGCATGGCTCCCCTCCCCCAGGTCGACTGTCTAAAGAGCTAACAAATGGCTCTCCAAAACCTGTTGTTTTCCAGAAACATCGCCTGTCCTTCATGCCAAATGGAAATTCATGCTCATTGTTGGGATGAACTGGATAGTGACAATAGGCGTCCACTTTGAGGACTCACCTAAAATAATCATAGCGATTTCTGCGCAACTTGTTACATGGAGACATCGACTGTACAGAAGAGCTGCAAAGAGCGCAGCAAGAGGATTTAGGGAAATAGAACATATGTAGTTTGGTGTAGTGACAGCTGGGAGAGAGAAATGCTCATAATATTTGAAGGTTGTGTGCAGTACACTTAAAGAAACTGAAAGGGGCCTGTAATTCATGAAGTGAGGATAAAAATCTCGTTTGAATATGATATTGATGGTTATATAAAACTTTTAAATGTTTTTTTAAAAATATATTTTATTGATTTTCTACAGAGAGGAAGGGACAGGAATAGAGAGTCAGAAACATCGATGAGAGAGAAACATCGATCAGCTGCCTCCTGCACAACCCCCACTGGGGATGTGCCCGAAACCCAGGTACATGCCCTTGACCGGAATCGAATCTGGGACCTTTCAGTCCGCAGGCCGACGCTCTATCCACTGAGCCAAACCAGTTAGGGCTTAAATGTTTTTTTAAAACGTGTTAATTACTTTTAAAAAATATTTTTATTGATTTCAGAGAGGAAGGGAGAGGAGAAAAAGTGATAGAAACATCAATGATGAGAGTGAATCATGATGGCTGCCTCCTGCACACACTCTACTGGGGGTTGAGCCCACAATCCTGGGCATGTGCCCTTGACTGGAATCCAACCCAGGACCCTTCAGTCCACAGGCTGACACGCTATCCACTGAGCCAAACCAGGTAGAGCAAAACCCTGTGGTAATTAAAATTCATTCTGATGCCATTCAAATCAGAAAAAAAGATGTCTTCCATATCAGATAAAAATTCTGAATATGGTGGTGACATTTCAAATCAGTGGGGAAGTGATGAATCCAACGAATGTTGTTGGAACAACTAGGTAGTCATCTGGAAGAAAAATAAATTTGGAACCATACTTCACACCTTGTACCAGAATAAATTCCAGATGGAGCGAGAAATTAAATCTGAACAATAAAATAATGAAAGTGCTAGATATAGAGCAGGGCAATCCAGAACTTTTTTGTCAATTAGTAATTGTATCATTTAGTTTTTACAGTTTCTCAAATACTTCAGCGAGGCAACAAATTCTCCATAAAATTAAAAAATTTTGTGTCATTTTTTATGATATTCTAAGAAAAACAACAACAGGCAGTGGGATTACAGTTAAGATCTGAATTTTAAACCATTACACCTTATTGCCCCTCTGTGGACAACCACCTTATAATCAGTAGATGCATATGATTCCTCAAACTGATGCCTATAGATATATAATCTTAGAGTTTAAAGAGCTCAAATTTGAGAAATCCTCTAGTAGAGAACTAAATAATGAAGGGTCATCCTGAAAAAAAGAATTGCACTGGGTACATCTCCCCTTAAACATATTTAATTCATTCAAAAGATTGTCAGATGCTGTACTAGGTATTGGGTGCTAGGAATTCAACAAACAAGATACAAACCCTAATTGGGGCCACAGAGGAGTATACAGGCAAATACAGTAATACATATATATATATATATATATATATATATATATATATATATATACATACACATATATATCAGTCATTTGGGGCTTTCTCATTTATTTAGGTTTATTTCCAAGTTTGAAAAACTCCAAAATTGGCACATAGCTACCTAAACAGGCATGCGCATGACAGTTTATATAAGCACCGTTTATTAAACACGTGACCCAGCTCTCTGCTGGAAATGGAGATGGAGACAGATCTGTTCTTAAGAAGCCACGAGTCTCATAGGGAAGATAGATACAGAAACAGATAATCACATGCAGGGCAAGATAAGACCGGAATTGAACCCGGGACCCTTCAGGCGGCAGGCTGATGCTCTTTCCACTGAGCCAAACCAGCTAGGGCTGAGACTGGGTCTTTATTCATCTGTTTCCACAGGGACAAATGCAGGCATGGCACCGAATAGACACCTACTGAATGTTTGCTCAACCTCTCCAAGCCCCAGTGTCCTCCTAGGAGAAATGGAGGTAACAGTACCATCTGGGGGGGGGGGGGCAGGGCACAGGAGGAGTAACAGAGATAATATTTAAAAACACTTTAACAGAGCACTCAGCACATAATAGGTGCTCAATAAAATGATGTCTCCTATGATTACTGTGTTACATAATAATAATATATATTCCATGGTGTCATTAATAAACAAGTGAATGAAAAAATTAGTAAGTAAATGCATGCATGCATGAATGAATGAATGAAGGTGAATTAACTTCACTTTACATCTTGACTTTGGCCCAGGGTAGGAGTGAACTTTAATATTCTTTTTCCCACGGACTGGGAATGACTAGATGTGCTGAGGTATTATTTTCTGTTTGTCTTGTTTCTGTTTTACATTAAGCCCATGTGCAGGCTTCATCCCGAAAGTTCTCCCAGTTCTTGGACAAGGATTCCTCCAGACGGCCAGAAGGTGAGGGGCTGTCCTTTTCTGCATTGCTTTTGACTTGCTCATCTCTCTGTGGATGAACCATAAAGACACAAATGGAAACAGATTAAAAGCCAGTGTGATCTAGAGAATGAAGAAGGGAATCCCCAGGATGACATAAACAGCTAGAAACCAACCGCCCAGAGGGAAGCAGGTCAGAAGGTGAGGCTGATTGACGATGCAAGCATGTCAAACTCGCGGCCGGCGGGCCGCATGCCTTGTTTAAGTTTGACGTGCTTGAATTGTAAAGTGCCTGAATGTACTGGGAGGAGATTTATGCAACCAAGTGGAATTTGGAGATAAATTATGATAACTCCATAAGAAAAAAAAGGGGGGGGGGGGAAAAAACAGGCAGATTAACAAAGAGAGAGACTTGGTTCCAGGGATAGCAAATCGTTTTGCAAGAAAAGAAAAATAACCATAGTATACTCAGTGGCTCATGGCAATGGTATCGATGGTGTAATAAAGTTGATTAATGAGCCCACAACTGAAACACATCGGGAGGGTGGGAGACGGGAAGTGTGTGCGCATGAGAGAGCCCTGTCCTCACCCTTCCTAGTGAGAACTCGATAAAGCCTAACGCCGAAAAATCAAGGAGCAGAGCAGCATGGAATTTAGACGTAAAAAGGAGATCAAATACTAAAATAATCCGTTAAGAAAGTGGAAGTATTGTTTGCGGGGAATGGGAAGGGGTCCAGAGGAGTGCAATTTTTTGGAACAAGCTTTGTAGAACTATTAATTAGCTAATATAATAAGCACTTATGTTTACTCTGCATCGGGCACTATTCTGTTTTAAAAATTTTAACCAATTTAATCCTCCTAACAACTTTATGCTGTACATACCGTTATCATCACCATTTTACAAATTTGCTGAATCCCTACTATGTGCTGCCACATGAGCAGGCGCAGGATATTCAATGCTGAATGAGACAAAGTGTCTGAATTTGGGAGACTTACAGTACAGAGAGGAAGACAGACACAGACTACAAAACAGGTAGTGATGCCTGAGCTGGGCTTTAAGGGTCAAGTAAGAATTAGCCAGTTAAGAACAGTGTCTATACCATGTTCAAGGAAGAGGAAAGAGCAATGAATACTTGTTAAAATGAACTGAACTGGTTGGTCTCCTCTTCCATTGTAAAATGAATGTTAAAAATAATAGTATTTATAAGCTACTACTAACCTGGAAGATTTCATAGTCCAACCATCCAGCTATAAGTCAGTATCAGTGGCTGTTTCTTTAAAAAACAAAACAAAACAACTCATAAAACTTTCTTCATATTAAGTTTATCTCTTAAGCTTTTTCTTAAGAATAGGCCAGCCCTGGCAGGGTGGCTCAGTTGGCTGAAGAATCTTTGATCCCTGGCAACTGATTGATGTTTCTCTCTCTCTCCCTTCCTCTCTCTCTAAAATCAATAAACATATCCTTAGGTGAGGACTAATAAGAAAAGAAGAAAGGAAGAGAGGAGGGAGAGAGGGAGGGAGCCTGAGGAAGTCACTAAGCCTCTCCAAGCCTCAGTTGTAAAATGAGAATAATGACATCCCGTATCTCGAAGGAAAGCTGTGAGAATTGAATAATACATGGATCGTGCTTAGGGCAGAATAAGGGCCTGGCCAGGCACTGAGTAAGTTTTAGCTATGGAAACTCTGTTGTGTGACTCTGCTCAAGGTGATAACAACTAATGAATAAGAAAAAGTTTTAATTAAGTAAAACATTAGTTGTGATTTTGTTGTTGTTAATTCTCACCTGAGAACATTTTTTGCATTGATTTTCAGAGTAGAAGGGAGGGGGAGAGTCAGAGAGAGAGAAACATGGATGTGAGACAGACACATCAACTGGTTGCCTCCGGCATGTGCTGGGGATCGAGCCTGTAGCCGAGGTACCTGCCCTTGACTGGAGTTAAACCCACGGCCCTTCAGTCCAAGGGCTGCCACTCTAACCACTGAGCCAGACGGCCAGGGCTCGCTGTGATTTCTTAACACATTAGGTGATATTTTAATTTAAGATACCAAACTTTGCAGATATACTAAAATTTCAGATGTTATGCTAGTGGTTGGCAAACTCATTAGTCAACAGAGCCAACTATCAACAGTACAACGACTGAAATTTCTTTTGAGAGCCACATTTTTTAAACTTAAACTATATAGGTAGGTACATTGTTATTAACTTAATTAGGGTACTCCTAAGGCTTAGGAAGAGCCACACTCAAGGGGCCAAAGAGCCACAAGTGGCTTGCGAGCCGCAGTTTGCCGACCACGGTGCTAGTCAGTTGTCCTTTGTTGGGTGCCAGAACTGAAAATGATAAGATTTTTATGGACTTCTGCAAAGAGCACTATGACTTCTGGCTGTCTTGTCCCTGACAGATGGGTGAATGAGGGCGGTGAGAACTCAGGAAAACGCCCTGAATGGGTCAGCACCTGCTCCTTTACTCTTATTCCATCTGCAGCCTGCCTCTTGCTCAGCCCTAGAGCAGTAACTCGGTGAAACAACTGCCCGGCTACTTTCTTCAAAATGGGTCTGCTCTGATCGCCCAACCCAGAATGTTCCAACGGCGTTCCTTGCACTGCTTTGGGCTCAGTGAGTTTTCATGTTATAAAAAGCCTGAGAGCTTAGAGGAGAAGCATTTGACCTTGACCTTTTGGGGGGGGGGGGGCGTTGTCAGGGAAAGCTTCCTGGAGGAGGAGATGTCCTCTGCACTGACTCTGAAGCAGCAGCAGGGCCGGCTGGGGAAGGAGGGCCGAGTGGGAGGGGAAGGGCATTTCCTGCAGAGGAAGAGGCTTGGGCCAAGCAAGGCCTGGAGGCAGGAGGAGCTGGGCCTCTTAGGGCAGCTGCAGGGGCTCAATCTGGCTGGAGAGGTGGGGGGTGGAGAAAGAGGAGAGGAGTAGGGTCACCTCATGGCGGTCTGGTGTCTAAGAGTTTGGACTTTTACTCCTCGGTTCCTTAGGGGATGAGGAGAAACTAGATTTTAAGCAAAAGAGTAGCCTGATGAGATGCGGGTATTTGAGAGACCCCCAAGGAGCCTGTGCCTCCACTCAAGTGGACCCCAGCTGCCTCCTTTGAAAACCAGGAACAATGACATCTACCTCCGGGGACTTTTCTGAGACGTTAATGGGACACTGATGGAATGTGCTCAGCACAGGGGAGGCCACTTGTCCTCAATGTCTCTCGGTATTTGCAACAGGAGGAGCTAGTCTGCTCTTCCTCAGGCCCCTAGAGGGCTGGGGCCACTGATCCTCAGTGACTTCTGGTAGCGGTGTCTAGGAGGATGTTTTTGGACCCGGCTGTTCCCTGTCTGAACGTGACTTTTGGAGCGTGGGGGCGCTTCCCTGCGGGTAAAACTTGTGCATTTTCTGGAGTTTCGCCATTTCCGTTCCCAGCGGTGAGTGAGCAGGGAATGGACTGCCCCCAGGGGTGAGCTGCCCAGGGCTCTCCAACAGGATGCCCCAAGGCTTTGCAGTAAGGAATGTAGCAGTTTTAGAGAAAAATAATATAATGACTATTCGTATTGGCAGTTTCTATGCCAGGCTCTTCATATGGGTTAGCTCTTTTATACATAACCAGCCACACTCTTTAAGCCCAAGGAAACAGGCCAAGAGAACTTTGTAACTTGACCTAAAGTCACAGAGAGGGCACAGCAAAGATTCAAAACCCCAGATCTTTTTAGAGTTAAAGCTCCTTCTACTGCTTCATCTTTTCCTGTGGGGGAAACCTTTATCTTATTGATATTTACCTGTGGGGGCTGGTCCCAAGTGGTTATCTCTACCACAGATAGGTCCACAGCAGAGCCATTATAAAGGAGAAGATATTGGAAATTCTAGTTATGTATTATTATCGCATCATCTTTAATTTCTATTTTCTCTATGTTTTATAGTATATATACTATATTAGTATGGAAATATATATTTATATCTAAGATATAACATACTATATATATATATATATATATATATATATATATATATATGTAGATAGATAGATAGATAAATAAATAGGGTGTCCCCAAAAGCGTGTACACACTTTAACAACTGATAACTCACTTAATTTTCACTCTTTTTCCGGTTAAACTGATTTGAAATAATGGGTGAAGCCAGACTAAGCTTTGAACACAGAAAATTTATCTACTAGACTTTTTTATAGAGATACATAAAAGATAAAGTTTACGGTACAAAACAGGCAACAAGTTGAAGAATTGAGGGTGCACAAATACTGAAAAAAATGATTCTTATGATTCCATTGCTTCATGTTATTTATAAGCAGTGCCAGGACCAGAAAGGTCATCAGTTTAAAAACATGTGATGACAAAATAAAATTATTTCTATAGATTCTTTTAAATTTGAAAATGAACTCTATGTTAATAAACACTGACTTTATAATCATTCAGAGTATGTATACATTTTGAAGGGACACCTATATATATACTAGAGGCCCGGTGCATGAAAATTCATGCACTGGAGTGGGGGGTCCCTCAGCCCGGCCTACCCCCTCCTACAGTCCGGGAGCCCTCAGGGGCGTGAGGTGACCCGGCGATCAGGGGAAGGCAACGCCCCCATCACACCTCTGCTGCTGCCACTGTCAGCAGTGCAAACCTTGGCCGGCCCTGGTTACCTGAGCCTCGGGCAGCCCTGGGTGGCTGTGGGGCTGAGGGGACTGGGGGACTCCAGAGGCAGGCGTGCGGAGTGGCTGGGCCCACCTGGGGGCAGGCCTGGCCTTGCCATGTGCCTGCCACCCCGGCGGCGCTGAGGGGACTGGGTGCCACTATCTTGTGGCTGTGGGCACCACCATCTTTGAGGGCGGGGGCAGTCAATTAGCATATTCCTTCCTTATTGGCCGTGGGCGCCACCATCTTTGCGATGGCATGAGGGTCAATTAGCATATTTCCTCTATTAGATAGGATAGTTTCTAAATAATTCATGTATTATTAGGGGCTGAATTCTCATAAATATTTTACTGAGAGAGACAAGATCAAGAAAGCTTGGGGACTACTACTGGTCAAGAGGTATAGCTAGGGTTCCACACAGAGGTAAATCTTTATGGGAGACTTTGCAAATCCCTCAAAATACAAATATCCTCCCTTTGTGAAGACCACCATCTGCCATCAGGACTTTTATTATTATTTTCTTTGTTAATCCTCACCCGAGGATATTTTTTCATTGGTTTTTTGGGAGAGTGGAAGGGAAGGGGAGAAACAGAGAGAGAAACATCAATGTGAGAGAGACACATGTGGTTGCCTCCTGCACACGCCCCAACCAGGGCCAGGGTATGTGCTCTTGACCAGAATCGAACCTGAGACCCTTCAGTCTGAGGGCCCATGCTCTATCCACTGAGCAAAACCAGCGAGGGCACATCAAGACTTTTAAAGTCCAACTATGGCCATGCGGTTTCCCTGTTTGATAACTTTCTGTGACTCTCCATGACTTAGGAAATCAAGTGCTTCATGGAAATCCCTTCATGATTTGTCCAGGGATCATCTCCAGGCTCACCTCTCCTGAAGCCACTCATGGACCTCCATGACCTCCTGCCTCGGAGCCTTTGCCTCCCTTCTCCACCCACTGAGCACACCAGCCCTTTCTCATCCCCTGCCTTCTGCCTGGCAGGTGCCTACTCAGGTCAAGCACACTTCTTTACAAAGGTGTTTCTGCGTGGCTCCAGGCTGCTGCCGTCTTTGTCCCCTCTGTGGAACAGCACCTCTGGAACTTACTTGCTGATACATCCACCTTCTTTCTAACAGATGTGAGCCCCTGAAAATAGGGACTGTGTCTTAGCTACTGTTATTTACCCAGTGTTTCCTGTAGGGACGTGGTGAAGCCTCTACAAACCTGGGCCTGCTGCTGTAGAAACACAGTGGATGACCTCCACTATACCTGGCTGTTATAAAGGTTCACATGGGGCCATGTTCCTAATCTGTTTAGCTTAATGCTTGGCACAGAGTAACCAGTTAATAAATGGTAGTCATTATCCTATATAATAAAGAGGTAATATGCTAATTAGTCCTAACGGTGTCTGAGTCACAACCAGTCAATGGGTTGCGCACGCACAGGAGCTAGGGGGCGGGATGGGGACTTCCGCCCCCAATGGAGGCACGCCCAGGCCTGCCCAGTGCTAATGTTATGCCCAGCGCTAAGGTGAAGCTGCTTGTCTGCATCCTTGGCCAGGGTTGTGACGCTATCTGCCTGTGTCCCTGACCTGGGATGTGGCACTACCTGCATGTGTCCCCGCCCAGCGCTAAGGTGACGCTGCCTGCCTGTGTCCTGGCCTGGGACGTGGCTCGACCTGCATGTGTCCCCGCCCAGCACTGATGTGACGCTGCGAGGGGTTGGGCTTGACAGGTGTGTGGCCAGCCAGGTCTGGGTCTTGCCCCGTGGGGGTGGGGCCAGCTGGGTCTGGGTCTCAAGTGATTTTGAGGCCTGCACAGGTGTGAGGGGACTTGACTCTCTAATTAATTCCCTTTTAATGTGCACGAATTTCATGCACCGGGCCACTAGTTATATTATAATTTAATATTATTAGTTATAATATAAAAAAATGGGTAAAAGACTAAATGCATCAATAAATGTAGTCACCCAAGTAAAAAACTCCTCACTCCTGTTTTTCACTCAGCCTACAAAAAATTATAATGAACTCTCTTCTCTCTCCTGGGAATCATTATTGTTATTTTTCAGTCTTTGGCCACAATTTCTGTTTTCTTCTCCTGTTGTTGTTCTACCTACCTGAAATCAGAATCATCATAGGAGCTTTCATTATGACTTGAAAGTGGCAAGGAAGAGTCATACACCTTATGTCTCTCTTCCTCCTCTTTTTCCCTCCTGTGGGAAAACAAAAAAGACATCAACACAAATCAGCTTAAAAATCCAGTGTGATTTCTTCAAAGTTGTCACCGGAACCTTGATAGGTGTTGAAAGAAAAAGTTTACAAATCAATCAATAACGTTGGCAATAGCAAACAACTAAAGCAGAGTGTGGAACACACTGCGATGAGTCCCTCATTCATTTTTGAAAATATGTTTTTATTGATTTTTTAGAGAGAGGAAGGGAGAGGGGGAGAGAGAGAGAAAAATCAATAAGAGACACATCTATAGGCTCCCTCCTGCACGCCCCCAACAGGGGATCAAGCCCGCAACCAGGGCATGTGCCCAGACTGGGAATAAACTGGTGACCTCTCCATGCATAGGATGATGCTCAACCAGCTGAGGCTCACTGGCCAGGGCTCCCGCATTCATTTTCTAAGCACTGACTGAGGACCTGTTGGGTGCCAGGTACTAGACTAGACCCTGGGAAAACAAGGTCAGCTAGCACAAGATTCCCAACCTCGAGAACAAGTCTTTAATCTAGGAGTTAAACAAACTCTGACTAGAGCAGGCTCTGCTCTGTGGAGTGTGGTCAGGAAAGCACAGGGTACATACTGGGTACCCTGAGTAGGCAAGTCAAGGAGACTTCCTGAAGGCGACCCCTGAGCGGAGTTTCAAGGGGTTAGCTTGGTTAAGTAGTTGAAGGCTAGTCAAGTTTGAGGGAACAACAATCATATTGGTGAATTCGACTGAGCTGGCTTTTTATACTTCTGAAAATCTAAAATAAATATCGAAAAGACTGCTAATGAGCCACCATTGATCCTATAAGATTCCATGGCTCAAACAGGTGGGTCTCAGGCTAAACTGCTATTATCAAACATTGTGGCCTTTTTCTGGTTTGAAGGAAAATTTAAATTAGAAGGTTTAAGACTGCAAGGTTTCCTCGGTTAAATTTCTCAACTCACCAAGATCTGATTACTTCATTTCTAAAGTAAAGAATATAACACCATCTATCTGTGGTAGATACGGTTAGTTACCAACCCATCATCCACTCTCCCCTTTTTCTTCAGCAATGGAGTCAGTTTTTAAAATATATATATATATTTTTTTATTGATTTCAGAGAGGAAGGGAGAAATAGAAATATTAATAATAAGAGAGAATCACTGATCAGCAACCTTCTGCATGCCCCCTACTGGGGATTGATCCCGCAACCCCAGGCATGTGCCCCTGACCGGAATTGAACCAGGACCCTTCAGTCTTCAGGCCTATGCTCTATCCACTGAGTAGCCAAACTGGCTAGGGCTGGAGTCAGTTTTTATTTAAGATGTCAATGAGCCCATTTAAAATAAAATAAAATAAAAACACCTATATTTTCCAGCCTCCTTTGAAACTAATGTGACTAATATCTGGCCCTTGAAATAAAGTGGTAATGTAATATGGTACTTCCAGGGAGATTGTAAAAAAGGGAGGGAGGTAATTGGGATTGACTACAAATGGGCATAAGAATCTTTCTGGAGTGATAAAAAAAAGTTCTAAAACTAGAATGTAGTAATTGTTGCAAAACTATATAAATTTACTAAAAAAATACTGTACCCTTAAAATGAGCAGATTTTACATTAAATTATACCTCAACAAAATTATAAAATAGTAATCCTATATAATAAAAGCCTAATATGCAAAGTGTCCGGTTGACTGGATGGTCGTTCAACCAATCAAAGCATAATATGCTAATGATATGCTAAGGCCACTCAACTGCTTGCTATCATGTGCACTGACCACCAGGGGGCAGATGCTCTGACCGGTAGGTTAGCTTGCTGCTGGGGTCTGGTCAATCAGGACTGAGCGAGGTGGGCTGGACATGCTCTGAAGCCCTCCCACAGTCCCTCCCCGGCTGGCCAACTTCCTGCATCCCTTCCCGGCCCCGATCTTGCACTGGTGGGGTCCCTTGACCTGGCCTGCATCCTCTCGCAATTTGGGACCCCTCAGGGGATGTTGGAGAGCCAGTTTCGGCCCAATACCGCAGGCCAGGCCGGGGGACCCCACTGGTGCACGAATTTGTGCACCGGGCCTCTAGTAATTATCTACACTAATACAAGACAAAGATGCTAATTGACCATACCTTCACTATTCCCCAAGCCATGCCCACCAGCCAATCAGAGTTACTACATGCAAATTAACCAAACCATGATGGTGGCTGGCAGCCATGGAGCTGGAGCAAGCAGGAGGCTTGGTTGCCTGGGCGATGGAGGAAGCCAAGCTTCTCGCCTGCCCTGAGCCAGCTGTGGCCTCCGCTCATGGCAACAAAGTTTCAATTATAGAAGACAAATAAATCCCAGATACCTGCTTCCAGCCAGCCTCCACTGGGAGCTTGGGTGGCTGGAGGCCGTGGCCAGCCTGCAAACAGCCATCAGCCCCTCACCCAGACTGGCCAGGCACCCCAGCAGGACCCCCCACCCTGAAGGGGCTGTGGCCAGCCTGCACACGGCCCTCAGCCCCTCACCCAGGATGGCCAGGCACCCCACGGGGGACCCCCACTCTGAAGGGGCTGTGGCCAGCCTGCAAACAGCCATCAGCCCTTCACCCAGGCTGGCCAGGCACTCCTATATAATAAAAAGGTAATATGCAAATTGACCCTAACAGCAGAACGACTGGAAATGACTGGTCACTATGACACACACTGACCACCACGGGGCAAATGCTCAATGCAGGAGCTGCCTCCTGGTGGTCAGTGCACTCCCACAGGGGGAGCTCTGCTCAGCCACAAGCCAGGCTGACGGCTGCCAGTACAGCAGTGGTGGTGGGAGCCTCTCCCGCCTCCTCAGCAGCGCTAAGGATGTCCAACTGCAGCTTAGGCCTGCTCCCCACTGGCAAGTGGACATCCCCTGAGGGCTCCTGGGCTGCCAGACGGATGTCTGACTGCCAACTTAGGCCCAATCCTCTGGGGAGTGGGCCTAAGCCAGCAGGTGGTCATCCCCCGAGGGGTCCCAGACTGTGAGAGGGCACAGGCCGGGCTGAGGGACACCCCCCCCCCCCAAGTGCACAAATTTTTGTGCACCGGGCCTCTAGTATAATTATAAAAGAGCATTCAGAATAGGTTGTTTTTTGCAAGCTAAATTTTTAAAAATGTTTTATTGATATTTTTAGAGAGAGAGGAAGGGAGAGGGATAGATGCATAGAAACATTGATGAGAAAAAAAACATCAATTGGCTGCCTCCTGCACTGCCCCCCGATTGGGGATTGAGCCTGCAACCCAGGCATGTGCCGTGCCCAGGAATCGAACTGGTGAACTCTTGGTTCATGGCTTGATGCTCAATCACTGAGCCACACCAGCTGGGACTCAAAGTGCTTCTTTTTTTAAAAAAAACAACAACATATTTTTATTGATTTCAGAGAAAAAGGGAGAGAGAGCAAGAGATAGAAACATCAATGATAAGAAAGAATCATTGATTGGTTGCCTCCTGCATGCCCCACACTGGGCCCGTAATCTGGGGATGTGCCCTGACCGGGAATTGAACTATGACCTCCTGGTTCATAGGTCGATGCTCAACCACTAAGCCACTCCGGTTGGGATCAAAATGCTTTTTAAAATGGTATTTTCTTAAAAAGGAAGATGTTGTAGTCATGTAGCATGTTCTAGCAATGAGGTATATGTGGAAATGTCTGGGACTTCTGGAAATGTTTCTTAAAAGAGAATAGGGTTAAGCCCTGGGGCTGGGTAGCTCAGTTGGTCAGAATATCATCTCCATACACCAAGACTGCAGGTTCGATCCCTGGTCAGGGCACATACAAGAATCAACCAGTGAATACATAAATAAGTGAAACAACCAATCGATGTTTCTCTCTCTCTCTCTCTCCCTAAAATCAATAATCATAATAAAAAAAGAGAACGCAGTTAAAAGTAAATTGATGGAGAAAAATATACCACGTTAACACTAATCAAAAGAAAGCAGAAGTACCAACGGCATATTTCACAGACCTAAAACGAACTCTCCAAAAATTCATCTGGAATAAAAAAAGACCCCTAATAGCTGCTGTGATCCTGAGAAAGAAGAACAAAGTAGGTGGGATCTCAATACCAGATATCACGCTGTATTACAAAGCCACTGTTCTCAAAACTGCCTGGTACTGGCATAAGAACAGACATATAGATCAATGGAATAGAATAGAGAGCCCAGAAATCGACCCGAACCAATATGCTCAATTAATATTTGACAAAGAAGGCAAGAACATACAATGGAATCAAGACAGTCTCTTCAATAAATGGTGTTGGGAAAATTGGACAGATACATGCAGAAAAATGAAACTAGACCACCAACTTATACCATACACAAAAATAAACTCAAAATGGATAAAGGACTTAAATGTAAGACGGGAAACCATAAAAATACTAGAGGAATCCAAAGGCAACAAAATCTCAGACATATGCCAAAGCAATTTCTTCACTGATACAGCTCCTAGGGGATTGGATACTAAAGAGAAAATAAACATATGGAACTACGTCAAAATAAAAAGCTTCTGTACAGCAAAAGAAACCATCAACTAAACAACAAGAAGGCCCACTGCATGGGAGAACATATTTGTCAATGTTATCACCAATAGGGCTTAATCTCCCACATTTACAGGCAACACATACAACTTAACAAAAGGAAGATAAACAATCCAATCAAAAAATGGGTAAAGGACCTAAATGGACACTTTTCAAAAGAAGACATTCAGAAAGCCAAGAGACATATGAAAACATGCTCAAAGTCACTAATCATCCAAGAGGTGCAAATCAAAACAACAATGAGGTATCATCTCATACCTGTCAGAATGGCTATCATCAACAAATCAAAAAACAACAAGTGCTGGAGAGGATGTGGAGAAAAGGGAACACTCGTGCACTGCTGGTGGGAATGCAGACTGGTGCAGCCACTATGGAAGACAGTATGGCATTTCCTCAAAAAGTTAAAAATGGAACTCCCATTTGACCCAGTGATCTCACTTCTAGGAATATATCCCAAGAAATCAGAAACACCAATCAGAAAGGATATATGCATCCCTATGTTCATAGCAGTACAATTCACCATAGCTAAGATTTGGAAACAGCCTAAGTGCCCATCAGCAGATGAATGGATTAGAAAACTGTGGTACATCTACACTATGGAATACTATGCTGCTGTAAAAAAGAAGGAATTCTTACCATTTGCAACAGCATGGATGGAACTGGAGAGCACTATGCTAAGTGAAATAAGCCAGTCAATGAAGGAAAAATACCACATGATTCCACTCATTTATGGATAATAAAGACCATTATAAGCTGATGAACAAAAATAGATACAGAGGCAGAGCAGCATTGAACAGACTGTCAAACTACAGCGGGAAACCCGGGGAGGGTTGTGGTGGGGGGTGTAAGAGATCAACCGAAGGACTTGTATGCATGCATATAAGCATAACCAATGGACACAAGACACTGAGGGGTAGGGGAGGCCAGGAGAATGTCAAGGGGGGGGGGGGCGGGGAAGGAGACATATGTAATACTCTTTGTAATACTTTAAGCAATAAAGCAAAATTAAAAAAGAAGATCTCTCAGCTTGTCCTGGTAGGTCAATCATGGAGAAAGGAGACATATGTAATACTTTAAACAATAAAAAAAATAATTAATTTAATTAAAAAAAGAAAAGAAAAAAGAAAGCAGAAGTAGCTATACTAATTTCAGACAAAGCAGACTTTAAGGCAAGGAAAGTTATCAGGAATAAATAAGGTTATTATATAATGACAAAGAGGTCAATTCTCCAAGAAGACATAATTCTTAACGTGTATGCTCCTACCAATAGAATATCAAGCCACATGAGGCAAAAACTGAGTGAACTGCAAGGAGAAATATATGAATCCACTACACAGTTGGAGACTTTGACGCTGTCTATCAGAATATGACAGATGCAGCAGGCAGAAAGTCAGTAAGGACATAACTGAACTTGGCAATACCATCCATCAACTAGATATAATTGTTATCTATAGACCACACCACCCAACAACAGTAGAATATACGTTCTCCTCAAGTTTGCCTGTAACAGACCATGACAGGTTACATTCTGGGCCAAAAAAATATCCCTGAAGAAATTAAACCCTGGCCGGTTTGGCTTAGTGCTTAAAGCATCGGCCCGTGGACCAAAGGGTTGCAAGTTCGATTCCCGGTCAAGGGCATTGAACCTCAGTTGCAGGTTCCCTAGCTTCTGTGGGGGTGCAGGAGGTAGCTGATGAAGATGTTTCTGCCCTAGCTGGTTTGGCTCAGTGGGTAGAGTGTAGGCCTGCGGACTGAAGGGTCCTGGGTTTGATTCCGGTCAGGGGCACATCCCAGGGTTGCGGGCTTGATCCCCAGTTGGTGGTGGTGGGGGGGGGGGGTGTAGGTGGTACCTGATCAATGAATCTCTCTCATCATTGATGTTTCTCTCTCCTCTCTTTCCCTCTCCCTTCCTCTCTGAAATCAATAAAAATATATAAAAACAACAAAAAAAGATGTTTTTTCTCTCCCTCTCCCTCTCCCTCTCCTCCCTTCCTTCCACTCTCTCTGGAAATCAATGGAAAAAAATATTTTGAGGTGAGGATTTAAAAAAAAAAAAGAAATTTAAAAGAACAGAAATCACGCAATGTCTGTTCTCAGACCAAAATGGAATCAAATAGAAATCAGTAACAGAGAACTGGAAAGCCCCCAAATACTTGGAGATTAAATAACATCCTCCCCTGCCAAATACAAGTAAAAGTTTATTTAGACCAGGGGTTCTCAACCTTCTGCCCCTTTAAATACAGTTCCTCATGTTGTGATCCAACCATAAAATTATTTTCATTGCTACTTCATAACTGTAATGAACCGTAATGTAAATATCTGATATGCAGGATGGTCTTAGGCGAACCCTGTGAAAGGGTCGTTCGACTGCCAAAGGGGTCGCGACCCACAGGTTGAGAACCGCTGATTTAGACAGTCACAGAGCTAGAAGTGAGCCCTGGAAGAAGTGAGCCAGCTGGGCTGTGTGGGCTCAGGAAATAAGTTACAGAGACAAAAGAAGGGTCCTTGGAGCTTAGGAAAAAGAAAGGCAAAGAAAACACGCCTGGGGGAAGGAGATGGGAGAAAGCCATGGGCCTGATCTAGAGAGAGAAAGAGCATGCTTCTAAATCAGCGGTCGCCAAGCGGTGGTCCGTGAGGTCCAAAAGGTTGGCAACCACTGTTCTAAATAACATACTTCTATGTAACACATGGGTCAAAGAAGAGATCTCAACAAAAATTTTAAAATACTTTGAACTATATGAACATGAAAATACAATTTATTAAAATTTTGGGGATGCTGAAAGCAGTGCTTAGAGAGAAATTTATAGCATTATATACATACTAAGGGCCCAGCGCACGAAATCGTGTGAGACCCAGAACCCAGAGTCCTATGGCTCAGGGACCCAGAAAGAGTCCCATGGCTGCCACTGCTGCCGCTCCTGCGGGAGGCGGGAACCAGAAACCCACCCACACCTCCTGTCAAGTCCTCCAGAGTCAAGTCCCTGCCCACCTGCACACGCCTCACTGCGCATGCAGCCCTGCCCACCCCACGCATGCAGCTTCCTGCTGATTGGTCATTAAGGCATGATGGTGTGACGACCACAGGCTTTTTATATAAGAGATATTGCCAAAGAAGACCTAAAATCAATCTAAGTTTTGACTAGGAAATAAGAGCAAACTAGAAAAATAAGAGCAAAAAATTAAATCCAAAGTAAGCAAAAGAAAAGAATAAAAAAAGCCAGAGCACAGTGTATGAAATCATCTATTCCTGATATAATCACTGTAGTACTCTTGCCTAAAGCATGAGTTTCACATTTGCTGTTGAAATAAACCCAACTGTTCAAAAATTTAAAAACGAATAAATTAGAGCATAAATAAATAAAATTTAAAATAGTAAATCAATAGGGAAAATCAACAAAACCAAAAGCTGGGTCTTTGAAAAGATCAATAAAATTGATAAGCCTCTGGCCTTGATAACTAAGAAGAAAAAAAAGAAAGGACACAAATTACTAATCTTAGAAATGAAACAGGAGACATCACTACAGGTCCTACGGACATTAAAAAGATAACAAAGAAGCCCAGCTGGGGTGCCTCAGTGGTTGAGTGCCCACCTATGAGCCTGGAGGGCACTGTTTGATTCCTGGTCAGGGCACATGCCCAGGTTTTGGGCCCAATCCCCAGTGTGTGGAGTGTGTAGAAGGCAGCCAATCAATGTTTCTCTCTTATTATTGATGTTTCTATCTCTCTCTCCCTCTGCCTTCCTCCCTGAAATCAATAAAAAATATATTTTAAAATATAAATTATCTTTTTTTAAAATACATTTTTTATTGATTTCAGGGAGGAAGGGAGAGGGGGAGAGAGACAGAAACATCAATGATGAGAGAGAATCATTGACTGGCTGCCTCTTGCATGCCCCCTACTGGGGATCAAGCCCGCAACCCAGGCATGTGCCCTTGACTGGAATTGAACCCGGGACCTTTCAGTCCACAGACCGACATTCTAGCCACTGAGCCAAAACATTTGGGCGAAATTATCTTTTTTTAAGATTTAGAAGCTAAGATTTGGAAACAGCCCCAAGTGCCCATCAGTAGAGGAGTGGATAAAAAAGCTGTGGTACATTTACACCATAGAATACTATGCAGCTGTAAAAAAGAAGGGTCTCTTACCCTTTGAGACAGCATGGAGGGACCTGGATAGTGTTATGCTAAGCGATCCTGAAAATATCATTGAGCCTTTAGGACCAATGTGCCTGCAGCCAACTTACCTGTGGGCTGCCTGGTTACTGCAGCCACTACATTTTCCTTCTGCTCAAGCTAGTCTGAGCTGGTTTCCTGGCCCTTGCAACCAAAGAGCTCTGCCCATGCATCTCAGAAAGAACAAACACTTGACACGGAGGAAGTACAAAATCACTGGCAACTCTTTCTGCGACCATGACTACTTTAAAAATGAGAACTGAGGGACACAGAAGAGTGAGTGAACTTTGATGTACTTTTCCATTATTAAGAACTCTTACATTGCTCACATTTCTACTTTTCCCCTGACCGTTTTTTCGAACAAACCTTAGAAGAAATTCGGTCTCCTTCTCCTGGCTGGCTTTAGGTTTCTTTTCCAGGGTTTCCTCATAAAAGGCTGAAGGTGGGATGAATGTACGGTTTGCCCTTTTTTTATCGGCTTCTCTTTGGTCTAAATTCTTCGTCTCCCTGTGGGAGAAAAGACACACAGGGAAAAAGACTACAGAGCCCGTATGGACTTTTCTCTCCTATCTTCGTAGGTAAAGAGAGGCAAGTATTTACAAATTCATTCATGACACCTGACAAGAGAAACTGATGAACAGAGAGCTAATCGCGGAGCAGCAGCTCAGCCCTTGCGGTGTGACTGAGGTCCCAGCAGCCCTGGGAACAGAGAGCACAATGGGCGGCCCTTGACCCAAGGAACACATCCTCCAATCAGGAGGCGGCGAGGGACCCACCACCCGGAAGGAAGCTGAGGCGTGAGCTTGGAGGGCGGCTGGATTCCAGTCGGAGCTCTGCACTTGCTGTGTGACCTGGGGCCAATGAATTCACCTCTCCACGCCGGTGTCCTCACCTCCACACGGGAATAATAGCACCTAGCAGTGGTTCTCAACCTTCTGGCCCTTTAAATACAGTTCCTCATGTTGTGACCCAACCATAAAATTATTTTCGTTGCTACTTCATAACTGTCATGTTGCTACTGTTATGAATCATCATGTAAATATCTGATATGCAGGATGGTCTTAGGCGACCCCAGTGAAAGGGTCATTCGCAACCAAAGGGGTCGCGACCCACAGGTTGAGAACCGCTGCCCTAAGGCGTGTGGAGGGTTGAGTTACCACAGGCCAGTTGCTTAGCACAGTGCCTGGGGCACAGGAAGTGCTCGGCAATGGTGGCTGCTGCTGCTGGCATTACAGGAGGTTTTCAGTGGACTGTCTCTAGATAAGCTCGGAGTGCACAGTGGGAATGCTGAGTTGGGTAATATACCAGATGACTTCTGAAATGTGGACATCTGCTTGATGGAGCAGCAGGTTATGGGTGTTCAAGGTAGACAGAATAGCAGTAAATGTATGTTAGAGTGAAGCAAGATGTCGTCCTATACTTCTCTGCTGTGGGAGGGTAGACGTAGAAGGACAGATGTTTAAAAGCTAGCATTGAGCTGTGCCTAAACCAGCAGTTATTCCAACGATGGGGGTCTTTTCCCAAGTCCAAGGGAAGAACTGTGTTACACAACATTCTCATTTTCGCGATCTTCTGCCACAACCTTGTCTTCACTTTCCCGCGCCTGCTTCTGCTCGCAATGAAGAGACCAAAACCAGCGGCCAGCTGTCCTTGTTAGGATCACGTTTTCTAACGGAAAAACTTGGATGTAATTCCTGGATAATATTTTCTGCGCTGTCGTTTCCTGAGATGTGGCAGCCTGCACACGTCTTCGGCTCCTGCTTTCCACTAGTATGAGGATCCTGAGCTTGTAGCAGAGGTCTGTGTGGAAACATTTCAGAGAGCTCTGCAAACAGCCTTCCGAGTTGTGGATGCTTGCCCCAGACAAGTGTGAGGACCAGGCCTCCGACTCACAAGAAAACCAATTCTCCAGCAGCACCGTCTCTGCTCCTTCCCTGCACGGCTCCACCTGCGTGTGCAAACGAGGCTCTTCCTCACTCAGAGCAGAGAACCTTGCAAAATAGTTGCTGGATTGCCTTTCCTGGGGGGGGGGGGGGGGGAGGGCGAGGGAGGGCTGCTCCAGGCCTCCCACCGCGTACTTTCCTTTGGGCCCTGCAGTTTCGTGATATGGGCCTGTGTGTATTCTCTAACGGCGTCATTCACCGAGCACTTCCTTTGAGCCGGCACGGAGCCAGACGTCTTTCACTCGCACAACCACTCCATGAGCACTACTGCGCATGTCCCTGTCATGTAGGGGCACCCATCAGCACTACTGCGCATGTCCCTGTCATGTAGGGGCACCCATCAGCACTACTGCGCATGTCCCTGCCATGTAGGGGCACCCATCAGCACTACTGCGCATGTCCCTGCCATGTAGGGGCACCCATCAGCACTACTGCGCATGTCCCTGTCATGTAAGGGCACCCATGAGCACTACTGCGCATGTCCCTGTCATGTAGGGGCACCCATCAGCACTACTGCGCATGTCCCTGCCATGTAAGGGCACCCATGAGCACTACTGCGCATGTCCCTGTCATGTAGGGGCACCCATCAGCACTACTGCGCATGTCCCTGTCATGTAGGGGCACCCATGAGCACTACTGCGCATGTCCCTGCCATGTAGGGGCACCCATGAGCACTACTGCGCATGTCCCTGTCATGTAGGGGCACCCATCAGCACTACTGCGCATGTCCCTGTCATGTAGGGGCACCCATGAGCACTACTGCGCATGTCCCTGTCATGTAGGGGCACCCATCAGCACTACTGCGCATGTCCCTGTCATGTAGGGGCACCCATCAGCACTACTGCGCATGTCCCTGTCATGTAGGGGCACCCATCAGCACTACTGCGCATGTCCCTGTCATGTAGGGGCACCCATGAGCACTACTGCGCATGTCCCTGTCATGTAGGGGCACCCATGAGCACTACTGTGCATGTCCCTGTCATGTAGGGGCACCCATGAGCACTACTGCGCATGTCCCTGTCATGTAGGGGCACCCATGAGCACTACTGCGCATGTCCCTGTCATGTAGGGGCACCCATGAGCACTACTGCGCATGTCCCTGTCATGTAGGGGCACCCATCAGCACTACTGCGCATGTCCCTGTCATGTAGGGGCACCCATGAGCACTACTGCGCATGTCCCTGCCATGTAGGGGCACCCATCAGCACTACTGCGCATGTCCCTGCCATGTAGGGGCACCCATCAGCACTACTGCGCATGTCCCTGCCATGTAGGGGCACCCATCAGCACTACTGCGCATGTCCCTGTCATGTAGGGGCACCCATCAGCACTACTGCGCATGTCCCTGTCATGTAGGGGCACGCCAGCCCCCAGGGCTAACTGAGGGACCGAGTTCACACAGAATGAGGGAGCGGGAGCCGGAGCTTCAGTCCGTCCAGCGTCAGCGCCAGTGCTCCTGACCCCGTGCTCGGCAAACTGCGGCTCGCGAGCCACATGCGGCTCTTTGGCCCCTTGAGTGTGGCTCTTCCACAAAATACCACGCGGGCACGCACGTACAGGGCGATTGAAACTTCGTGGCCCATGCGCAGAAGTCGGTTTTCGGCCTGGGCGAGTCTGTTTTGAAGAAGTGCTGTTGATATTTGGCTCTGTTGACTAATGAGTTTGCCGACCACTGTCCTAACCGATGTGCTCTATTAGAGAAAAGAGTGGTGACCCATGTCCGAAAGGGCCCTAGCCCATCTGCATGGAGTATTCCACATCAACAGTGTCACCTTTGTTCTTCTTATGTCCACCATTTTAAAAAAAATCTATTTGAAATTTTGTAACATAAAATTTCAAAAAAACCTATTTGAAATTTTATAACATAAAATTTATATATAAAAGTAAATAAAGTAGGCAGGCCATGGTCAAAGAGCAAGAAGAGTATAGAACACCATTTACCCGTTCTCTAACATCAGCAGTTATCAACATAAGGCCAATCTCGACTAACCTACCACTCCCTGTGTCCCCACACCAATACCCACCCCTAGTGGGTTATTTTAAAGCAAATCTTAGACACCATGTCATTTCATTCATAAATACTTCATTATGTATCTCCTTAAGACATGACTCTTAGAAAATAGCACAACTACAAAACTATTATAATACCTTTTAAAAAGGAACATACCAAAAGGAATTCCTTAATATCATCTAAAACCCAGACAATGTTTGAATGAAATGAAGATCTGGTCTCTGTTCTCGTGGAGTTTACATTCTGGCCACAAGGAAAGCTGAATGTGCTTAGGATGGCGTGGGAATAGCCCCCCACATCAGAGTTACTCTGGCGCCCTTGACAGACAGGTGCTGAACGCCGCCCCCCCCTCCCCCCCCATGCCCTGCTCACTTGAGGAAGTTGTCCTGCAGCTCCGCTAGGTACTCGTCAAAGTAACTCCATTCATTGCACCGGAACTGGGTCAGCTGCAGGAGGTTGTCCCTTCGCTTCTTCATGTTGCACAGGGTCAGGTTGATGACATCAGCGTAGGTCAGGCTGGACTCAGTGACTTTCATGGTCAAGGAAAACCCCTCCCTGCCGGTCGCTACTGCCTCTCAGCATATTGGAGGCATGTGCCTGGTGCATGGGGAGGAGGGCCAGGAGACACAGAGTGGGCCTGCTTTGAAAAGAGGCTGTCCCCACCACGGCCAGGCCACTCCCTGTCTGTGAATGAAGCTCTTCTCTCTGCCTGCTGACATAAGGGCCACTTTTTTCATGCTGTCATCTAAGATTCTTACTGTTGTCACCGTGGTGAATAGGAAGGAATTCCATCTTTTCTTTCCTTTCAGGACCAAGGCCTCAATCCCTTGCTCATGTTTGTATGTCAAAATTTTTTCTTTGTCTCCCTCTGTCCCAGGCCTGTGTGTGCCCAGCCAGGCTCCTCCCACTACACTACACTGTCTTTACAGAACAGTAGGTGATAGAAGGAAAAGCATTTCATAAACAATAAAGCTCCATGAAATGTGACATAGAAGAGGTTTGGGGATTTGAAGTGCGATAGGGCAGCCTCTTGGTGTGGAGCTGTGTGTACGTAGATAGGTACCATTCAAGCACTCGTTACCTGACAGGCACCCTGCTCAGCCTTCGCCTCTATAGCGCTTGCACTCTGCAAAAGTCCTACAAGGAGGGCCTGTTATCCCCATTTTACAGATGAAAAAATGAGGCCCAGAGAGAAGCTAGAACTTGTCTAAGTTCACTCAGCCGGGAAGCACTTGAGTTGTCCCCTGAGTCCAGATCTGTTTGAATCCGTATCTGACCCTCTGTGGTAAACTGCTAAGACGCAGGACACCAGCACATGGCACACCTGTTTTCTTAAGATCTGAGCTTTCTCCCAGATCTTTAGGATAAACGTCAATGGGGCCAGGAATTTGCTGATGTGTCTGGGAGAAGGGATGTGTGTTAGGAGAAACACACCCAAAATTCCTGACCAACACACACTCCAGGGTCAGTGAGCATCCGGGAGGCGTGACTGAGTTGCAATGTTTGAGGACCTGGTTAGCCCATTCATCCTGGTACCGGGGAGACACTTTCTACACAAGGTAATTCGACTTGCCCAGGGTCCGCAGCCAGTTCATGAGGCAGAGGTGGAACTAAAACGAGCAAGATTCTGACCCGTGGGCTTCTATCAATGGCCACCCTCGGCAGGCACCTACTGTGTGCCAGGCGCTGTATGAAGGGCTGGATGCTCTGGGAAGAGGAAGCAGGGAAGGATATGGGACGGTCTTGGTTATTTCTGTCCTGGTCATCAGCACGTCTCTGCCACAATGCCGCAGGGTGGCGTAGTTCAGCAGGAAGTGAACAACCAGAGGACTCTTCCCGTAAATGTTGAAGAGGTTGGAAGACATCTCAGGGATTTTGCAGGCAGGGTGAGACTGAGAGAGGGGGGAAAATAAAGGGTACTGTCAATTTTACAGCATTAAGAAACGTAAAGGGCCCTGGCCGGTTTGACTCAGTGGATAGAGCGTCAGCCTGGGAACTGAAGGGTCCCAGGTTTGATTCCGGTCAAGGGCACATGCCCGGGTTGTGGGCTCGATCCCCAGTGGGGGACTTGCAAAAGGCAGCCGATCCATGATTCTCTCTCATCATGGATGTTTCTATCTCTCTCTCCCTCTCCCTTCCTCTCTGAAATCAATAAAAATATATTTTAAAAAAATCTTTAAAATAAAAAAAAAGAAGAAAAGAAAAGTAAAGGCATTCATGTCCTTTGAGCTGGGAACTCTCACTTTAGGGTGCTTCCTAAGGAAGTTACCCAAAAGAAAGAAAAACGGCTTAGGCACCAAGATGCTGACTAGTGCCCAAGATGCTGTTTTACTCTAACAAAAGGTTAGGATAATGTTCAAGAAGATATTACTATCCCTAACCAAAGAAATAGTTAATTGGTGCTTGTTGAATAGCATGCCACTATTAAAATGTTTATGAAGCCCTAGCTGGTTGCTCAGTGGTTAGAGCGCTGGCCCAAGGACTGAAGGGTCTCGGGTTCAATTCTGGTCAAGGGCATGTACCTAGGCTGCAGGCTTGATCCCTGGCCCTGGTTGGAGTGAGTGCGGGTGGCAACCAATCTCTTTCTGTCTCTCCCTGTCCCTTCCACTCACTCTCTCTCAAAATCAATGGGAAAAATATTCTCAGTTGAGAATTAACAAAATAAAAATAAAATATTTATGAAGAGTTGGTACTAAAATATTGCTTTAGGTGTAATAGATTAAAATAATCAAGATGCAAGATTGAGTAGATAATATTACATATTTTATATAAAAGAACTATAATAATTATATGAAATAATCCATGGGTACAGACAATAGGATGGTGAAGGCTTGGGGCAGGGAGGGGGGACGGGCTAGAGGGGGTCAATGGCAGGGGAAGGGGACATATTTAATACTTTCAACAATAAAGATTGAATTTAAAAAATAAAAATGAAACCATAACAATGCTGGGCTTCATTTTCCCCAATTTTATAGAAAAAGGTCGGAAAAGTTAAACAACTTCCTCAAGTAGCACGGCTGATGAGATGCAGCACCAAGATTTGAACCCATGCTGCCTGTTCTTGCCACCATGCCCTGCTACTTCTCAAAAACTTCCTGCTAAACGCGGACAGGAAACGGGCAGTGGTAATAAATACGGAGAAATGAAGAAGGTTCAAGAAGCCTCCTGCAATGCTTGCTGTCCTTGGCCCAAACTCCATGGTATAAGGCCTTTGCTCGGTGGTGTCTTGGGAAAGCCCCCAACCTCTTGCCCTGTGCAGGGCCCTAAGGGCCCCTCTCCCCTACACAGCACGGCAGGTGCCACTGACAGAAACTACCCGGCACATGGGCGCATGGGGGCGGGGAGGAGAAGAGGAGAACACGACCCCGGGGGTCCTGTGTTCCGTGGACTGTGCCGTGGCAAGGCTCCATGGCTAGGAGCCCAGGCTCAGAGCCGGACAGACCTGCACGCAAGGCTTTCTCTCTTATTTGCTTTGTGAACTTGGACAAATGAGTACTTGTTCTGAGCATCATCTTCCTCACTAATAAACTAGAGAAAAGCAGTCATGATCTCCCAGGACAGAGACAGTTAAACAACAAGTACTGTGCGCACAGGGTTAGCAAGTACCTGCCATGGAGGGTTTATTACATGATAATTATCACCACCACCTCCGGCAAGTCTCATAGCACCATGACCGCGGAGCCACTGTCTCCATTTTATAGAGCAGCAAACAGACTCCGTGCTCTCTTCCCAGTACACCCAGGCTCCTGAATTTCAAGCATTTAAACGCCCGGAGAAATCCAGACAAAACATTTACTTCACGTGTGCTCACCTCAGCCAGGAATTACCCTTAGGCCCGTGGTCGGCAAACTGCGGCTCGCGAGCCACATGCGGCTCTTTGGCCCCTTGAGTGTGGCTCTTCCACAAAATACCACGTGCGGGCACGCACGTACAGTGTGATTGAAACTTCGTGGCTCATGTGCAGAAGTCGGTATTTTGTGGAAAAGCCACACTCAAGGAGCCAAAGAGCCGCATGTGGCTCGCGAGCCGCAGTATGCTGACCACTGCCGTAGGCAATTTTCTGGCGGCGTCACCTGAGTCTACCACTGGAAGTACCCAAATTCTTACCCTGACATCTCAACAGTGCTAGCTTTTGTAGTTATATCCCTTGGCCCCTTTAAAATCACCTCTACTATTAAATTCCAATTCTGTGCTCACCTTCTTAGGAAGCATATTCTCATATATTCTTGCTTCTGATCTTTTCTTGACTTGTGTAGCTTTCCTCAAGGCCTGAGTCTGACCATGCTCTGTCAAAGTAATATTAGCAAAAAAATTAAAAATAAAATAATAATAATAATTGGGAGTTGGTCAGCCATGGTAGATCTGTTTCCTAATAATGTAAAAATGCCTGGGTGGATTCGGATCACTGGGAAATACTAGAGGAAGTAGATTGGGTAAATTTATACAACTTAACTTGCATTTTATACAGACATACCCCTATGGCCATAGATTTTTCCATTTATTAAGCTATCCACCGATCCAAGAAACATTTACGGAGCATCTACCATGTGCTAGAAGTAGATTATCTTCAAGAAACTCATATTTTAGTGAGAAAAAGAAGGCATGCAAGTAATAAGTGTAACGCTAACTCAGGTGCCATGATAGAGTTCTCTACAAAAGTGGAACTAAATCAGTGCTCGTTGAACTGAAAAGACAATTACGTCTTCTCATAAGATATTACGTGGTGCCAGGGCCCAGGCTAGAAGGGAGCAAACTAGGGCGACAAATTATGTTGAAACAAACTCAAGAAAGGAGGGCTTTGGAGACGATCACTGAGTCGAAAGCTGACACTTCCCTTTTAGCTAGTTCCTGTACCTTGCGTGGTGTTCTGTGATTGTGGGGTATCCTCTGAATTCTTGGATAAACATCTTCTCCTGCTTTTTAAATGTCCACTAGTCCACTGCAGGGGAGAGGGGGGAAAAACAAATTCAGTCAAACTGGCAGTGAGAATAATACAAAAAGGTATATGCAATTTTGGCCATTAGTTGGCCCTGTAATTAAGGATGACATGCTATTTCCTAGATATTTCTGATTCTTCTTGTAGAGGGAGAGCTTTCAGGCACAGCTAGACAACACAGCCCTTCATCCCGGGAACCTGGTGGAGAGAAGAGGCTAATGTAGAAAATGCAAGGGCTGGGGACTGAGGCGCCGGGTTCCCGTCCCGGACCTGCTGCGCGACCGCCGGCGGTCCTGGGCAAGTCACCGAATTCTCGATGCCTTTGTTTCCTCGTGGGGTTCTTGTGAGACTAAGGCAGCTATAGCGTGCCAAGTGCAGGAGTGGCTGCTCATGGGCAGAGCTCTGTGAAAACAGCGACCGCTGTCCGTGCCATCACCGCGCCTCCTTCAGGAAACATTTCATCGAGCCACGACGACTGTGCCTGGCACCGGGGACACCTGAAGCGCAGTCCCTGCAGAGGAGCGCCCGGGCCAGCAGGGGCGAGATCAGTGACAGACAGTTATGCTGAGGTGTGAAAAGTGTCACGCATTTAGGAGAGAAGATTAGGTGTGTCTGTGAGTGACAGAGTGGCTCAAACTAGGAGGAACTTCTTTCCCACAGAGCAGCCTGAAGGCAGACAGTGCAGGCTTGTATGTATTTCTGCAGAGATAAGCCCTTCAGGCCTCCGACTTCTTCCAGCACAAGGTTCCACCCTCCCTAGGATAGAAACCTTGTTCTGAGGGTCCAAAATGGCAGCTAGCACTCCAGCCCTTACACTCATATTCCAGGGAGCAGAATGGAGAGAACAGCAGAGGCAAAGGACTCACTGTGCTCTTTCCATAAGGCTCCCAGGACACCCCCCGGCACCCACCCCTGAATCTCATTAACTGGGTCTGTCGAATGGCTACCCATGTCGGGGAGGCTAGGAAGTAATCTTGTATCTGGCCACATAAGTGCCCGGATGAAAATCAGAGGTTCTCTCCTATAGAGGAAGGAGACAACAGACACTGCGGCACAACCGATAGCAGGCCGGATGCATGCGAGCAGCGCACATTAGAAGGCAGAGTGGGAATGCTGCGTTCTCTCTGGGGGAGCTGGAGGGTTTCCAAGGAGAGGAGACACTTTGGTTCTGTCTTTAAGGATGAGTAGGAGGTTAGTGATGCTAAACAGATGGCCCACCAAGTGGCAGACGAGCAGCCCACCAGTCTCAACAACTGCCACTTTGCTTTTATAAAAATACTAGAGGCCCAGTGCACAGATTCGTGCACCCATGGGGTTCCTTGGCCTGGCCTGCGCCCTCTCGCAATCCGGGACCCCTCAGGGGATGTAGTCATGTATGAAGCAGCAGGCAGCCGAGCGCCATGCGCTCCCACTCATCCTGGCCCCGCTGCCCCTCTGCTGCTGTGCTCGCCAGCTGTGAGCCCCGCATCAGTCCGCTGAGTGGCGCTCCCCCTGTGGGAGCGCACTGACCACTAGAGGGCAGCTCCTGCATTGAGCGTCTGCCCCCTGGTGGTCAGTGCGCATCATAGCGACTGGTCCATCGGTCATTCGGTCGTTCAGTCGCTTAGGCTTTTATATATATAAATATACAGAGATGATATTTGATTAGAGAGAAGAGAGCTGAAAGGACTTCCCATACACCATGCAGCTGGCTGTGCGACAGATACTGATGTTTATAGTTTAAAGTGGTGACTGGGATTTGTTAGAGAGAAAACACTCCCAGGGCTCAATGAAGCATCATGTTCATTCTTAACAGGCTTCAGTGAGCCTGACAGTAGAGCAGAGAATAAATGCAGAGGCCGGCTTGGTTTGCGTCATTAGACTCTCCTGTTTGTTGGAGAGGCAGCATAGTGATGCAGGAGGAGCCAGGCTGACAGCGTCCTGGCGTCAGCTGAAGTCGGCTGTGTGGCCCAGGGGAAGTGATTCAGCTCTGGGAGGCATGTCTTCCTTTGCCGAATAAAGATAATCATTACCGCCCGCTGGCATGGCTCAGTGGTTGTGCGTCGAACTATGAACCAGGAGATCACAGTTCAATTCCCGGTCAGGGCACATGCCCGGGCTGCGGGCTCGTATTGGGGCAAGCAGGAGGCAGCCAATCAATGATTCTCTCTCATCATTGATGTTTCTCTCTCTCTCCCTCTCCCTTACTTTCTGAAATCAATAAAAATATATATTTTTTAAAAAGATAATCATTACCGACCTTGCAGAAATGTTGTAAGGACTAGAGAGGATATTTGCAAAGACAATCTGCCCATGATGGACTGTCCGATTACTTTTCTATCTATTCTCATGTTGTGACCAGCAACTACCCCGAGTGTATGAGGCGGTGACATCGTTGGGATGGGGGTAACATAAGAATGCTCTGCGCTCTGGCCGGTTTGGCTCAGTGGATAGAGCGTCGGCCTTCAGACTGAAGGGTCCCAGGTTTGATTCCGGCCAAGGGCACATGCCCAGGTTGCGGGATCAATCCCCAGTAGGGGGTGTGCAGGAGGCAGCCGATCAATGATTCTTTCTCTCCCTTTCCCTTCCTCTCTGAAATCAATAATATATATAGATTAAGACTGCTCTGGGGCCCCCGCCCCACCACAGCACAGAGATGGAACCATTCTCCCCACGTGGTCAGCCTGCTGCTCAGACTGCGCACGCTGCGGACCCAGGAAAGCAGGAGACAGCGCGAGATTCAATCCGGAGATGCCCAGAAATACCCGAGGGGCCTGGGCTTTGAGATCTGGTACTAGCAGGTAGGGGCACAAGCTGGAGGAATCTGGGTCAGCACTGTCATTGACACACTCCGTGCCCAGGCCCCGCACCGTGCCCAGGCCCCGCTCCGTGCCCAGGCCCCGCTCCGTGCCCAGGCCCCGCACCGTGCCCAGGCCCCGCTCCGTGCCCAGGCCCCGCGCCGTGCCCAGGCCCCGCGCCGTGCCCAGGCCCCGCTCCGTGCCCATGCTCTGGAACTCCAGCCCCCCACCCCCACCCAAGAAGGTGGGGTGAGGAGTGCAGAGATGTGGGACTAACCGGAAGGCATTGGAGCTTATGGGGCTCCAAGGGGCCTGGGTTTGTGCCTCCCCACTCACCTGAGAACAGGGGACTTTCCCGCTATAGACAGCCTTGTAAGAAGAGTATGCCTTAGGAATGAGGAAAGACATCTGTTTTCCTAGGGAAGAGAAAAGGTTGTTCCTCAATTGCTTCATGTCTTGGGTGGCACTGCAGGCCAGGAGCCTCGGTTTGCAGACTGCCCCCTCCCTGGAGGCAATAGCAACAGCAAAAGAACCAGCCTCAGGCAAAGCAGAACCACTTCCTGAGTGACTTGGGCAAGTTACCTAACCTCTCTGATCCCATTAAAGGTACGGATACGAACTACCTCACAGGCCAATGAACCAATGACAGGAAATATGTACGCAGAGTACACAGGACAAGCACTCAATGCACAGGAAGAAAAAAAAAGACTTCAAAAGAAGAACCAAAACTCAGAACCCAGCAAAACTGAAATGAATAAATGTTGGGTTAAATGCTTTAAAAAGTAACAACCTATCAATCTCATAAGATTTAAAATTAGTATCAACTGAAATGTCATTACATTTGAGACAATTTACAGGTTAGATTTTCTTTTCACCTTGGAACTCCTGTGTGCGCATGACCACTGCTGGAAAAGCAACCCTATTGTGTGAGCCAATAACTGCAAACACGTAGGAAGGAGCACACAGCAGCGCCGGGCTCTGAGAATGCTCATCTCCAGGCGCCACCGCAGCCGCGCCAGTCCTCCGAGGCTGTCCGGAACGTTCCTCCCTGTGCCCTGCACGGGGTTTCTCAAACTGGAACGTGCTTGTCGATCCCAGCGGATCGTGGTGGACTGCAGTCTGATTCAGTGCAGCTAGAGCAGCGGTTCTCCACCTTCCTAACGCCGCGACCCTTTCATACAGCTCCTCATGTTGTGGTGACCCCCAACCATAAAACCATTTTTGTTGCTACTTCATCACTGTAATGCTGCTACTGTTATGAATCGTCATGTAAATATCTGACATGCAGGATGTATTTTCAGGGGTCGCGACCTACAAGTTGAGAACCGCTGAGAGGGATGCTGAGCTTCAGGTCCTTGGACCACACTCCGCAGTCCCGAGTTTGAATCCTGCCTCAGCCACGGGCTGCTTATCCCTCCCGGTCCTCCCACTGCTGCCACAGGAATGCCTCTCTGTTCCCCGCATGCCTCTGGGTCTTCTCACCTGCTGTTCCCTCTGCCTGGAACAGTCGTCTTCCCTTTTGCAGCCTAAGCCACGCATCCTTTAAATCTCGGCCTAACTGCCACTCACTGTCCCTCTCAGGGCTGGACTGGGTGCCCCTCCCCGGGCCGCTCAGCACCTATTCCCGTCTCAGTGCCCCGTTCACTGCGGCATCATCGTGTTGCCCGTATTTCCCATCAGACTGCGCGGCGGGGGCTGCGCTGGCCTCCCCGGGGATCCTCGTGTCTGCCTGGCACAGGCCTGGCACACGGTGCTCTGTAAGCACTTGCAGGAAGGAAGCTGGCCTGGGGAAGTTGCTTCTCTGAACTCTAGTCCCCTCATCTGAGGATTCAGTGTGTCCTTCAGCTCGCTGTGGTGAAGATTCAATAAAGAGGATGAAGAGCTGAACGTGGTGCCTGGCACACGGCAGACCATAACCGGCATCTATTATTATAATATAAAGTACTGCCACCGCCCCCTCCCCCCCAACAATGACGCTGCGCTGACTAACTGTGGCTCCTAAATGAACATGCCAGTCAGTTTGGTGGCTAGTTTGGGGATCCATGAGAGAACCTGGCCTGAGGATTTCAATACGAAGGCCTTTCCCTGCCCCAGCTAGATGGTGGCTGGGCGTGACCGGGGCAAAGGGGACAGAAGTCCATAAGCGGGACCTTACCCCTTCTCCATCGTCTTCTCCTCGGTATTAACCCTTCTCTCCGGAATCTCTCTGGGTCCAGGTTCGAGTAGTCCCAAGTGTCATAGCCCAGTGGGCTGGGATATATACCTAAGGGGAAGGCAAACGTGATCCTGAAAACTGCCAAAGAGGACGAGAGGCAGGAAACAGAAGACAGAGGCCTCTGAGCTGCCCCCTGCTGGTCCCGGGGAGGCTGGGCTTCCAGCAAGTGCCATCTCCATCCCACGGGCATCCTCTCTAAGAGGCTTTGGTTTCCTCATCAGGAAAATGCAGATGGTGACGCCCACCCTGCCCTCCTGACAGCGTGGGTGTGAGGATCAGATCACAGCACAGACAAGGGACCCTAGGGCGTGCTGTGCAGAGGTGAGGGCTGTGCAGAGGGGAAGGCTGTGCAGAGGTGAGGGCTGTGCAGAGGGGAGGGCTGTGCAGAGGGGAAGGCTGTGCAGAGGGGAGGGCTGTGCAGAGGGGAGGGCTGTGCAGAGGGGAAGGCTGTGCAGAGGGGAGGGCTGTGCAGAGGGGAGGGCTGTGCAGAGGGGAAGGCTGTGCAGAGGGGAGGGCTGTGCAGAGGGGAGGGCTGTGCAGTGGGGAGGGCTGTGCAGAGGGGAGGGCTGTGCAGAGGGGAAGGCTGTGCAGAGGGGAAGGCTGTGCAGAGGGGAGGGCTGTACAGAGGGGAGGGCTGTACAGAGGGGAGGGCTGTGCAGAGGGGAAGGCTGTGCAGAGGGGAGGGCTGTACAGAGGGGAAGGCTGTGCAGAGGGGAGGGCTGTACAGAGGGGAAGGCTGTGCAGAGGGGAGGGCTGTACAGAGGGGAAGGCTGTGCAGAGGGGAAGGCTGTGCAGAGGGGAAGGCTGTGCAGAGGGGAGGGCTGTACAGAGGGGAAGGCTGTGCAGAGGGGAGGGCTGTACAGAGGGGAAGGCTGTGCAGAGGGGAGGGCTGTACAGAGGGGAGGGCTGTACAGAGGGGAAGGCTGTGCAGAGGGGAGGGCTGTACAGAGGGGAAGGCTGTGCAGAGGGGAGGGCTGTACAGAGGGGAAGGCTGTACAGAGGGGAAGGCTGTGCAGAGGGGAGGGCTGTGCAGAGGGGAAGGCTGTGCAGAGGGGAGGGCTGTACAGAGGGGAGGGCTGTACAGAGGGGAGGGCTGTGCAGAGGGGAAGGCTGTGCAGAGGGGAGGGCTGTACAGAGGGGAAGGCTGTGCAGAGGGGAGGGCTGTACAGAGGGGAAGGCTGTGCAGAGGGGAGGGCTGTACAGAGGGGAAGGCTGTGCAGAGGGGAGGGCTGTACAGAGGGGAGGGCTGTACAGAGGGGAGGGCTGTGCAGAGGGGAGGGCTGTGCAGAGGGGAGGGCTGTACAGAGGGGAAGGCTGTGCAGAGGGGAGGGCTGTGCAGAGGGGAGGGCTGTGCAGAGGGGAGGGCTGTACAGAGGGGAAGGCTGTGCAGAGGGGAAGGCTGTGCAGAGGGGAGGGCTGTGCAGAGGGGAGGGCTGTGCAGAGGGGAAGGCTGTGCAGAGGGGAGGGCTGTGCAGAGGGGAAGGCTGTGCAGAGGGGAGGGCTGTACAGAGGGGAGGGCTGTACAGAGGGGAGGGCTGTGCAGAGGGGAGGGCTGTACAGAGGGGAAGGCTGTGCAGAGGGGAGGGCTGTGCAGAGGGGAAGGCTGTGCAGAGGGGAGGGCTGTACAGAGGTGAGGGCTGTTCAGAGGGGAGGGCTGTGCAGAGGGGAAGGCTGTGCAGAGGGGAGGGCTGTACAGAGGGGAAGGCTGTCCGGGGCGGAAGGCTGTGCAGAGGGGAGGGCTGTGCAGAGGGGAGGGCTGTGCAGAGGGGAAGGCTGTACAGAGGGGAAGGCGTTGTAATGTTTGTTTTCACGCCTGTCGCCTCTGCTTTTATTGGACTATGAGCTCGCTGAGGGCAGGTCTGATTTCTCGTTCCACCTCCTGTTCTAGGGCTGACTGTTGGACCTGGAACATGAAAAACAGGGATTTGGTAGATTTTATTCCACATGGTATCACACTCAGCTGAGTGACAGAGGGGTTCGCCCCAGGATTTGATGGTGATGTTTACGGGACGAATGCTCCCCTTTTAAGGAAACCATGTGTTTCAGAGTCTTGGCTTCTCGGAACCTGAACCCGCAGACATGAGAGGGACTCCACGGTCTCCCTCAGTTCTTTGGTTTGGGAAAGAAAAGACCCAGGATTAGCTGAGAAATGTGTCTCAATGCACAGCTGTTGTCTCTGTTGGACGACGTAAGTAGACAGGAGGCTTGTTACTGGGAATGGATCAGGAAAGGGAGGCACAGCCTTGGACAAAAAGGGGAATAGGAAGGAGGGACAGAAAGTCAGGGGATAGGAGGCAGAGTGGCAGGAGGGCCAAAGACCCAGCTTTGCCTGGTGCTGAATCCCCCATGTGTTTGCTGTTGAATTTCTTGGATCCTGCAGATGCCGAGAAGATTAAATGGGCGTGTGGACTATTGTCCTTACAAAGGTCCGCTTGCAAGTCTGGCCCTTAGCTGGCCTCTGGGATGGACCTTGACTGGTGAACATTTCCTTCCACTGATATAAAACTTTCCCTAACTATAGAGAATAAATGGATAAATTCTGAGAAACATACAACCTACCAAGACAAAATCATGGAAGAAATAGGACATCTGAACAGACAAATGAGTAAGGACAAAAGCCCAAGACCAGATGGCTTCACGGATAAATTCTAATAAAATTTAAAGACGAACTAACTCCAATCCTTCTCAAGTCCTTCCAAAAAATTGGAGATGAGGGAAGTCTCATTATAGAAGACTAGCATTATCCTGATACCAAAGCCAGATAAGGATACCCTAAGAAAAGAAAATTATAGGCCAATATCTCTGATGAATATAGATGAAAAAATTCTCAACAAAATACTAGCAAACAGAATTCAAGAGTATATTAAAAGGATCATACACCACGATGAAGTGGGATTTACCCTTGGGATGCAAGGAGAGTATGACACACACAAATCAATAAATGTGATACATTATATTACTAGAATGAAAGACTAAAAAGCACACGCTCATCTCAATAAATTCAGAAAAATCCTCTGGCAAAATTCAACATCCTTTCATGATAAAAACTCTAAAAAAAGTGGGTATAGAAGGAACATGTCTTAACATAATAAAGGCCATATATGACAAGCCCATAGCGACATCATACTCAACAGTGAAAGGTTGAAATATTTTCTTCTAAGATCAGGAACGAAACTAAGGTACCCACTCTCACTACGCCTACTCAACACAGTACCAGAAGTCCGAGCCAGAGCAATCAGGCAAGAATAAGGAATAAAAGATATCCAAACCAGAAAGGAAGAAGTAAAATTGTCTCTTTTTGCTGATTACTTGGTATTACATACAGAAAACCCTAAAGATTCCACAAAAAAACGGTTAGAACTAATAAGTAAATTCAGTAAAGTTGCAGGATACAAAATCAACACACAAAAATCAATTATGTTTTTATACACTAACAAAAAACTATCAAAGAAATAAAGAAGACAACCCCATTTACAATAATATTAAAAACAGTAAAATATTTAGGAATAAATTTAGCCAAGGAATTAAAATACATAAGACTATAAGACATTGATGAAAGAAATTGAAGATACAAATAAACAGAAAAATATCACATGTTCATGGATCAGGAGAATTAACATTATTTAAAATGTCCATATACCCAAATCCATCTATAGATTCAATGTAATCTCTATAAAAATTCCAAAGGCATTTTTCACAAAAATAGAAAGAAACTATCCTAAAATTTGTATGGATTCACAAAAGACCTTGAACAGCTAAAACAATCTTGAAAAAGAACAAAGTTGGAGGCATCACACTCTCTGATTTTAAACTATATTACAAAGTTACAGAAATCAAAACAGTATGGTACTGGCAAAAAACAGAAATCCACAGACACACAGATCAATGAAACAGAATTGAAAGCCCAGAAATAAACCCACACGGATAGAGTTAACTAATATTGGAAATTCAAGTGTCATAGCCCAGTGACACTTATTTCTCCAAGAATAATCGATGGAGAAAGGACAGTCTCTTCAATAAACGGTGCTGGGAAAATTAGATATTCATGTGCAAAAAATATGAAATTGAAACCCCTGTCTTACACCACTTACAAAAGTCAATTCAAAATGGATTAAGGACTTAAGTGTAAGACCTGAGACCATAAAACTCCTGGAATACAACCTAGGGAGAAAGTTCTTTGACATTAATTTTGTCAATGATTTTTTTCACATTACACCAAAGGCACAAACCACAAAAGCAAAAATAAACAAGTGGGACTACAGCCAACTTAAAAGCGTCTACACACAAAAGAAAACAAAATGAAAAGGCAACCGACTGAATGGGAGAAAGTATTTGTAAATCATTTATCAGATGAGGGGCTAATATTCAAAGTATAAAAGAGCGCATACAACTCAGTAACAAAACAAATAATCCAGTTAGGAAACGGGCAGAGGACCTGAATTGACATTTTTCCCAAAGATACTTAAAATGGCCAATAAGTACATGAAGAAGTGCTCAACATCAGTAATCACCAAGGAAATACAAATCACCTGTATGCATATATGCATAGCCCTGGACACAGACAATAGGGTGGTGAAGGCCTGGGATGGGGGGAAGGGTGGACTGGAGGAAAGGGTGGGGGGGGGGAGACATATGTAATACTCTCAAAAATAAAGATTTTTTTAAAAAAAGGAAATGCAAATGAAAACCACAATGCGATGTCACCTTATAGCCATTAGAGTAGCTATTATAAAAAAGACAAGAAATAACAAATGTTGGCAAAGATGTGGAAAAAAGGGAACTCCTGTGACCCATTGGTACGAATGTAAATTGGTACAACCATTATGGAAAACAGTATGGACGTTCCTCAAAAATTTAAAACAGAATTACCATGCAATCCCAGCATCTCACCTCTGGACACATACCCAAAGGAGTGAAATCACTGCCTGAAGAGATATCTGCACCCCATGCTCAGTGCAGCACTAGGACCATAGCCAAGGCATGGGGCCTGAATGTCCATCCACCGCTGGATGTGTGAAGAAAGTGTGGCATATACACGCAATGGAATGTTATTCAGCCACGAAAAGGAGATCCTGACACTTGTGACAACATGGACAGACCTTGAAGACACTATGCTAAGTGAAGTAAGTCAGACAAAGACAAATACTGCATCATCTCACTTATGTTTAGAATCTTAAAAAGCTGAACTCAGAAGCAGAGAGTAGAAGGGGGGCTGCCAGGAGCTGGTGGGTGGGGAAATGGGGAGGTGTTGGTCCAAGGGTATAGGCTTCCAGCTATAGGAGGGACAAGTTCTCAGCATTTGATATCCATTATTGTGACTATAGTTAACAATACTGTATTGTCTACTTGAAAGTGGCTATGAGAGTAAATCCTCAATGTTCTCATCATAACCACCACTACAAAAAATGGGAATTATGTGAGGTGCAGGATGCGTTAGTTAACCTTGTTATGGTAAACTCTTAGCAGTATATATGCGTATGAAGTCATCACATTGTACCTGAAACTTACACAGGGCTACATGTCAATTACATCTCAATAAAGCTGGGGGGAAACATTTTCCCTAGTGCAGCGGTTCTCAACCTGTGGGTCGCGACCCCTGAAAATACATCCTGCCTATCAGATATTTACATGACGATTCAGAATAGTAGCAACATGACAGTTATGAAGTAGCAACGAAAATAATTTTATGGTTGGGGGTCACCACAACGTGAGGAGCTGTATGAAAGGGTCGCGACATTAGGAAGGTTGAGAACCACTGCGTGGACAAGAGGGCGCCACTGTGCCTCGGCTGCTTGTAAATGATGTGGCTTATGCTGAACCTCTGCTCTTCTGGAATCTGGGGCATGTGGACAGAGGCGGCTGCACGGCCAGCCCCCAAAAGTCTTGGGTGCTCTTTCTCTAGTGGGATTCTGGGCAGGAACGTCACAGGCAGGGGGCTACATTTTCGTTGCAGAAGGAGAGGGTTCTGCATAACTCCTCCCGGGAGGGAGAGAGCATGCGGAAGCCTCACGGACTCCTCCCAACCCCGACTGTCTTCTCCCCTACGATCCGCTGTGCATCCTACCACGTCGCTGTCATACATCTCAGCCATGAACACACCGGTGAGTTCTCTTAGCAGGTCTCCTAATGGGGGAGTAAGCTTGGAGACCGCCAGCACAGCAGGAAATGTGACAGGAGCTTACTTAGCAGAGTACCTGGTGCACAGGAACCTCTCGGTAACGGTGGCTTTTAGTGACCTTAACAATGTCTGCGCTGAGCCCTGGCTGGTGTGGCTCGGTTGGTTGTCATCCTGTGCACCGAATGGCTGCCAGTTCGATTCCCGGTCAGGGCACATGCCCCGGCTGTGGGCTCAATCCCCAGTAGGGGGCGTACAGGAGGCAGCCAATCAATGATTCTCTCTCATCATTGATGTTTCTATCTCTCTCCCTCTCCCTTCTTCTCTGAAATCAATAAAAATATATTTTTTAAAAGAAAGGAAAGCAAACGTCACACTGGCGCTGTGTGTGCTGCAGACAAGGGGAGACTATGCTGTTGGACCGCCAGGCCTCACTCAGGCAAGGGCTGTGGAGGGTGGGATGCTCTAACCGGCAGACGCTTTGGGTTCCTGAGTTCTGGGTCCATCAGCTCACAGCACAAAGGCAGCTTGTGCACAGCAAACGGGGCTGCGCTCAAACCTGAGGCCGGCAGATGCGGCTGGACACAAGCAGGGGACTAGGAATGGCTCAGAGCTGTTCGGAGGAAGCAGGGAAATTGGCACCCGTGGCTCTAATGTCAAGGAGAGGAACGGACAACCGCCTCAATGAAGGGATGGCAAACAAGAACACACTCAGGTGGGAAGAGTATTTCCAGAATTGCTTTCCAAGCCACCTCTTACCTGAAATCCACAGGCTCATGGTGTTACAGATATAAGACTTGAATTCGTGTGTGTTGAGCCAGGACTGTGGGAAGCAGGAACTGAAGCTGGTGTACAGGCCTTTACTCAGAAGCGATGGCAACCTCTGGGAGCAAGCAGAGCTTAGGCAACATTCTAGACATTTCTAGACCCAGAAAAGAGCCCCTGACATCAGAAAGGACTTGTGATAAAATTCTCTACCTGATGCCTGGCCGTTGTGGCTCAGTGGTTGAGCATCAACCCATGCACCAGGAGATCATGGTTCGAATCCCGGTCAGGGCACATGCCCAGGTTGTGGGCTCCATCCCCAGTATGGGGCATGCAGGAGGCAGCCGATCAATGATTCTCTCTCATCATTGATGTTTCTCTCTCTTTCTCCCTCTCCCTTCCTCTCTCTGAAATTAATAAAAACATTTATTTTTTTAAAATTCTCTACCTGACAGCAGGCTGCCTTCCTCGTTATGAGTGGAGCAATTTCCCCCTGCACTGCCCCACAACCTGGTGAACTCCTTCCCCTACCTGGGAGCTATGCTGGTCAGCAACCCTTCCACTAGCCCCTTCTGCAAGCAGCCGAACAGTAGTCCAGAAGGTGACAAGATACCCGTGACCCCCAGAAATGATACTACTCACTGGGGTTTTCCTGTGCACAGGTGGTACTGTCATTTCTTAACTATGCTGGAGCTCAAATTACACATTTATATTTGGCTTTAGTCATTCACCATCCTATCTAATAAAAGGCCAATATGCAAATTGACTGAACGGCAGAACAACCGGTCACTATGATGCACACTGACCACCAGGGGGCAGATGCTCAACGCAGGAGCTTCCCCCTGGTGGTTAGTGTGCTCCCACAGGGGAAGCGCTGCTCAGCCAGAAGCCAGGCTCAGGGCTGGCGAGCGCAGCAGAGGTGGCGGGAGCCTCTCCTGCCTCTGTGGCAGTGCTAAGGATGTCTGGAGAGGGCCTAAGCCATCAGTCAGACATCCCCCGAGGGCTCCCAGACTGCGAGAGGGTGCAGCTGGGCTGAGGGACCCCCCCCCCCGAGTGCACGAATTTTGTGCACTAGGCCTCTAGTTATAACATAAGCACTTCTCCAAGTTATTATAAACTCTTTGGGATTCTTTTCCCAATAGTAACTTTTATAATATTACTAGAGGCTTGGGGCATGGATTTGAGCACCAGTGGGGTCCCTTGGTATGGCCTGCGGTGATCAGGCCGAAACTGGCAGTCTAACACTGCCTGCCACTCCTGCCTGCCGCTCCTGCTCATCCCAGCCCTACTGAACCTGCCGCTGCCACTGCTCGGTAGCCTCACTGCTGCTCCGCTGCAGTCTCAGGACTGCGGCAGCCAGCTGTGAGCCCTGCGTCTGGCACCCGTTGGTCAGCTGAGTGGTGCTCCTGCTGTGGGAGCGCACCAACCATCAGGGGGCAGCTCCTGCATTGAGTGTCTGCCCCCTGGTGGTCAGTGCGCATCACAGCAACTGGTCGAGCGGTCGGCCGGTTGCTTAGGCTTTTATATATATAAATGCTGAGTGGCCATATCAAAATTACCTAAATATCCCCCATTGTTTTCTAGACTTTGCATTACAAATTATGCTGAATAATAATTTTTATTTGTTAAACTACCTCACTGGCACATATTAGACAGTCAAAATTGCTGAATGAATGAATGCATGCGTGAATAAAAGCAGCTTTTCCTGTATATTAAATATGTCTTCCAAAAGATGGTATGGTAATACTATTAATTATAGCAATTCTGATATATTGGGGGCTTATTGTGTGCTGGGAGATATATCAGATGCCTTACAAATATCATCTCAGTTAATCCTTAGGACAAGTCAGTGAAAGGCATTATTGTCCCCATTTTATGGGTGATGAAACTGAGGCACAGAAAACCTAAGTGAATTGTTAAGTGGTCACTTAAATAGCTTAAGTGCCTTACAGCACAATTCACTCCCCACTCGTCCTGTCCTGCCGGGGTCCAACCCCAGCAGGTCCAGGGGTCCCCAAAGGTGTGGACGGAGTCGGCGAAGAAGGAATGACACGGAGACAGCGTTCAGTTGATCAGCAGCCTAGCCAGGATCTCTAGCCAAGTTCTGGTCAGGATCTCCAGGGAAGTTCTGGTTCAGGATCTCCAGCCAAGTTCTGAGTCCATGTTCTCTTGCTAGGTTCTCCAGCCAGGTTCTGCAGCCAGGTTCCCTCGCTAGGTTTTCCAGCCAGGTTCTGTCCAGGTTCTCCAGCCAGGTTCAGTCACCAGGTTCTCTTGCCAATTTCTGTAGTCAGGTTCAGTCCAGGATCTTTTGCCATGTTCTCTCCAGTGAAGTTCTTCTGTCTCTAGGTTCTGAGGCCAGTTTCTGTCCAGGATCTTTTGCCATGTTCTCTCCAGCGAAGTTCTTCTGTCTCTAGAGAACGTTCTGTGTAGGTTCTGTGCCTAGGTTCTGTCTCTCAGTTCTAAGTTCTGAGTTCTAAGTTCTGTCTCTTTCTGTCTCGTTACATCTGTATTTATACCAGTTGATTCAATCCTATCAATCTCTATTACAAAGGTTAGGGCGTTTCTTATCTCCATTCCAGGGAGTAAAGATTATGTAGCTTAAGCATGATTGTTCGTAGTTAAAGTGATTAATTACCCACCTGGCACTTAGTTAAGAGGTTTTATTCCCTCCCTAACTTCAGGGGAAAATCCCTACCTGGGGAAACAACCTTTCTCAGAGACCTTGGTTAAAACACATAGTGCCAAGAAGGTGAGCAAACATATTAAGAACAGTATGTCATATATGCCAGGCCCCTTGAAACAGCAAGGATGGACTGGCTCCCGGCACTGTCCGAGTGCCATTTCCCTATATCCTTTTTAAAAATATATATATTTTATTGATTTTTTTTTACAGAGAGGAAGGGAGAGGGATAGAGTCAGAAACATCGATGAGAGAGAAACATTGATTAGCTACCTCCTGCACACCCCCTACTGGGGATGTGCCCGCAACCAAGGTACATGCCCTTGACTGGAATCAAACCCGGGACCCGTCAGTCCTCAGGCCAACGCTCTATCCACTGAGCCAAACTGATCAGGGCTGCCTATATCCTTTTAATCTGTGCTTTCTAACAGGTGAAGAGGGTATTGAATTATTATTGTTTTAATTCCTATTTTTTATTATTGTTAAAGATGAACCTTTTCCCATTTGTATTTCTTCTCTGGTAAATTTCTACTTTATGTACTTTGTCCATTGGTCTGTGGGGTGTTTCATTTTTTTCTTATTGATTTACAAGAGGTTTTCATGTTGTGTGACATATGGTACCAGTATCTTTGCATAGTTTCTCATTTGCCTTTTAACTTTGTAACTTTTTAAAAATTTATGTAATTAAATCAGTTGATATTTTCCTTTATGGTTATTTGGGGTCATACTTAAAAAGTCCTCCCCCACCCCCAAATCAGGTAAATATTCACTCAGATTTTCTTCTAGCAATCCTTTTAATATATATATACATACTAGAGGCCCAGTGCACGAATTCGTGCACAGGTGGGGTCCAGCTGGCCCAGCCCCAATCAGGGCGGATCAGGGCCGGGCCTGTTGGGAGGAGGAGACAGTGGAAGGTTGGCTGGCCAGCCTGCCCTGATCAGGGCCGGGCTGGCTTTGTGGAGGGGCCTCAGGTGATTGGCCGGTGGGCCATGCCCCCGATTGGGGTGGAGGGGGCCGATTGAGGGCGGGGCTAGCCGTGGGAGGGGCCATGGGAGGTTGGCTGGCCAGCCCCACCCCCAATTAGTGTGGGGCCACTCGGGGGCGGAGCTGGCTGGGGGGAGGGGCCATGGGCTGATGGGGTGGTGGGGCTGATTAAGGGTGGGGCTGGCTGTGGAGAGGGACTGCAGGAGTTTGGCCAGCTGGCCCCACCCCCAAATGGGGTCGGGTGGCCAATCAGGGGCCAGTGGCCTGGGGGAGGGGCCATGTGTGGTTGGCCAGCCAGTCCTGCCCCTGATCAGAATGGGGGGGCCCATCAGGGGTGGGGTCTACCTGGGGGACAGGCCACAGGTGGTTGGCCAGCAGCCCTGATTGGGATGGGGCCAGGTGGGGGGTGGGGCTGCAGGAGTTTGGCCGGTTGGCCCCACCCCCTATTGTGGTGGGGGCGGCGATCAGGGGTGGGGTGGCTCAGGGGAAGGGCCTCGGGGGTTTGGCTGGCTGCCCTGCCCTCGATTGGGGTGGGAAAGGCCAATCAGGGGCAGGGCCAGCTGGGGGGAGGGGCCAAGGGAAGTTGGACGGCCAGCTCCACCCCCCAATTGGTCTGGTTCACTGGCTGCAGTGGGCATCATAGCGACCGGTTGTTCTGGTCATTACGGCATTCTGGTTGCTGGCTTTTTATATATATAGATATTCATATATAAAAAAAAAATGTGTATATTCTACTTTTTTTCTTTTTCTTTTATTTATTTTATATTCTACCTTTAATTTTAAAATTATAGGCTTATTTAAATACTACAGAAATATATAGAATAGAAAAGTAAGTTCTTAATCCTTATTTCTCAGAATATAACCATTGCTGAGAGTTTGGTGAATTTTTTCCTGGAGTTTTTTCTATTCACAGGCACATTTAAGTATACATATATATTTTTAACATAGACTTGTATAAATTGCCTTGTTTTTCACTTAAAATCTTTCCCAATCAGTAGGTTTACAGTTGTATGTGCTGAACAGTTTATTATTGTACTATTATTTATTAATTATTGTATTATTTTCCACTCAAACAACTGTAAACCTACTTTGGCTCCACCCTGTATATACAGACCTACGTCCTTTTCCTAACTGCAGCATTACAAGTCAGTGTATGAAGACATCACAGCTTACCGATTACTCCCTCCCTTATGTGATTTTTTTCCAAACAGAGGGTGACACTCACGTTTAAGATAGCCTCTTCCGAGTGGGGCCGGGCCCCGCGGGACAGCAGCGAGGCGTACTGCCGGGATATCCGCTCGATCAGCTTGTTCTGGACCTCCCTGTTTCGCTACCAGGAATAAAATCCGAGCAGGAGTTATTACAGTCTCTTGTTGAAACAGCCAAGGGCTGAGATTCTTAAATAAAATTTTCTCTCATTAAAAAAAAATCGTTTCCTCAAGATATTTAACTTATTAATAGTTAGGAAGTAATCGTCATTTTATATGATTTATGAAACAGGCACAGCAGGGCAGAGTGTTGAAGAAAGCACCCTGGCTCCGGGCCAGGACGTCCTGACTTTCCCCCCGCCCTGCCCCTGACCAGCCCTGCGACATGGAACAGTTACTACAAGTCAGGGCAGCTGCAAGGGGCATAAGGACGGGGCATAAGGACGGGGCATAAGGACGAGGTCGGGTAAGGAACCGGGGCGGGGGGGGCGTTGAGGAAGGGGGGGTGAGGAATGGGGGGGGTGAGGAGGGGGCTGCAGAGGCAGCCCATGGAGTTCGAGGGCCGTCAGCCCACGGTGAAGGGTCAGGGTCTGAGGCACAGGGAAATGCCCTGGGCATGGGCGAGAAGCCATCAGCTCGCATTTACCTGGTACCTTTCATGGAAGATCCACCAGAAGCTATCCAGCCACATGGCTCGTACGGGAGGAGAAGAGAGAAACTTCTCTAAGTCTCTATGTGAACAGAAAAACTTGAAAAGAAACAAAATTCACATTGTTATTGTTGCTGCTGCTGCTTTTTAATTCACCAGGAGCCACCGTCAGACTCGTAATCATCTCCACTCAAAACCTGCCTGCCCTCCTGGCCCCACGCCTGGTTGTTGTTACAATCACACCGTTTCCCACCAGTCATTTTTGGAGTCGAGTTAAAAAAATAACAACATCCAACTTTATAGTGAATGCTGACTACTTGCCTTGCCAGATACTTTCACTGGTTCTCTGCTCACCCCTAATAACCACAGGAAGCTGCGTTAACAGCTCCACGTTACAGACGAGGAAACCGGGGGCTAGAGCGCTGAAGTCACGTGCCCGAAGTAATACAGCCAGCAGGCGGCAGGGCCAGGATCGGAACTCACAGCTCTAGATAAGGCTCCCTGCCCTCACCTACACCCAATTAACAGTCATCAATGTCGGCAAACAGAAATGATACAAAAGCACATCCCTGGACCTTAAGATTCTGCTGAGTTAGCTGTAAGCACACGGAATTCTAGAATTATCGGTGAACTCTGAGGAACAGAAAACCCAGCCTCCATCACCACGCAGCTGGGTCCTGAACCTCGTGCCGACTCCCCAGCCGCTACCGCAATCATGCGGGAATCTTGTTAAATGCTTACCATGCACCTGGCACCGGGCTGTGCGGGTTCATTCCTTACCTCACTTTATGCTTCACAGTCTACCTGAGTGGTAGGTGCTATCATTTACAGAGGAGGCCAGTGAGGATCAGAAGGTTAAGATTCTGGCCTCAGCTCGCACAGCCCGGAGGCTCCAAAGCAAGCAGTGTGCCCCCAGAGACGGCACAGGCTGCCATGAGGAAGGGCAGAGAGAGCTCACCCTGCCACCCTCCTGGGTGCAAAGGGAGAGAGGCACTGCCTTCAAGCCTACCCGTCAGCCCAGGGCATCGCGCACTGATCAGCAAGCCTCCCGGCAGCCAGCAGCCCTCTGAGCCCCGTGCCTGACTGTGTCTGTCGCCATCCCTCACGTTCCCTCCCAGAGGCAGTGGTGCAGTGGGAAGAGTGCAGACTTTGGTGCCAGGCCGCCTGGATTCGAATCCAGCTGGTATGCTCGCTAGCTGTGACCCTGAGCCACGCTACTGAACCGGGTGTGCTCAGAGTCCTCGTCCCGAAAAGGAGATGATGGTGAGGACTAAACAAGTGACACATACAAAGTGCCCAGAACAGTGCCGGGCACCTAGGACTTGCTAAAAGTGTGCCCTGCTGCTTATTCATACTCCTGCTCCCTTCACAGGATTTCATGTCAGCCCTACAACAGACCCTGGGATGGCCACTAGCGATGGCTCTGAAAGGGTGGGGTGGGGGTGGAGGGAGAGCAGGGTGGAGGGAGAGCAGGGTGGAGGGAAAGCAGGTGTGGATGGAGAGCAGGGTGGGGGGAGAGCAGGGGTGGGGGGAGAGCAGGGTGGAGGGAGAGCAGGGTGGAGGGAGAGCAGGGGTGGAGGGAGAGCAGGGGTGGAGGGAGAGCAGGGTGGAGGGAGAGCAGGGTGGAGGGAGAGCAGGGGTGGAGGGAGAGCTGGGTGGAGGGAGAGCAGGGTGGAGGGAGAGCAGGGGTGGAGGGAGAGCAGGGGTGGAGGGAGAGCAGGGGTGGGGGGAGAGCAGGGTGGAGGGAGAGCTGGGTGGAGGGAGAGCAGGGGTGGAGGGAGAGCAGGGTGGAGGGAGAGCAGGGGTGGAGGGAGAGCAGGGTGGAGGGAGAGCAGGGGTGGAGGGAGAGCAGGGTGGAGGGAGAGCAGGGGTGGAGGGAGAGCAGGGTGGAGGGAGAGCAGGGGTGGAGGGAGAGCAGGGTGGAGGGAGAGCAGGGGTGGAGGGAGAGCAGGGGTGGGGGAGAGCAGGGTGGAGGGAGAGCTGGGTGGAGGGAGAGCAGGGGTGGAGGGAGAGCAGGGTGGAGGGAGAGCTGGGTGGAGGGAGAGCAGGGTGGAGGGAGAGCAGGGGTGGAGGGAGAGCAGAGTGGAGGGAGAGCAGGGGTGGAGGGAGAGCAGGGGTGGAGGGAGAGCAGGGTGGAGGGAGAGCTGGGTGGAGGGAGAGCAGGGTGGAGGGAGAGCAGGGGTGGGGGGAGAGCAGGGTGGAGGGAGAGCAGGGTGGAGGGAGAGCAGGGTGGAGGGAGAGCAGGGTGGAGGGAGAGCAGGGGTGGAGGGAGAGCTGGGTGGAGGGAGAGCAGGGCTGGAGGGAGAGCAGGGTGGAGGGAGAGCAGGGTGGAGGGAGAGCTGGGTGGAGGGAGAGCAGGGTGGAGGGAGAGCTGGGTGGAGGGAGAGCAGGGTGGAGGGAGAGCTGGGTGGAGGGAGAGCAGGGCTGGAGGGAGAGCAGGGCTGGAGGGAGAGCAGAGTGGAGGGAGAGCAGGGTGGAGGGAGAGCTGGGTGGAGGGAGAGCAGGGCTGGAGGGAGAGCAGAGTGGAGGGAGAGCAGGGTGGAGGGAGAGCTGGGTGGAGGGAGAGCAGGGAAGAGGGATAGCAGGGTGGAGGAGAGGGTTTGAGAAGGCAAATGAAAGTTAGGGATGGCCCCTGAGCAGGATGGAAGAGGGTCCTTTTTCAAAGGCAAAGGTACCAATTTTCCTCCAGTTTCCTGGAAACCAAAGAGAAGCAGGGACTGGCATCAGCTATAAGGCTAACAGCATCCCAGGAGACGCGCAGGTTTGCTTGGGATTGGGGCTAAGGAAACATTTACAACGAGACCTCAAAATGGGACATTCAGTCATGCCGTAGTCACTGTCCTCACCCACACAGGACACAGGATGTGAGCACGTGTGGCTGTGCCTGCCGAGGGTCAGAAGGACATGGGTTGGAAGGTCACATAGGAATAGTGGATCCAGGAAACACACAATCCATTTAAATTCCAGAAAGAAAAAGGAAGACGGAAAAAACTATAGTCTTCTCACTCAGAGAACACTGGTAAGATCCATGCATGGTTTCACCCGAGTTTCCCATGTGTGTGGGTGCGTGCACACACGCGTGTACACACGCACATGTAACACTAGTGGCCCAGTGCTGAAATTCGTGCATGGGGGGCGGGGTGGAGAGAGATGTCCCTCAGCCTGGCCTGCACCTTCTCCAATCTGGGACCCCTCGGGGGATGTCCGACTGCCGGATTAGGCCCGATCCCACAGCGGCAGTCGGGCATCCCTCTTGCAATCTGGGACCACTGGCTCCTAACTGCTTGCCTGCCTGCCTGCCTGATTGCCTCTAACCACTCTGCCAGCCAGCCTGCTTGCCCCCAACTGCCCTCCCCTCCTGGCCTGATCGCCCCTAACCACCTCTGTCTTGGCCCCACCACCATGGCTTTGTCTGGAAGGTCTCCTGGTCTAATCAGCATATTACCCTTTTATTAGTATAGATTGTATCTAGAGAATTTACATGCTGGTATGTTTTATCCAACAACACAGTATGGCACGTTAAGATGCTCCCTTTATAAACATTCATTTTAATGGCTAAGTATGATATATATACCAAAAATGGCTGTACTGTAATATTGTTGATCACTAAGCTCTCTAATCACATTGATGATAAAACTACCATTTTTTGGAATTTATGACTAAGCGCTTTTATTCACATCCTTATTAAACTTCACAAATTCTTCAAGTTAGAGGCTGCGGTTCTCCCTATTTTTCAGAAGACCCCAGAGCCCAGGGAGCCACTGAGCCACCAGGTCCTGCCGCCCGGCTCCTGCTGCCACAAACGACACGTGTGGACGCCTCGGTCCACCTTCCTGGGGAGCACACGATGCTCCGGGTGCTGCTGCTCCCCATCCCCGCTCAGCGCAGCTGGGGATCAGGCACCACACCCAGGGTGGCCCCTGCCTGGCCCAGCGGCCAGCAAACTCCACTGTCACACGGGGCAGTGACTGGCACAAGCAGGCCATCACTTTTAGGAAGTCTGAAGGCAAAACACAGAGGAAGGAGGCCGACGGAACTAGAGACCTAGGTGGAGAGAAGGCAGCAGGGAGAACTCATGAAAAAAAGAAGAAGAGGAAGAAAACAGAGGGGAGAGAGAGGGAGAGAGGGGGGGAGGGGAGAGAGAGGGAGAGAGAGGGGGAGGGGGGCGGGGGAGAGGGGGCAGGTGAAGCAAGCAGCAGTGATGGATGACCAGGCAGGAGCTGAGGGGACGACGACCGAGCTGCTTTGGGGACAGGAGTTGTGCCGGGCAATGAGGCGCAGCCGTAGGGGTGCCAAGGCCTGGCCGTTTTCTGGGCTCCCCCCCCCCCCCCCCCCCGCCACCTGCTTCAACCATCCCCGCCTCCTGAGCGGCCAGCGCCTGCTGTCTCACATGCACGCGGCTCTTCTGGGCCGTAGCACACTCCCCCCCTGCTCCCCCTCCCTCCCCGAGGAACCCAGTGTGTCTGCTCTCCAGGTGGGCCACTCACCCCACGGTTTACCATGGGAAGAATCTAATGTCTAAGAAAAAAGAGAAGTTACGTTTATTAATACACAGTGTGGCAACTGACAGCAGAGCATGTGTCGTATTTTTAAAAAGCATGTATCATGAGGGCGTGTACTCCATGTTTCGCGGATGGAATACATGGCCCCAACGATCTGGAGACCAGAGCTCTGCAGACAGAATCTACGTTTTGGGGGGAACCTGGGCTTGGGGTCTAATCTCAGCGTCAGGCTGTGTGGCCCTCAGTGACTGACTGAAATGGCCTGACTCTGTTTCCCGGGTGTGACGGGGACAGCAGGGGTGGCTGTGCAGTCGGGGCACCGCTGGCCCACGGCACAGAGGTGAGCTGCACGCTCCTGCTTACCTTGCCGGTAAAGGGGTTTCTCTCAGACCGGACCACATTGGCCACCATGTCACAGAAGTCCACCCCATTTGGGAGCTCATTCGGCTTGGAGTCGTTAAACTGGGGGTAGTGGTAGAGCTCGGCCAGCAGCTTCTTATCTGCCGTTCTCTGAAGCAAAAGGGCAGAATATGAAAATGGGGTGCATAATTTCGACAGTTTAAGACAATAAGATATCTTCCCCTTTACGCCAGAAAGACAATGAAACAACCTTACAGAGCACTGGGGAAAGGAAGGTGCGTCCATGATCCCGCACCTCTCACCAAACACCCATTCACATGGTTTCTATTTTCCCTTTCGGGCTTGGAGCACATGTCTACAGATGTGTTAGGAAACTTCATTTTACCACACACACACACACACACACACACACACACACACACTTTTATGTCCTGCTCTATCCATTTATCTTTAGATTTTTCACATTGCTACACTAAGTTTATCATCTATAATAATATATCCTATTAATGGGCTATAATTTAATTAACAGTTAACTACTTCCAAGTAATACTACTGCCATTACCTGGTCAGGGCACATACCCAGGTTACAGGTTTGATCCCCAGTCGGGTTGTGTATGGGAGGCAACAGATCCATGTTTCACTTTCACATTGATATTTCTCTCTCTCTAAAATCAATAAAAATATATTTTTAAAAAACCACTACTGCCATTATATATATACATACATATATATTTATATATATTATTGATTTCAGAGGGAAAGGTAGAGGGGGAGAGAGAGAGAGAAACATCAATGATGAAGAGAATCATTCATTGGCTGCCTCGTGCGCTCCCCACACTGGGGGTCAAGCCCGCAACCTGGGCCTGTGCCTAGACCAGGAACTGAACGTGACCTCCTGGTTCATAGGTTGACACTCAACCACTGAATCATGCCAGGCCGGGCGCCATTATATTTTTTAAGATTAGTAATAACATGGAACATATAATTTCCCCTTTCTTTGGATTATTTATTTAGTATGACTTTCTCAAAATGGCAACATTAGGTCAAAGAATATGACTATCCCTATGGTTCTTAATATACATCATTAAATGGATTTTTAGAATAAAAATAAAATATAACTATAAAAAATGTAAAAATACAGAAAAGTAGAAAGAGGAAACTAATTACCATCACCTGGCCCTAGCCAGATAGCTCAGTGGGTAGAGAATTGTCCTGACATGCCAAGGTTGCAGGTTCGATCCCCCGTTAGGGCACATACAAGAAGCAACCAGTGAATGCACAAATAAGTGAAACAACAAATCAATGTTTCTCTCTCTAAATCAATCAATAAAATTTTTTTAAAAAATTACCATCGCCCAAAGGCACCAACTGGAAACATGTGGAGGGACTGAATTGCTCTCTAACTGGACTATGGCCTTGACAGTGGCTGAACTCAGTGACTCAAGCACTGACTCTGAGTCGGGCGGCCTGGGGTGAGACGTCAGCTCCACCGTTTAGTAGCTGTGCCACCTTGGGCAGGACATTTAAATCTGCTCGGCCACCATCATGGGTTAGACGGCAGTTTCCATGCTGACTCTCAACTGCTGGACTTTATGCTGTGTGGGCATTTCCTAGGCTAAAAGGTGAAGAGAAGGTAACACTGTATTGTCCCTATTCTCCAGCATTTAAAGGGTTTGAATACGTATGACCTGAGTAGTTTAAAGAGCAAGCTTAGGAGAAGCTTAACTGGGGTGGCTGCTGGAGAGGGTGGGGTCTGGCCATGGGTCCCAGGGTCCGAGCAGGAAGTAGGGCTCTCCCCTCAACTCTGCGTGATGGTGGACGGTCATCTAACTACTGAATCCCAGCCTCTCGGGCGTCTGCAGGGACTGATGGACCAGCCCTGCTGTGTGAACGCCCCTTGGAGCGAACACAGCACGGAGCTCTGTGGGAGCTGAATCTGAACTCTGTTCCTAAGAGCAAACATCTACATTCTACAAGGAAACAGACAAATGCCCTGGAACACTCCCCATTCTGCTCTTTCCAGGGTGTTGTGAGAACTTCCAGTGTTCTTAAAATACTTGGAGGTCCTCTATAAAGGGAACTCTGGGTTTTCCTGCACAATCACCATCCAGGTGCCAATGACTCCGCCCCGCCCCCGGCCCCCTCCCAGGAATAAAACCGACTTCATGCCTAACAGAAACCAGTCCCACACACACCCAGGAGCCCTTACCCTTTTAATAGAGATAGATCGGACATTCCTGGACACTGAGCCACTGCAAGTATCCGGTGCTTTCCTTTGACTTTTGCCTGCAGAGGAGCGGGAGAAGAGGATGGGATGTGAGAGCCCACTGGGTCCGTCCACCGCTGGGCCGTAATCATAACTGATCTTTTCATCCAACCTGAGCTGCCTGTGACACTCACAGGACTAATCTTACTAGATCCCACCCGTGCTGCTGACTTGTTAAGCCCTCCCTCCCCCCAAGCCTGCTCCTCATCTACAAAATACATTCCGTGGTGCTAACCTTACTGGTTGGGGCATTGTGAAGACTTGGCAGGGAAATATGTACGAACCGCCTGGTGCAGTGTGGCACATAGTAGGTGGTCTCTGAATGGTATGGCCCTTCCCTCCTTTGTTGCCCAATGCCAAGAAGTCAGATTTAAGACTCCTTCAGAAGATTACAAAAATATCCTCATCTGAAACTCTGGATCCCTACTGAACGCATTTTAGATACTAGAAAGCCAAACCCCACAGAAACACTAGGGCAGTGATGGCGAACCTTTTGAGCTCGGCGTGTCAGCATTTTGAAAAACCCTAACTTAACTCTGGTGCCGTGTCACATATAGAAATTTTTTGATATTTGCAACCATAGTAAAACAAGACTTATATTTTTGATATTTATTTTATATATTTAAATGCCATTTAACAAAGAAAAATCAACCAAAAACATGAGTTCGGGTGTCACCTATGACACGCGTGCCATAGGTTCGCCATCACTGCCCTATGAGAAAGGCGATGAGAAAGTATTTTGCCTCTGTCTTCCGAGCTGCGGTGGCTTTTCTCTTTTAAAGCCTTCTTCTCCATCTCAAATCTCTCAATTGCCTTCAAAAACCAAAAAGAAACGGGGCATTAGGGAGCAATGCAAATCTTGGCGCAGGGCTGGAGGTCAGGGACGAGGCCATGTCGCCTGTTGGCATGCAAAAGGCCCGGAGCAAAGTTTGTGAGAGCCTTTGCTGTCTCCCCCCAGGTGGTATGATCTTGGTGGCCACTGGCCTCATCCTCGGTGTCACCACTAATACAAACCCCACCCTGCCCCCTCTCGCGATGCTCCTCCTCCCAGCTGCACCTCCGGGCTTTGCCTGCGAGGAGTACAGGGTTTGGAGCAGATCCAAGGTACTGTTTAATCTCTCGGGAAAAGGGGAATAATACCTACCTCTCAGGGCTCTTACAAGGATCAGATACAAAGTATTTACTGCATCTTAAAACACAAGCACAGAGGCTATCACATAGGAGCTGCTCAAGAAAGGGTAACTATTATTATTATTGGTCATTGTACCCCTGACCTCTCAAAAACATTCTCTTGACCTCTGACTCCTCCTCTCCTCCCCCCACACACCCTCCTGAAAAGGAAAGAAAAATGAATGTCAGTGACCCAACAAGTTGTACTGATTTTTAGCCACCGTGCCCAGATAACCAAGTTAACAAAGAAGTGTGATTCTGTGTTCTTGCCCTCAAGGAACTTACAATCTATTCTGGGAGCTAAGTCAACAATTAAACTGGTAAATTTAGGTTTCACTCAAGTGAGGTTAACGTGAGCTGGAGCAGTCACAGAGGACTGCCTGGAAGAGGTGGCACAGGAGTGGGGAAATGATGAGGTCTCTGTCGCCTGAGCTTGCTAACGGTGAAGTGCCTCTGAGCCTTCCCCTGTCTCTCTCCTGAACTGGCATGTGTGCAGGTGTGTGTCCGTGGGGAAAGGGCTCACACTGGTACCGTATGTGTCAACACATTGCTCTAGTACAGAACACAGGGATAAGGCATGGTGGATGAATCGGTGGTTGGGTGTCAATGTAGCAGAACAGCAAGGCCTCTGGTCCTTCCCAGGATGCCCTGCAGCCAATATTGTCAGGGCCTTGGAAGGAGGGACAAGACCTGCACACGGAGGGAACAGAAAGGGGAGCTGGACACTGGGAAGAAAGCAAGTTTTAGGGGGAAATGATGAGACCGGCATTTGGCTGAGTTTGCATTGGAGTGACAGCAGGACCTACCAGTGGGGCTGTGCCTGGCTGATGACCAGCATCGCAGGGGATTATCCAGATATTCAGATTCATTAGAGGCTTATTCCTTGGGTCTGTGTTGGGTCCTGAATTGTTTATTGTGACTCCTGAATAGTTCTCTATTTAAACACACACACACACACACACACACACACACACACACACACACACACAGTAACTTGCATGGTACAAAGCCAAACAGCACAGTAAAAAGTCTTCTTTCTACCCCTTGCCCAATACCCTTAGTTTCTCTCACCACCTTTCAGAGTTATTTGGTTCAAATGGGAGCATTCATCTTGCAATTTCCACTTTTAGTTTCTAAAACGCTCCCGGCAGTCAGACGATTAGTTAGGTTTAGGTACCTCTCCTCTAGGTAGCTGGAACATGGGCCCGAAATGCAGGTGAGAAGCGACAATTTGCAGATGCATTACTCATTCCACAGGTATTCCCTGGGCACCTGCTAAAAGCCGTGCGCTGGGCCCGTGAGGACGCAGCAGGGAGCAGTGATGCCATCCACAGCCTCCCAGACGAGGGGGGGAAGCTGACGATCAAGGTCTGAGAGGCGCTGCGGTGGGAAGGACAGGATGACAGGAGGGGCCCAGAAGAGCTATCCACACTAGTCTTGGGTGGAGCGGCCGAGAAGGCCTTCCAGAGGTAGTGGCCCGCAGGCAGGGAGGAAGGAATGCCGACCCGGAAGTGAGTAGTGAAGTGGTGGGCGAACAAGCTCTCAGGGAGGCTGGAAAAAGAGCCACGCACGGCTCCTGGCCGGAGCCTGGAGGGAGACCCCCACTTAGGACATGAGGGAAGGAATAGGATAGGACGGGAGGAGGGGGAACTGGGCCTCAAAAGGAGGTGGCCCACTCAGGTGTCAGTGCTGATCTACTAAGACTTCTCATCCACCAGGCACTGTGCTAGGAGCATCCAGCAGGCAGGACGGAGGCTGGAGAGACCCATCTGGCTGCAGGTGCTGACCCAGGAGAAGCGGCCACCCAATCAAGGCCTGGGTGTAAAGGGCACGGCAAACCTCGGCCAGAAATATACCCACATAAATACTATACAGGCAACGGAACCTGGACAGAGGGGGAAAGGCAATTCAATGGAGCACATACAGACTTTTCAACAAATGGTGCTAAGACAACTGGACATCCACTTGCAAAAAAATGAACCAAGACACAGACCTTACACTCTTCATAAAAATGAACCAAGACACAGACCTTACACTCTTCATAAAAATGAACTCACAGACTAAATATAGGATGTAAAACTGTAAACTCCTATAGGATAACAGGAGGAAACTTAAATGACCTTGGGTACGGCGATGACTTTTTAGATACAACACCAAAGATACGATCCATGAAAGAAACAATTGATAGTTGGAGTTCATTAAAATGAAAAATGTCTGCTTTGCAAAAGACAATGTCAAGAGAATGAGAACACAAGCCACAGGCTGGGAGAACATATTTGCAGAAGACATACAGGCTAAAGACTGTTATCCAACATATACAAAGAACTCTGAAAACCCAATGATAAGAAAACAAACAATTCAATTAAAAAATGGGGCAAAGACCTTAACAGACACCTCACTAAAGAAAAAACACAGATGGCCAGTAAGCACATGAAAAGATGTTTACTATCACATATAATTAGAGAATATCAAATTAAAAAATGAGATATCATTATGTACCAATTAGAATGGCCAAAATCCAGAACACTGACACCACCAAATGCTGACAAGGATGTGGAACAAGAATTATCCTTCATTGCTGGTAGAAATGAAAATGGAGCAGCCACTTTAGCAGTTCCTTACACTTAAACATACTCAACGTATGGTCCAGGAATCCTGCTCCGTGGTATTTACCCACATGAACTGAAAACCATGTCCACAAAAAACCCTACACGTGGATATGTATGGTAACTTTATTCATAACTAGAGGCCCGGTGCACAAAAATTTGTGCACTCGGGGGGAGGGGGGTCCCTCAGCCCGGCCTGTGCGCTCTCGCAGTCTGGGACCCCTTGGGAGATAACGACCTGATGGCTTAGGCCTGCTCCCGGGTGGCAGAGGGCAGGCCCAATCCCTAGGTGCAGCCCCTGGTTGAGCTCAGAGCAGGGCTGATTGGGGAGTTGGGGCACCACCCCCTGTCATGCACAGAGCAGGGCAGATTGGGAGGTTGCGATGCCACCCTCAGTCATGCTCAGGGTAGGGCCGATTGGGGGGTTGGAGTGCTGCCACTGTCACACTCAGGGCAGGGTCGATGGGGAGGTTATGGCTCTACCCCGTCACACACAGAGCAGGGCCCGTGGGGGGGGGGGGGGGGTGCCGCAGCCTGTCACACACAGAGCAGGGCCGATTAGGGGGTAGGGGTGCCGCACCCTGTCACACACAGAGCCGCAGGGCGATCAGGGGGTTGGGGAGCTACCCCCATCAGGCACAGAGCAGGGCTGATCAGGGGGTTGGGGTGCCTTCCCCTGTCACAAACAGAGCAGGGCGGATAGGGGGGTTGTGGTCCTGCCCTCTGTCACACACAGAGCTGCAGGGCAATCAGGGGCTTTGGGCGCTGCCCCCTGTCGCGCTGATCCCGGTGCCGGGAGGCCTCGCGGCTCCGCTGATCCCAGTGCTGGGAGGCATATTACCCTTTTACTATATAGGATAGAGGCCTGGTGCATGGGTGGGGGCTGGCTGGTTTGCCCTGAAGGGTGTCCTGGATCGGGATGGGGTGCCTGGCCAGCCTGGATGAGGGGATGATGGCTGTTTGCAGCTGGTCACACACCCTTCAGGGTGGGGGTCCCCACTGGGGTGCCTGGCCAGTCTGGGTGAGGGGCTGAGGGCTGTTTTCAGGCTGGTGGGCGACTGAAGCTCCCAACCGCTCCTTTTTTTCTTTTTTCTTTTTTATTCTGGGCCAGCTTTAGCTCTGAGGCTTGGCTCCAGCTCTTAGGCCTCGGCTGCTGAAAGCAGGTATCTGGTTTGTTTGGGTTCTATAATCGAAACACTGTTTCAACTCCAGCTCTGAGATCCCGGCTGGCTGAAAGCAGGTTTCTGGGGTTTTGTTTAGCTTCTATATTTGTAACAATGTTTCAAACTGCAAACTCAGAGGCCGGCAGTGGCAGGCGGGGAACGTTCGAGTCCTCCGTCACTGAAGCAAGCAAGCCTCATATTAGCTTCCAGCTGCCTGGCTGCCGGCCGGCATCTTGGCTGGCAGTTAATTTGCATATTGCCCTGATTAGCCAACAGGAAGGGTAGCAGACGTACGGCTAATTACCATGTTTCTCTTTTATTAGATAGGATTACCTAACGTGGAAGCAACCAAGATGTCCCTCAGTAGGTGAGCAGAGAAATAAACTGTGGAGCATTCCGACAATGGAATACCACTCAGTACTAAAAAGAAATGACCGGTCACCCTGGCCAGTTTGGCTCCGTGGACAGAGCCTGTAGACTGAAGGGTCTAGGGTTCGATCTCAGTCAAGGGCACATGCCTGGGTTGCGGGCTTGACCCCCAGTGTGGGGTGTGCAGGAGGCAGCCGATCAGTGATTCTCTCTCATCATTGATGTTTCTGTCTCTCTCTCCTTCTCCCTTCCTCTCTGAAGTCAATAAAAATATATTTAAAAAGAAAGGAAGAGAGAAACCAAGATGGCGGCATAGGTAAACACCGGAGTTTGCTGCCTTGAACAACCACTTCAAAAATACAACTAAAAGACGGAACGGACATCATCCAGAACCACAGGAAGGCTGGCTGAGTGGAAGTTCTACAACTAGGAGGAAAGAGAAAAGCATACCGAGACTCAGAGGAGGCGCAGTGCTGAAGTAAAATACTAAGGTGCGGAGTGCATGCGGAGCGGGCTGGCGGCTGCATGGTTGTCGTTTTCAATCGGGAGGGAGTCTCAGGCTCTGAGCTCCAGTTCCGGGCGAGTCTCTAGGGACCAGACTCATACGGGAGAAGCGGGACTGTCTGGCATCGCTCAGAACCCTAGGGAAGCTTTCTCTCCGTGCAGCAATTACTGGGACACTGAGAAGCAGAGCCTCTGAGGGCAAGACTGAGAGCAGCCATAATTGCTAACCCTGCCCTGTTGATCCCGTGGGACCTGCCCCGCCCAAACCCTGCAGGGAGACTTTTGCTGGATAGCCTCAGGCAAAGGCTAGATTAGCACCTCCCTAGAGACCCAGGAGCCAGGAAGCCCAGAGGTCAGAGTGGGACCACCCAGTTTGCAGCTCCGTGGAACCATAAAGGACACACTCAGGGGCAGACTCAGTGAGCACCAAAGCCCCATCGAAGCAAGTCTAGCCCCAGAGGGGTGTCTCCAGCACAGAAGTTCTCTCACTGCAGACACAGCTGATTCTCACAGCCAATTGGCCTGGAGGTCAATTCCTCACAGTGATAACTACAACAATCAAGGCTTAACTACAACAAGACTGTGCACAAAGCCCACAAGGGAGGTGCACCAAGAGTGTCTACCTCAGGTAATTGGGACACTTAGCACAGAAAGGCACTCTATCGACACAGCGAAGCATAAAAAATGCCGAGACAAAGAAACAGGACACAAACGACAGAATGGGAGGAAAGCAAACTGCTGGATATAGAGTTCAAAACCAAACTTTTAAGGTCTTTAAAGAACTGTCTAGAAGCCGCCGATAAATTTAATAAGGCCCTCAAAAAGACTGGTGAGACCATCGATAAATGTAGTGAGATCCTCAAGAAATCTAATGAGACCCTTGATGTTGTGATAAAGGACCAACTAGAAATTAAGCATACACTGACTGAAATAAAGAATATTATACAGACTCCCAACAGCAGACCAGAGGAGTACAAGAATCAAGTCAAAGATTTGAAATGCGAAGAAGCAAAAAACACCCAACCGGAAAAGCAAAATGAAAAAAGAATCCAAAAATACAAAGATAGTGTAAGGAGCCTCTGGGACAGCTTCAAGTGTACCAACATCCAAATTATAGGGGTGCCAGAAGAAGAGAGAGAGCAAGATATTGAAAACCTATTTGAAGAAATAATGACAGAAAACTTCCCCTACCTGGTGAAAGAAATAGACTTACAAGTTCAGGAAGTGCAGAGAACCCCAAACAAAAGGAATCCAAAGAGGACCACACCAAGACACATCATAATTAAAATGCCAAGAGCAAAAGACAAAGAGAGAATCCTAAAAGCAGCAAGAGAAAGAAAATCAGTTACCTACAAGGGAGTACCCATACGACTCTCAGCTGATTTCTCAACAGAAACTTTGCAGGCCAGAAGGGAGTGGCAAGAAATATTCAAAGTGATGAATACCAAGAACCTACAACCAAGACTACTTTATCCAGCAAAGCTATCATTCAGAAGTGAAGGCCAGATAAAGAGCTTCACAGATAAGAAAAAGCTAAAGGAGTTCATCACCACCAAACCAGTATTATATGAAATGCTGAAAGGTATCCTTTAAGAAGAGGAAGAAGAAGAAAAAGGTAAAGATACAAATTATGAACAACAAATACGCATCTATCAACAAGTGAATCTAAAGATCAAGTGAATAAAAAAAATAAATAAAAAAAATAAAAATCAAATGAATAAATAATCTGATGAACAGTATGAACTGGTGATTGTAATAGAATCAGGGACATAGAAAGGGAATGGACTGACTATTCTTGGGGGGGGGGAAGGGGTGTGGGGTGAGGGAAGAGATTGGACAATAATCGTTCACCTATGGATGAGGACAGTGGGTGGGGAGTGAGGGCGGAGGGTGGGGTGGGAACTGGGTGGAGGGGAGTTATGGTGAGAAAAAAGAGGAACAAATGTAATAATCTGAACAATAAAGATTTAATTTAAAAAATAAAAGGGTGGGGGGAGGAGATACTTCAGACCGTGGGCCATATAAGGCCGGCAAGTATCATTTGGTCTGGCCCTGCCAAGGCATTAGGGGTGATTTAATTAAATGTTTGACCAAATATAGCAGGCTAATTTTTAAGTTGATAATTTTGTATGGCCCACGAATGATATTATAAGTATCCAAGTGGATCTTGGCAGAAAAAAGGTTCCCCACCCCTGCTAAAGGCTTAAAAAATAAACTGATATTCAAAATTGAAAATAAATAAATAAATAAATAAATAAATAAATAAATAAAATACATAAAAAGAAAAGAAAAGAAAGAAATTACCTATCAAGCCATGAAAACATGTGGAGAAACCTTAAATGCATACTACTAAGTGCAAGAAGCCAAGAAGCCAATTTGAAAAGACTACATGCTGTATGGTTCCAACTATATGACATTTCTGGAAAGATCCATGGTTATCAGGGGTTGGGAGGGAGGAAGGGATGAACGGGAGCACATAGGATTTTCAGTGAAACTATTCTGTGCAACACTACAAAGGTGGGTACATGCTGACACACGTGTCCAAACTCATGGAATGTACAGCACAACGAGAGACCGCTAATGTAGAGGATGGGCTTGGGGTGATGATGTGCCAACTCAGGTTCCCCAGTTAGAACAACGCACCACTGTGCTGTGAGGCAGTTGTGCACACGAGGACAGGGATAACCGAGAACTCGATACTTTCAGCTCAATTTTGCTGTGAAGCCGAAACTGCTCTAAAAAAGAAAGTTCATTAATTTAAAAATATAGCCCCAGCCAGTTTGGCTCAGTGGATAGAGCGTCAGCCTGTGGACTGAAGGGTCCTGGGTTCAATTCCAGTCAAGGGCACATGCCTGGGTTGCAGCTAAATCCCCAGTAGAGAGCGTGCAGGAGGCAGTCAATCAATGCTTCTCTCTCATCATTGATGTTTCTATCGCTCTCTCTCCCTCTCCCTTCCTCTCTGCAAATACACACACACACACACACACACACACACACACACACACACACGGCCCGGTGCTCAAAATTCATGCACGGTGGCGGCGGGGGGGGGGGGGGGGGGGGAGGTGTCCCTCAGCCCAGCCTGCACTCTCTCCAATCTGGGACCCCTTGGGGGATGTCCGACTGCCGGTTTAACAGTCAGACAGACAACCCTCTTGCAATCTGGGACAGCTGGTTCCTAACTGCTCACCTGCTTGCCTGCCTGATCTCCCCTAACCACTCGGCCTGCTGGCCTAAAAACCCCCAACTTCCCCCCTTACTGGCCTGCTCGCCCCCAACTGCCCCCCTGCTGGCCTGCTCATCCCCAACTGCCCCCCCTGCTGGCCTGTTCGCTCCCAACTGCCCCCCGCCACTCCCCCCTCCCCGCCTGATCACCCCTAACCTGCCTCTGCCTCAGCCCTGCCACCATAGCTTTGTCTGGAAGGTCCTGAAGGTCTCCCTGTCTAATTAGCATATTACCCTTGTATTAGTATAGACTGGAGGCCCCTATTGGGCAAATGTGCTTTCAAATACATGGACGGACCTCCAGAGCCCTTCCTTCCTGGAAGCCTGGCCTCGGCCCCGACATCCCTGACTCACCAGGATGTTGTCCATCGGCTTGGGAGTCAGGCTCACTTCAGCAATCCTTTCGTTCACCTGGTGGATGGAGCCTACAAGACACGCTAAGGAAAGTCCGCTAAGGAAACTGGGTGGCAGTTACACACAGGCAGGGCGAGCTAGCCTGGCAAGGACACGGGCTCACTCCCTTCTGTACTGTCGCTCCACTTATCTCCTTTCCAAACATTCAACATGCCTTCTGTCTTGTGCTAAATTGGCTGCTTTATAAATGGTAAGTGAGAATTCTATTCTAAATACCTTGGAAAATGTAGAAAGAATCGTCCATGATGCTGCCACCATAACAACTCGTTAGGATTTAGGGAGATTTCCTCCCAGTATTTTTTACGTACAGCCCTTTGCACATAATTATCATCTCAGTGTATGTCTACTTTACTACTCTGACTTCTCTTCCACGCACTAATATGATCATTTTCCATAAAGCGGAAGGATCTTCGCAATATTTTAAACGGCATTATACGAATCCGTGTAGAGGATGCACTTTAATACACTTAACTGTTCCTTGGTTATGGAATATTCAAGTTGTTTATCACTTTTTGCAGTTATAAATCATTGCAAATTATACACATAGTCACACAAAGCTCTATTTCCATATTTTGGGTTATTCCTTTAGGAGATTTTAGGTTACAGATGACTGGATCAAAGTGTATCTCAACCTGTTCATCGCTGTTGAAATCTCTGCTCTGTTCAATGGCCCATCTTGTTGCCCTCGCTATGCCTGAATTTCTGTCTGAGCTTCAACTGGCCTAAGACAAATCCTCTGTAAAAGCCCCATAATCCTACCACTCCGCTCGCCACCTTCACATAAAGCAAGGTTCATGCGTTCTCCATTACCTTCAAGTGTCCTCACAGATTGGAGGATCCTCGGCAAATGAAGATGCCAAGGGGGGGCGGGGGGCACGACCACTCCGATGGGTCAGTTAGGCTGAGATGAGTGTGGGATGAAGAAGAAAGAGGGAACGGTTAGAAATGGCCCAGGGAAGCGAGACCCTGAGCAGGTCCTGGTGGGATCACAGGCTCATTTGAGGGGGCTTTCTGAGAGGCGTGGGGAGAAGGGGACGCAGCCGGGCGAGTGCCGTTGGGCCGGCAGCAGCAGGACTTGAAGGGAAATGAGCTCCATGTGAGATGAAAAGACCTGCAGTTATTTATAACCTGAGAGGGTCATTTTCTGGATGAACTCTAAGTCCTCCAGAGACGGGATTCTGTGGGTCCCTGGGATACAGTTCAGGGTCAGAAGGGAGATGAGGATGGACAAAGGCAGGACTAGAGAGAGAAGTAAGAGGCTATAGTAGAGCCAGGATGGTGCCAGAAGGGGCCAACTCTGAGCCCAGGCAAAAGGGCTGGCAGGTGAGCAGAGGTGAGGTCAGCTGGAGGAAAATAATGTTTTAAATTGGGTCTTAAGTTTACTCACCTGACGCTCGAGGGCTGGGCACTGACGTTTTAGTTGCTATCTATAATTGTCATTTTTTTTGGAAGAGAAAAGGGAGAGGAGGCAATGAAAAAAAAAAAAAAGCTTTTTCTCTTCTTCCTGATTCTTTCAACAAATATTTCCAGTACTTCCTCCTTTTGCGCTCTTTCTGATGATCTCAGTAAAAACAATTCAAAGTCAAATAATCCTTACCAGTCTCAAATTCTTTTAGAGGACAGGTAGAGCATAAGTAATGAAAAACGTAATGAGTTTATAAGGAACGAGCTAACAAGTAACGCATGTTATGAACTTTGTACAGGCTGCACCGGGGGGGGGGGGGGGGGGGGGTGTATATTTGGTCTCGATTGTAAATGGCACCACAGAAGGATACAGGGTACATGGCCTTCCAGAGTCTTCCTTGCGGCATTCTGCTTCCCACTCGGTGGCCGGCCCTCCTCCACTGGCACCATTGGCAAAGCGGTGACATTGATAACAACCATATTCTTGAAATAAGCCATTGTCCAGTTTCTTGTCAACTGACAAATAGTGACTTTCCACTGCTAACAGCCTGTCATTTCTCACTCCAATCTCGTTCGCTGTTCAGCCAGCCTCCTGGAAATCACACACAGCCGTGGGCAAACTACGGCCCGCGGGCCGGATGCGGCCCGTTTGAAATGAATAAAACTAAAAAAAAAAAAAAAGACCGTACCCTTTTATGTAATGATGTTTACTTTGAATTTATATTAGTTCACACAAACACTCCACCCATGCTTTTGTTCCGGCCCTCCGGTCCAGTTTAAGAACCCATTGTGGCCCTCGAGTCAAAAAGTTTGCCCACCCCTGGCATAGAACTATCTTAGCAAACACAGCCTGCTCTGCTGGCAGGCAGGGCTGCTGGAATAAAGGCTTTTGTCTGAGAAGCTCATTGTCAAGTGAGGATTTCAAGGCATGTACACTTGTTGTTTCTATCTGCTGACGCCCACCCCTGCCCCACTAAAAATTGTTGTTCAGTTGACCCTTGAACAATACGGGATGAGGGAAGGGTACCCCCATGCAGTCGAAAATCAACACATATCTTTTGACTCCTGAAGTTGACTACCGATAGCCTACTATGGACTGGAGGCCTTACCACTAGCATAAACAGTCGGTTAACACATACTTGGTATGCTATATTTTTATATACTGTACTCTCACAACCAAGTAAGCGAGAGAAAAGAAAATACTGTTTAAAAATCATAAGGAAGAGAAGGCAAGCGAGTTTCCAAATCAGAAATGAAATCAAACCTTTCTTGCCTCTCTGAGCCTCCCCTGGAAACCTGAGCTGTGGGTGAGGTTCCGAAGACCCCTTTCCGCTCTCCGATGCTATGATTCCATGATGCGAGTGCATCTCCTCCGTGTGAGGGCCCTGATCTGCCCAAGGCTCTGCTCCTTCTCAAAAACTGGCCCCACCACTGCCCTTCCTCCTGGATATAAACGCTAGGGCCAGGTTGCTGACCTGGGTCCTTGCTTTTTGCTCATCACTACCATCTGTGGGCCCTCCACGGCCAGAGCCTGGTGGTAGAAGCCTGGTTATAACGAAATAAAAGATCTGCCCTCAGGCAGCGCATACGTAATGGAAGGAGAGCGAAAAGGTCGAGTTTGGAGGAAAGCTTCACCAAGGTGCCCTTTCACCAGTCTCCTTTCCTCTCCTGCTCATGCCTTCCGCTCCGCACTCTTCCCCCCAGCACTGCCCTACATGCCTGCCCTGCTGAACTACTTTCTGGTCCCTTCCATGCTATGCTTTGTGCTTTGTGCCTTTACACCTGCTGTTCCCTCTATTCAAAGCTCAGCCCGGGTGATGCATCTTTTGGAAAACCTTCTCTTTTTTAAAATGTGTCCCCCTTTTCCCCTCTTGACCCCGTCCAGCTTGCCTCCCCACCCCCACCCCAGGCCTTCACCTCCCTATTGGAAAGCCTTCTTGAATTACTCCAGGCAATTAGTACCACCTGTCCGCCCTGAAGCCCAGAATTCTGCTTACAGAACTTAAAATACTGAACTGGAATGATTTGCTTCTACAGCTTTCCCCATCAGGCAAATTACTCCGTAGAGATTATGTTCACTCAAGATCTGTTTCCATTTTAGACTCACTCGCCACACTTCTTTCTAGGCCAGAGAGGCTATCCATTTTGGGCTACCCCAAGCCAACTGGATTACAGGAAGAGCTGACCCAGGCCCTCCCTCCTGCTCCCCGCCTTGAGTTAAACAGGCAAGGGGCAGAGGGCAGAGGGCAGAGGGCAGAGGGGAGGCAGGTGCATGCAGGGCGTCTCACTTTGCTCCTACCCCCTCCCCAGCATGACCAGCCAACTACACCCTGTTCTCTGACAAGCCAGGCTTAGGGCGAACCTGTCACAAAGCCTCCTGCTTTAGTTTAACATTATTACTCCTGCCTCACGGGAGAGCTGAATATTATGCTTTCTAAGAGAAATGTTTAAAATACACACTCTGGCTGAAACCGGTTTGGCTCAGTGGATAGAGCGTCGGCTTGCGGACTGAAAGGTCCCAGGTTCGATTCCGGTCAAGGGCATGTACCTGGGTTGCGGGCACATCCCCAGTGGGAGATGTGTAGGAGGCAGCTGATTGATGTTTCTCTCTCATCGATGTTTCTAACTATCTCTCTCCCTTCCTCTCTGTAAAAAATCAATAAAATATATTTTAAAAATAAATAAATAAAATAAAATAAAAATAAAAATACACACTCTGTTCCCTGCTGAATTTTCATCGGCCATTTCAGGAGAAGTATTCTCTGAAACATGGCACGTTTCTATCGTCAGTACTAGAGGAGGGAAAAGGACGTGCAGGGAACTAGCTTCATTGAGTAACTGCCCTGTGCCCAGCACTTTGTGGGGTCCCTCTGACATGCTAGGTACTGGGGGTAGATGAGCGGAAGACTAAGAAACGGCTGCCCTCGTGGAGCACAGATTCTGGCCGCCGAGACTGGACTGTGACCGTTTAAAGTTAACGTGCTCCGCCCTGGCCGAGTGGCTCCGTCGGTTGGAGCGTCTCCCGTACACCGAAATGTCGTGGGACCAATTCCCAGTCCGAACTTGTGCATCCATGTTTCACTCTCACGTCGATGTTTCTCTTTCCCTCTCCCTTCCTCTCTCTCTAAAATCAATAAAAGCATGTCCTCAGGTGAGGATTAAAATATATATAATTAATAATAAAGTTGCCGAAACCGGTTTGGCTCAGTGGATAGAGCGTCGGCCTGCGGACTGAAAGGTCCCAGGTTCGATTCCGGTAAAGGGCATGTACCTGGGTTGCGGGCACGTCCCCAGTAGGGTATGTGCAGGAGGCAGCTGGTCGATGTTTCTCTCTCATCGATGTTTCTAACTATCTCTCTCCCTTCCTCTCTGTGGAAAAATCAATAAAATATATTAAAAAATAAATAAATAAATAAAAATAAAGTTAACATATTCTAACTTAAACAGGTTGACTTTTGTTCAGTTTAACCTTTGGTCGTTCAGTGACTAGTGATTGAGCGCCAGCAGTATATTCCTGCTGCGGAGAGGACGGTGAGCTGGTCAGACTTGATCCCTGCCCTAATGGAGCTTCTGTCTGGTCAAACAATCATATTCAGTAACCGTGGAGGGTAACTCTGACCTCTTCTTTGAAGGGAGGCTCCCAGTGCTATGAGATGACATAAGAGTGGGCCCTGACCTAGTCGACACGCCGCCAAGCGGGAAACTCCCTCTAAGCAGAGGGGAGCAAGAGGAGAAACGCAGGAAAAGGCTAGACCTGGGCATCACCGTAGCCACGAACCACAGGTGACAAGTCATCCCTTGGAATTTGGTTAATGTGAGTGAAGAACTAAACTTTTAATTTTAAAATGAAGCAGCATAAATCTGAATATATTAAATGATATGTAAAAATGAGAATATTGGAGACATTTGGAGTTAAATATCATTCAAATGAACATCACCTGATTTTTGTTGTTGTTGTTGTCGTTATTTACTTTTTAAAACATGGCTACCAGAAAATTCTAAAGGACATGCGTGGCCCACAGGTTTCCACTGGGCAGTGCCGGGCTGGACCGTGCAGATTTGGGTTCCAGGACAGCGCAGTGGGGTGTGGTTGGAAGAAAATCACAGCTGGAACCGGAGACCCATGGGTCCTGCCGGCGCACCTACTACGCACCCAGTAAACACCCCCTGAGTGGCCCTGAGCTTGTTTCCTCATTTATCTCCTAATAAATACACTGTTGGGCCTCCGGAGAGCTAGCCTTGGTTCTCCAGTAGCTCTCTGCCCCGTGCTCCCTGGGAGGCCCTGAAGCGGCCCCTGGGCCTCAGTTTCCCCTGCTGGTAGAGCCCGATGAGATGGGGGCGGGGCGGGTTACCGTTCTTCGTCCGTCTCAGCAGAAGACTTGGGCGGAATCCGACGAACTCGGGGCGGGTTTCGTCCCGGGTCCCTCAGGGGAGCCTGCGAGGTTCTGGGTGAGACAGTCGACCCCCGTGGCCCCCACATCCACCAGGAAGAGGTGCCCTTTGCTTTGTGGTCTTAGGGGGAGGAGGGAGAGGAGCCCCATTTTACTACTGTGAGTCCTCGGGTTCTCCAGGCAACGCCCAGCGCAACCTCCACGTCCCCCTGCCCCACACAATGGAACTTTCGCGAGCCGCTGCCGGACGCGGTTACCATGGGGACGGCCCCCGCGGCCGGGGGAGACCAGACCAACGGGTCTGCGGGGAGGCCGAGTGTCGGTCCCGTCCCGTCCTCCATCGGGGGGACCTGTGAGTGACTCCAGGGGACAGTCCCTTTGTGGGTCCCTCTGGCCCAGCGAGGGCAGCCCTCGTGCGTTCCTGGCTTCGCGAAGGTGCGTGTAGTGGGCCGCCCGCGCCGCGCCGCGCCCCCCCTTTCCCGGTGGTAGGTCCCGGGCGGGGCTGCGCACGCGCGGGCCGGCGGTGGCGGCGGGCCGGCCGGTGGCCCCGGCGCTGGTTTGGAACCCGGCTCCTGCGGCGGGTCAGGTACGTCTCCGCCCCGGGCTCTCCCGAGGCCTGAGGCCGGGCGTTCCCCAGGGACCAGGGTGTTCGGCCAGCGGGAGCCGGGCGGCGGGACGGACGGAGGGCGACGGACCGGTTCACCGCAGGTGGCCACCGCCCCTCCAAGTGTGTTTCCTCGATTGTAAATTGGGATAGTGATTATCCATTTATGTATATGTATATGTATATGTATATGTATATGTATATGTATATGTATATGTATATGTATATGTATATGTATATGTATATGTATATGTATGTGTGTGTGTGTGTATATATATATGTATATATTAAGTTTATTTCAGGGAGAGGGAGAGCAGCAGAGGTAGAAACATGCCCGCCATCGGGCCAAGGTGCCCTGACCGGGAATCGAAGGTGGCCTCCTGGTTCATGGATCAGCCCTCAACCACTGCGCCACACCGGCCGCGTGTGATCACCGCTTTGGGTTGGCTGTGAAGGGCGAGGAAGGGAACGTTTGTTCTCTACCGTCAGGTGCATCCACCAGCCCCGGTGGCCTTGTACCTGCGGGGCACGTACCTGCTTGGCTGGCTCTGAACTGGCGGGTGTGTGGTGTGTGTGTGTGTGTGTGTGTGTGTGTGTGTGTGTGTAGACACGGATCCCTTTGAGCAAAGACTGGCCTTCTTGTTAGACTAAAATAAGATAATGGACATTGTGGCCCTTTGCGAACTGTAAAGCTCTGCACAGTGATGAATGGTGGTCGGCACCAGCGCGGAGGAATAGGCCGTCTCTTGAAGCCCAGTCCCGCCACCTTCCCACGGTGTGATGGGGGCAGGTTCCCTAGCTGCTTATATACAAGGCATCCAGCAGTGCCCTGGCTGGTTTGGCTCAGCGGGTAGAGCGTTGGCCTGCGGACTAAAGGGTCCCAGGTTCGGTTCTAGCCAAGGACACATGCCTGGGTTGTGGGCTCCATCCTACCCCCTCCCCCAGTAGGGGGCGGGCAGGAGGCAGCCAATCAATGATTCTCATCATTGATGTTTTTATCTCTTTATCCCTCTCCCTTCCTCTCTGAAATCAATAAAAATATTTTAAAAAGAGAAAAAAAGAAAGAAATCCAGCATTGGGCCCAGCCACAGTGGACCCGCAGGAAGCAATACTAGTTAGTGTTCGTTACTGTGCCCTTTTCTTTTTTGAGTTAAAATCTTTCTGGATAGTCCTGTTTCATTCTTGTTCTGCCCGCTACAGACATCAAATTAATCGCCCTCCCTCTTCCACCCGTTTTATTTTTTCTCCAGCAGGAGCCATGCCAGGGCCTTCCACGGTGTTTTGGATGACGTGGTAGCACAGTTTAAAGTGCCCTCAGCATCTTGGTCCCCACTGCTGTCCGTCCACCATTAGCTGCAAACGTTCTGGTTTGTCCACGTCCTAAAGTGCCGTGCCCAGGCCCAGAGGCCTTCATTCCACAGCCTGTGTGTCCACTGCTTTTTTCATCACACACACATCTACCAGTAAAACACTCGTGAGCACACACCCCTAAATATCTTTATTTTCATTTATTTAGAAATCATATATACATATACTCTGTATTGTATATTGTAAAACGTCCAAAGAAACTTTTAAACTTTTATCATTAATTTTAATGATATTAATTTCTATTTTTTTAAAATTTATTTTATTTTATTTTTTACAGAGAGGAAGGGAGAGGGATAGAGAGTTAGAAACATGGATGAGAGAGAAAGATCCATTAGCTGCCTCCTGCACTCCCCGCACTGGGGATGCGCCCGAAACCAAGGTACATGCCCTTGACCGGAATCGAACCTGGGACCCTTCAGTCCGTAGGCCGATGCTCTATCCACTGAGCCAAACCGGTTTGGCGTTATTAATTTCTACATCACTGAAAACAGCAGTTTTTCTACATGTTTTTATTGAAAAGATACCTTGCTAATTGTGATGGATTTATACTATGAGTTAGTTAGTTAGTTAATCCTCACCCAAGGATATTTTTTACATTGATTTTCAGAGAGAGTAGAAGGGAGGGGGAGAGACAGAGAGAGAGAAGCATCAATATGAGAGAGGCACATTGATTGCTTGCCTCCAGCACATGCCCCAACCAGGTACGTGTGTTTGACCGGAATCGAACCTGGGACCCTTCAGTCTGTGGGCTGATGCTCTACCCACTGAGCCAAACCGGCTAGGGCTGAGTTGTTTTTTAATGATAGTTGATATAAAACCTTATTTCAAATAGTCTTGAAGTTCCCTTCTTTTTTGGTCTGCTTCTTGTCAGATATAATTACTGACCGTCCTCGGGTTATGTCGGACTCAACGTACGTCGTTTCATGGTTACGTTGCCATCTCCCATTTATAAAAAAAAGAAAGTTCCGTCATTTCGACGTATGTACATATGTGCTTTATGTTTGTTTTTTTTTTTTAATTAAATCTTTATTGTTCAGATTATTACATTTGTTCCTCTTTTTTCCCCCCCATAACTCCCCTCCTCCCAGTTCCCTCCCCACCCTCTGCCCTCACTCCCTACCCACTGTCCTCATCCATAGGTGCACGATTTTTGTCCAGTCTCTTCCCGCATCCCCCACACCACTTCCCCCCCCCAAGAATAGTCAGTCCACTCCCTTTCTATGTCCCTGATTCTATTATAATCACCAGTTCATTCTGTTCATCAGATTATTTATTCACTTGATTCTTAGATTCACTTGTTGATAGATGCATGTTTGTTGTTCATAATTTGTATCTTTACCTTTTTCTTCCTCTTCCTCTTCTTAAAGGATACCTTTCAGCATTTCATATAATACTGGCTTGGTGGTGATGAACTCCTTTAGCTTTTCCTTATCTGTGAAGCTCTTTATCTGACCTTCAATTCTGAATGATAGCTTTGCTGGATAAAGTAATCTTGGTTGTAGGTTCTTGGCATTCATCACTTTGAATATTTCTTGCCACTCCCTTCTGGCCTGCAAAGTTTCTGTTGAGAAATCAGCTGACAGTCGTATGGGTATTCCCTTGTAGGTAACTGAGTTTCTTTCTCTTGCTGCTATTAAGATTCTCTCTTTGTCTTTTGCTCTTGGCATTTTAATTATGATGTGTCTTGGTGTGGTCCTCTTTGGATTCCTTTTGTTTGGGGTTCTCCGCGCTTCTTGGACCTGTAAGTCCATTTCTTTCACCAGGTGGGGGAAGTTTTCTGTCATTATTTCTTCAAATAGGTTTTCAATATCTTGCTCTCTCTCATCTTCTGGCACCCCTATAATTCTGATGTTGGTACGCTTGAAGCTGTCCCAGAGGCTCCTTACACTATGCTCGCATTTTTGGATTCTTTTTTCATTCCGCCCCTCCGGTTGGGTGTTTTTTGCTTCCTCGAATTTCAAATCATTGACTTGATTCTTGCGCTCCTCTGGTCTGCTGTCGGGAGTCTGTATAATATTCGTTATTTCAGTCTGTGTATGCTTAATTTCTAGTTGGTTCCCCAATATAACATCGAGGGTCTCATTAGTTTTCTTGTAGATCTCATTAAGTTTATCGGCGGCTTCTAAACAGTTCTTGAGAGACCTTAAAAGTGTGGTTCTGCATTTATCAAACCTACAGACAATTTGCTTCATTCTCCCTAGTAAAGAAATTTTAGGCAAAGAAAAACCTAAGAAAATCTTATCAAATAGTATCTACTAACTATAGTAAGATTTCTAAGTGTCAGATTTTAAGTCTAGTGTTATGAAAATTGATATAGGCCATACTTTTATTAGCACTTTAAAAAATGAGATCTAAAATAAATTCAAATTATAAACAGAAATTGCTAATATTACATTACTGTTAGGCAATTATATTGTAGTTCAAGTATTATGAGAGATTTTTTAAAATATATATTTTATTGATTTTTTACAGAGAGGAAGGGAGAGGAAGAGAGAGTTAGAGGCTTCGATGAGAGAGAGGCATCGATCAGCTGCCTCCTACACACTTCCTGCTGGGGATGTGCCCGCAACCAGGGTACATGCCCTTGACCGCAGGTCGACGCTCTATCCACTGAGCAAAACTGGTTAGGGCATGTATGAGAGATTTTAACAACCAAATTTCAAGAACCCACTAATAAGCTAAGTTACTAGAAAATTGCCTCTTTATAGCAGACGGGCAAATGAGACCTTTCTAAACAGATTAGGATGTCTAGAGAACATTTGTGGAATAGAAACAGCTAGCAGTTATAACTTAAAATAGACAAGAAAAGGCAGTGGTTTGGCCTTTTCTATGAGGTCTGGGTTGTTCACTTTGGCCACATAGAAATTTTCCCATCCAAGAAATTGGGTATCTGACAACTTCTCAATGAACTGGGAAATGTTCCGGTTTATGTGCTACAACTTTAAAAGCTGTATAGAAGGATCAAGAGGATACAAGAGCCCTGGCTGGTTTGGCTTAGTGGATAGAGCGTTGGCCTGCAGACTGAAGGGTCCCAGGTTCAATTCCGGTCAAGGGCACATGCCTGGGTTGCGGGCTCATTCCCCGGTGGGGGGCTTGCGGGGGGCAGCTGATCGATGATTCTCATCATTAGTGTTTCTCTCTCTCTCTCCCTCTCCTTTCCTCTCTGAAATCAATAAAAATATATTTTAAAAAATAAAAGAGGATACAAGACATTATCTAAATAATTTCTATAAGACACTGTTAGTAGAAACATTGGTCTTGGCTATTCTCTGTGAGAAAGTTTTCTAAAATCTTCCTGTCTAATAAGATTCCAGTGCTTCTAAAAGGATGATCTTTCAAATTGTAGCATAGGTAGGTCTTGCTTTGCAAAAGATATTCTTTTTGCTTCAGAATCTAGCAGTAAGGACATCCTTTTCAATGATATCTAATCATTCTGAATAAATTACTATCAGAACATATTTATGGCACCATGTGACAGCTGACACCATTAAAACATTTTGGTCAAGCATGTCAAACTTGTGGCCCACGGTCCACATGCGGCCCACAACGAATATTTTTGTGGCCCAGCCAATATAACGGTATATAAGAAACGTTTTAATAAAAATTTCATAACTTAATTTTTACAATATCCTGTTATACATAATTATTAATAATAAATTACAACATTCACTAATGACTGATTACTATAATCGTGTTGCATTCATTTCTCTTACGTGCTTTACACGCAGGCACACCATTTCTCTCCACTAATACCAGCAGCGAGTATTTTAGCAGCCCATTGCCACGTCGTTAGTCTTGGACTGGCTTGTTTGGTGTGGGCAACAGGAAATACCTCGCTTTTGGAGAACAAGAAAAATAGGTTTATTTGCATTATGCTTACTAATTTATGCAGTTATTCAGTGTCTGGTAAGTTAATGTTCACGAAAAAATATTAATTTTTATTAAAATGTTCTATTATTTTATGTTAATAACTCACTGATTTCAGCCTTTTGTATTTAGCATGTCCCTATCGAAAATAAACCTATGTTTCTATGAAAATTGAAGCTTTTGTTTTTTGCAGCCTAGATAAACTTAAACCTTTTTTATTTGGCCCGTGTTAGCCTTTGAGTTTGACATGCTTGATTTAGGTCATATATCTGAAAGAGATTAAACTCATATGGCCAAAAAAAAAAAAAGAAAAGCAATACATATAGTTCACCTTTCTTCTGAATTCTCTAACAATAGTATCTGTTGTTATCTAGGAGCGGACTTTTTAATGTGGGGAGGTAAAAACAACCACAACATTAAGACTCTTTACCCACAGTGATAAAGGGGAATTAAAGGCAGTCAACTCCCTTCTGGGCAACAGCAATATCCCACAGTGGTCAACACTTCTCTCCATAGTTAAAATTTTCCCCATGGTTCTTTACTTAGCAAAAGGAAGATATCAATTATAATATAGATAACAGAAATTAACTTCTATTTTTTTTAGATTGATTTCAGTGAAGTCTCTGATAGAAAATAAATGTTATAAAATGTACCAAATTGTAAATGTATGTGCAATTACTTCTATACATTTTATCTGGCTTTGGCCTATAATTTTCATGTTTGAGATAAAATTAAGTATTTATTTTCTACACTTCTTCCTATAATTTAGGACTTCACAACTTAAGACTGTTCACATTTTAAGTACCTTTAAGATCTACACCCTGCTGCTCATCTCTTTCCTATTCCTCTAGGCAGCCAGCTCCCTGTGGAATTTCTTCAAAGACACATACTCTACTTTCTATTTAGGAAAAGTACATCTGGAATCACTCAAAATACTAAAATCACTCAGTGAGTGAAATCACTTAACACACTAGCTCCAGGGGTATATTAACCCTTAAATTATCTAAACAGACAATAAATCAGAAGATGATAAGCAAGCCATCTTCATGAGTTGCAAGGTTGTTCAGTCAATTAAAAATAAGAAAGAAAGAAAGAAAAAAAAAAAAGTGTGGTTCTGAACTCTATATCTTCCATGGACAATTTTGTCCTGTTTCTTTGTCTCCGCATTTTGTTATGCTTCCTTGGTGCACCCCCTAGTGGTCTTTGTGCGCAGTCTTATAGTTAAACCTTGATTGTTGTAGCTAATACCAGGGAGGGTTTGACCTCCAGGCCAAGTGGCTATGAGAATCAGCTGTGTCTGCAGTGAGAGAACTTCTGTCCTCTAGGGAGGTGCTAATCTAGCCTTTGCCTGAGGCTATCCGCAAATGCCTGTGTGCAGGGCTTGGGCGGGGCGGGTCGCACAGGATCAACAGGGTGGGCTGGAGAGAGCAGTTATGGCGGCTCTCAGTCCTGTCCCCAGGGGCTCTGCCTCTCTGAGTCCCAGCACCCGCTGCAAAGCTCAGAGAGAAAGCTGCACTCGCTCTGACTGAAGCCAGACAGTCCCGCTTCTCCCGTTTGAGTCTGGGTCCCTAAAGACTCGCCTGTATCTGGAGCTCAGAGTCTGCGACTCCCTCCCGATTGAAAACGCCAACCGCGCCCTCCGCCGCCAGCCTGCTCCGCGCTCCGCACCTCAGAATTTGACTTCAGCACTGCGCCTCCTCTGAGTGTCCGTATGCGTTTCTCTTTCCTCCTAGTTGTAGGACTTCCACTCAGCCAGCGTTCCTGTGGTTCTGGGTGATGTCCCTTCCGTTTTTTGGTTTCACTTTTGAAGTAGTTGTTCAAGGCAGCAAACTCTGGCGTTAACCTATGCCGCCATCTTGGTTCTCCTGGGTTTTTTTTAAAATATATTTTATTGATTTTTTTAACAGAGAGGAAGGGAGAAGGATAGAGAGTTAGAAACATCGAACAGCTGCCTCCTGCACACCCCCCACTGGGGATGTGCCTGCAACAGAGGTACATGTCCTTGACTGGAATCGAACCTGGGACCCTTCAGTCCGCAGGCCGACGCTCTATCCTTTGAGCCAAACCAGTTAGGGCGCTTTATGTTTTTTATTATTTATTTACCACAAGTAAAAAAGGTCAGGAATTGTTATCTTTCTTTTAATTTTTTTTTACTGTTTCACTTCATTGCTGCTGCTGTGTGTGCTCCATGTGAGTGACTAGGTGCTTATGCAGGCGGGTTCCGACGTACCCCGAGGACCTACTGTAGCTCATAAAGTGGTGAAAGAAGGTCTCAGACCTAGGACTAGCGGGAGGGAGAGCTCTGCTACTTTCCCTGCTCCCTTGTGCTTTCACTATTGTTATAGTCTGTCTACAGTTTCTTGGAATATTTTTAAGCTACTTGTGTGTTATGAGTTAAAACTGGGTAATGTATGGGAAGTAATGAACCTTGACCCCTGTCTCACACAATATGCGAAGTTAATTCCAGATGATCATAGTCCTAAGTGTGAAAGTTAAACAATAAAAATTAATATATGAAAATGTCATTTTTGGAGTAGGAAAATTTTCTTAAATAGGACACAAACACTAATCATTAAAAAACAAAACAAAGCATGGTAAATTAAATTCCATTAAAATCAAGAACTTCTTTCATCAAAAAGAAACCAATAAAACAAAAAGGCAACTTTCAGACTAGGAGAAGATATTTTCAGTATTCCCTATATATACAACAAAGAACTTGTATTCATCATATGTAAAGAACCCTTACACACTAATAAAATAAAATAAAAAAGATAGACAACCCAAAGGAAAAAAGGCAAAAACTTGAATAAGCATATCACAAAAGAGGGTATCCAGATGTCCAGTTAGCATATGAAAAAGTGCTCGATTTAATTAGTGGCTAGGGAAAAGCAAATGAAACGCAATGTAATCCCACCTCGTATCTTCCAGAATGACAAAATAATGCTGGGACAGCCCTGGCCAGGGTGGCTGATTTGGCCGGAGCATCATCCCACACACTGGAAGGCCGTGGGTTTGATTCCCTCATCAGGGCACATACCTATGTATGTGGGTTTGATCCCTGGGGGGCCGATTGATATTTCTCTCTCTCCCTTCCTCTCTCTATAGATTTTTTTAATTAAAAAAAAATAATAAAATGGAGTCTAGGCAGTGGCTGTTGCCTAGTGTGATTCTTACCAGCGTATGGGAGTATGTTCCTTGCTCCCAGACTGTGAATCTGGTGATGTCAACTTGTGACAAAACTTAAGACCGGCAAGTTAGGCGCTTGCCTGTGGGTGACATAACCTGCAGAGCCACGCACACCTCTGTTCACAGTCCAGCTCCAGCTCAGGACCTTCGTCTTTCTGGACCTGATCTGTCAGGTGGGGATGAGGGGAGCTAAGCAAAGGACGGCGAGACTTGAGACACGACGTGCAGAGGTTTTAGCGCACTGCCGACCTGGCACGTAGCGAGCAATCAGCACGTGGGAGCCGTTACCAGGATGGTGAGCAGCCACCTACGATGTACGTTTCCTGGTTTCAGGGCAGTGACATACAATCACAGACCCGGCTGTCTGTACCCCCGACGTGTGCTGCCGGGAGCGCTGACGGTGCCTCAGGCCGAAGATGCCTCTCTTTGGGAATACGTTCAGTCCGAAGAAGACGCCCCCTCGGAAGTCTGCCTCGCTCTCCAACCTGCATAACGTGAGTGCCGGTCCTTGGGTCAGCCCGGTGCGCAGGGGACAGAGTTGTCGGGTCTCTGTAGGGAGTGGGTTCTGCAGAGGCGAGCGCGTAGGAGAGCACCCTTTCACTCCTCTTGCCGTGGCTAAAGTCAGTTTTAACTCCTACTCGCTCAAGAGCCTAATAAGCAGTCCACCTCGCGATGATTTCTGGCTCCAAATATTACCCAGGGGGACGTCACTTTAGTCCCAGGGCGCGGCCAGGAGTCGACTTAGTCGTGTGTAAGAATCAAATCATTCTGAAAGGATGTTTGCCACCGTTAATGGCGTTCAGAAGGGTATGTCACAGCCCCGCGCCATTTCTAAGCTCCTCGCGGGCAGAGCGGTCACATTCTCTCTGAGCACCCAGGCCTGCTCTGTGCGGGGTGGGTGCTCAGTGCGTTGTAGAAACATCAGAAAAATACATTAAAAATACGTGCCTAGCTTTTTCGGAAAACATCCTGGTATATCAAGCAGTATGTTTCTTACAGTTGAGAATTTTTTGTTGCACTTACTTGATTGTCTGATTTTTGTTTTGTTTTTTTTAAATATATATTTTATTGATTTTTTACAGAGAGGAAGGGAGAGAGATAGTCAGAAACATCAATGAGAGAGAAATATTGAGAGAGAAACATTGATCAGCCGCCTCCCGCACACCTCCCACTGGGGATGTGCCCGCAACCAAGGCACATGCCCCTGACCGGAATCGAACCTGGGACCCCTCAGTCCGCAGGCCGACGCTCTATCCACTGAGCCAAACCGTTATGGCTTGATTGTCAGATTTTAAAAATATTAAATGTGCTGGGTGATGACTAGAGGAAAGAAGTGAGTTATTGGGGTCCTGTCGTTAGGAGAGGCGCTGGGCCTGGAGCCCGGGTGCCGGCGCCTTGTGACGCTAGCACGCAGCGTCTCCCCACAGCTGGATCGGTCCACCCGCGAAGTGGAGCTGGGCCTCGACTACGGAACCCCCACTATGAACCTGGCGGGACAAAGCCTGAAGTTTGAAAATGGCCATTGGGTAGCAGGTGGGCTGATTTCCTGCCATTTTGCCCACCAAGATGATGGAGGGGCTCCCCCCACCCCCTGGTAACGGCTGGTCTGTCTGCCCCCAGAGACCGGGATCAGTGGAGGCGTGGACCAGAGGGAGGCTCAGCGCCTCCGGAGGCGGAACCAGCAGCTGGAGGAGGAGAACAACCTCTTGCAGGTGAAGGTGGAGGTCCTGCTCGACATGGTGAGGACGGTGATGGGCAGGGCTGCCTGGGCTTGGCTTTGGCGGGAGGCTCCGCCCCAAGTCGGTCCATCCAGCTCGCACCCTCTGAGTGCCCGTTGGCCCGGGAACATTGAATCCAAAGATACAAAGGCAAATCGGGCGCCGTCCCTACCTTCAAGCACTCACGGGCGGCGGGAGGGGGCGGTAAGCGCAATGCCCGTGCCTCCTGGTAGGGCCTGGGGTCAGCACGTGATAGAGAGTGACTCTGTGGAGACGGAGGGGCGCCCCTAGGAAGGGATATGGGAGCTGAATGGGGAGCGATAAGAGGAGGGCGGGGCGGGGCTGACGCAGTCCAGGGAGGGCCGCCTGCTCCTGTGCCACGCGGGCACGCGTCAGTGCCTGGCGGCACCTGCCCGCACGCACTCTGCATCGGCCTCCGTTTCCTGTGGCTGTTGAGAACCCAGCAGCCTGCTGGGCCTGGAGGTACAGGCGGAGGCTGACGGAGAGGCAGGAGAGCGGGCACGGGAGTGGTTAGAGCCTGCGCTCTGGAGCTCGACGTCCTGGCTCCTGGCCCAGCTCCACGCTGCTCGTGTGTCTTCAGGCAAATGACTCGCCTGATCTGCGTGAAGAACTCCGCTTCTTCAGCCATAACACAGACACGACGGCGGCTGCACCTGTGAAGTTAATAGCACGGTGAAGCTGGGGGCGTGGTGGGTTTCTCAGGAGTCAGCTCCTCTTCCACAGCCACTGGCCTCTAGCGACGATGGCTCTGTCCCTGTCGGGAATGTAAGTCCAGGGAAGAGCCTGATGAGGAAAGCGGCGCTCTTTTCTAAGCATCGTTATGGGAGCTGCAGCCCAAAAGCAACCAACCCTTTAGCTTAGAATTACCAGCATCTGCCGTTTTCTCTTTTTCTTCAAATTATAAGAGCAAGTTTATTTAGACATTGACGGAGGTAGAAGTGAGCTGGCTGGGCTGTGTGGGCTCAGGAAACAAGTGACAGAAGCAAAGGAAGGGCCCTGGGAGCTTGGGAGAGGGAAAGGCAGAGGCAATGCTCCGAGGAAAGAGGGGGCGGGAGGACAGCGTGCTCCAGCCTTCTGTTCCCTGAGGCCTGCCGTCCTGAACAAGGTCAGTGCCAGGCGATCCTAGTGACCCAAACCGCCGGCAGAGTGGATTGTGATGCTCTTCAGTACTCGAGGTGGTTACGTTCTGCCCGGTCACAAAGGGGTTCCTTCCTGGAGGCTGGCAGGCCGCGGTAGAGAAATGCCAAGCGCCTTTACCCGTGGGCAGGGCTAGCCTCGCGAACCTGAACGCGGCCCACAATGTCCTCCTCTCTGACAGCCCACCGCTTTCCTTCCAGTTCTCTGAGACCACTGCCGAGTTCCAAATAATGAAGAAGGAGCTGGAAGAACTGAAGAGTGTCAACCGGAGAAGGAAATAAAGACCCCAAGACGTTGGTTAGGAGAAGAGGGAGAACTCGACTGACCGGAGGAGTGGACTATAGCTGAGGTGTTTAAGCTGAAATGGTAGATTAGGCCCCTGGAGAGAGGCCCACAAATGGGGCCAGAGGCACTGGCACCCTTGAGTTCACAATGGAAGGGTGATGACATCCTGGAGGAAATCGGGGTTCCGGGGCAGTACATAGCAATGTCCTCTGGCTGCCCAGCTCAGGGAGGCCAGGCTGTGAGCAGGCCTCTGAGGTCTGGAGCAGTGCTAAGACTCTGGGTGCTCTCCAGTCACTTCACATATAAACGCACTGTCCCAGCTTCACTCTCACTGGACGGACTCTCTTGGGAGAAGCAGCTGGAGTCCATCAGAGCCTCCCCTCACACGGTGTTCGGGGCGTGGCCCCAGTTCTAAAGAGCGCTGACCTCCGCCCTTCAGGCCCCCCTCTGTGTGCTTTAAAGAGTGTTTGCTCCCCAAATCCACGTCCTCTGGCTTCAGTTTCTCAGCAGCATCACCAGTCTTCTATGCAACACTATATTTTTTGCTACTTTCTTGTTTATACTACTTTTTCCCCTTTTTTTTCAATAAAGATTTTAAAAATAAAAACAAAGTGTCCTTTTAAAAAATATATTTTATTGTCCAGACAGTATGGCTTAGTGATTGAATGTCGATCCAGAAATATATATATCAATATATATATATATTGATTTCAGAGAGAGGAAGGGAGAGATAAACATCAATGAGAGAATCATTGATTGGCTGCCTCTTGCATGCCCGCTACTGGGGATCGAGCTTGAAACTCAGACATGGGAATTGAATTCTGACCTCCTAGTTCATGGCTCAGTGATAACCACTGAGCCACATACTTCTTTTTTTTTTTTTAATATATTTTATTGATTTTTTACAGAGAGGAAGGGAGAGAGATAGAGAGTCAGAAACATTGATGAGAGAGAAACATTGATCAGCTGCCTCATGCACATCTCCTACTGGGGATGTGCCCGCAACCCAGGTACATGCCCTTGACCGGAATCGAACCTGGGACCTTTCAGTCCGCAGGCCGACGCTCTATCCACTGAGCCAAACCGGTTTCGGCCACATACTTCTTTAAATTAAATGATGTTACACAATCTCCATGACCAGAGGGAAAAAAAGAAGCATCAATTCTTGGAGAAGTGGAACCTGGAGTCTGAGCTGTTCCATCAAAGGTAGGATTTTCAGGTTGTGGGAAACGTCCCCGTTGCAGGGGAAGCACTCCAGCATCTGGGGCCTTGGCAGAGGCTGCCCTGGGACAGAAACCCGCTGTCTTCCCCATTCCCTGCTCCCTGGGGAGTTGGGACTATCCTGGTCCTGGCAGGGACCAACAAGTTGGGGTGGGGCTGGCTTCCTGGAGGGGGAGTTTGGTGCCTGAGTCTGAGCTGAGCTGCTCTGGCTGGAGGAAGGAGCCAGCCGGTCAGTCAGAGGGATTCAGCTGCCAAAGAGGGAGGGCACTGCGGGTGGAGACAGCGCCCAGGGATGGCGACCATGGGCAGCAGGTACCTGCCTGGGGGGCTCGGGTCCTTGCACACATTCTCACTTCCTCCTCAACTCAGTCCTGTGGAGCACAGACTGTCAGCATGCCTATTTGCAAACAAGGAACCGGACTCCAGTAGTTTCAGAACCTGGGCTAGGATCATAGACTCGCAGCCACAGGGGAGGAGGAGCGAGGTGGGGGATGGCCCCAGCGGCTGCTGTTTGTAGTCCATCCTACTGCCCACTCGATGGGGCATGGGTAGAAGCTCCAGCCCATAGGATACAAATACACACGGCATAAGTCTCCAGGTGCAGGCAATGGGGCCATGGAGTTTGCTTGTTCCTAGGCCACTGTGGTTGGCAAACATTAAAAGAGCACCCTTGATGCCAGGTACCTATTTCTAATTCTCACGAGAATTCGTCCGTCGTATCATCCCCTGCTTTTAGCTGCAGAAAGCATCCCAGAAGGTGACAGCTGGAAGGGATAGAGCCGGGACTAAACCTTGGGAGTCATGAGAGCGGATTTGGTTGTCACAGTGATGTGGGTCCCCCTGCTCACCACCAGGGGCACCCGACCGGCTGGAGCCTGAATGTGGGACAACTCTGCAGGGAAGAAGGACTTGTGAGCGATCATGGAGGCAAGCCGTTGGTGAGTTTGAACAGAGGAATGCTGTGATCAACTTGGTTTCCAAAGGCTCCCTTTGGCTTCTCTAGTGAGAACAGACTGCAGGGGGCAAGGCTGGGACCAGGGAAGTGGCAGGAGAGGAAGTGAGTGGGCAGACTCTAGACATGCATTGAAGGTGGAGCCCACTGATGGGCTGTGGGGTGTGAGCAGAGTCAAAAATAATCCTGGATGTGAGGGCGATCTGGCTGCGACATCTGTCACCCCATTGATCGCCAGGGTTGATTCGGCTGATCTGGCTGGCTAGACGGGTGTCCCCTCCTCCCTCACCGATCCATGTGCGTCCCTCCCGAAGCTGCGCGCTCGGTTGGTCAAAGAGGACTACCTCCCCCCCGCCCCCCCCCCCCCCCCCGCCAGAAGAGGACCCTCTCTGCTGTTAGAACCTCCAAACAAGCTCTCAAAAATAATCCTATTGACAAAAGCCCCTTAAGTGAAAGGGAGGGAAAGTTACCCATATCACCACTCTAACCTTCCTCCGCCCCCCCCCCCGCCCCCACCCCCATGGAGATGCTATATACTTTCAAGGTCTTACCTTTTTAGGCAGACACATTCTTCAGGTTCTGGCTAAAATTCTTCCTCCTCAAAGCCTGTATTAACCAAATCTACTGCTCACGGGGCACCCGAGTAAAGAGTGCTCTCCAGGGGACATTTATTATCTCTTGTAATCACTACAACAATTTCATGACTTTCTGTGTCAGATTAGGGAAGAATTGTCACGGAAGAGCTGAGGTAGAAAGTCCTGCTGGTGGGAGGGGAGTGAGTGCAGGATCAGAGGCAATAGCCAGGGAGATTTACAGTTTGAGGCCTAGCAAGGGGTCCATATGCAGAACTATCCGGATAAGAGCTAGTGTGTGTTTCTATTGGGTGGGGGGTGGGGGGCTTCTATCTTTTCTAAGATTCTCAAAGGGATCTCGGCCCTCCACCAATCCAAATTAAGAGCTATTTTACGCATTTCAAATCTAACAGGACAGAAACAGGGATGGTGGACATCGTGGATTTGAGGGATAGGGAATGAGAAGAGCTCAGGGGTGGGGTTTTAGAACACCCCATCTTCATCCAAAGGCAGTCCCGTGCACCAGGCACGGGCCATCATCGCTCACTTGGTTGTACCCTAAGTTGCGTGACCTGGCATCAGTCCACACGTCTTCTTTGCTGCCATTGAGCATTCTCCTTCAAACCCTCCGTGCAGCCACCCTCCCCTGGTTCTCCTTCCTCTCCAGCAGCTCCTTGAACCTGCTGGTGTGGGGGAAGAGGCCCCCCGCTCCCCACGCCTTTAAAAAAATCTTTATAGGTATGACTACGCTTTTAATGAAACATTTTATTATGGAAAAATACACACATAAAATTTACCATCTTAGCCATTTTCATGTATACAACTCAGTGGTATTAAGTACATGCATGATGTGCCACCGTCATCGCTATCCACCTCCAGAAAACTTTTCATCTTGTAAAACTGAAACTCTCGCCGGGACCGGTTTGGCTCAGTGGATAGAGCGTCGGCCTGCGGACCTAAGGGTCCCAGGTTCGATTTTGGCCAAAGGCATGTACCTTGGTTGCGGGCACCTACCCAGTAGGGAGTGTGCAGGAGGCAGCTGATGGATGTTTCTCTCTCATCAATGTTTCTAACTCTCAATCCCTCTCCCTTCCTCTCTGTAAAAAAATCAATAATATATTTAAAAAAACAAACAAACTGAAACTTTCTATTCATTATACTAATTCCCACTTCCCCTCCCCCCAGCCCCTGGCAACCACGTTTTTACTTTCTTTGCTTTTAAGTATTCTGCTGACCTTTTAAAAAATATTTTTTTTATTGATTTTTTTTTTTTAAGAGAGAGAAAAGAGAGAAACATCTCCTGCAGGCCCCCTACTGGAGGTTGAGTCTGAAACCTGGACATATGTCTCCTCCAGGAATCTGGGAATTAAACCAGGGACGTCTGGGTGCATGGCATGATGCCCTCCCCTTGAGCCACACTGGCTCTGCGACCTTTAAATGCCTCATTGCACAGGGCTCTGTCCTCTGTCTTCTCTTCCCATTCTGCCTTTGCTAGATCATCTCATCTACTCCCGAGGCTTTAAATACTCTGCACTGCCTGACTTCTCTTTTCTCCTTGTCCCATGGCAGTTGTTAATTGTTGAAAGAGCTCTTTAGCCTCAAACAGAGGATTTTTAACAAATCATGCGTCGCTCTTGTGAATACTATAAACAAATGTAACGGGTTAAAGTTTTCCTAAAACTCCTTCACATTATCATTGTGACTTTCTACTTGAAGTCCTGACGTCGGTACCTTCCACATAAGATTGCCTTTGCTATGTTGGGCTTCCAACATTTCATAAAGAGCCCGTAAAAGAATCAAAAGCCATTGGCACTGGGTTCCTAAGCTGCCCTTGCATTGATGTAGACCAAGCATGTCAAACTCCCGGCCTGGGGGGCCACATGCTAAATGAGGCACGTGGCCCCGCCGACCGCGAGTTTGACATGCTTGATGTAGATCTAGCCTACTTAAAAAAATAAACATCATTCATAAGTGTACAGCCTGATGAATTATCCAAAATGAACACACCCATGTAACACCACCCAGGGCAAGAACTTTACCAGCGGCACCCCAAAAGTTACTCTCCTGCCCCTTCCCAAGTATTAACCCCTTCTCCTCAAAGGGATCACTATCCTTCTCAGCATTGATAGATTTTGCCTGTTTTTGAACTTTATATAACAGAATCATCCAGTAGGCACCCTTTGTGACATGAAAACTTTTTGTAACCAGAGCTGCCCAGCCCATAGATGAATGAAACTGAAGGTCGTATCTGGAGGAAGTGCAAGCCCTCCTACCCCCGAATGGGTAAGTGCAGATAAGGATTTGGATGGTGCAGTCCTGAGGTTCTCCCATTCCACGGTCCATTGGCTAAAGATGTATATCAGATTATCCTTGTATATAATAACTTGTGGGGCACATTATAAAAAGAAGCATTTTCATCTATCATATAGGCAACATATTAAAATATGGCGAACACCTAATTCTGGGGAGGGTGTGGGGAAAAGGACACTTCACTCACTATTGTGAAACTATATACTTTCAAGGGCAATGAACTAATACCTAGCAAAATTTTAAATGGTCATACTTTTCGGTAGCAAATTCACTTCCAGAAATCTATCCTCCAAAAATACAGTAACCCTGTACTGTGCCTCAATTTCTTCATTTCTAAGATAAGGATAATAGTACCTCAGCACACACACAGTGCCCGCTCCGGAAGCGATAACTCTTGCCTTTGTTTTAGTATATGGGTCTGTTTATTTGATGTTTTCCCAAAAGACCAATTAACCTTCAAATCTCTAACTTATCCTACCAACCAGCACACCACTCAGGTAAATGAAACTAGATGAGTTTCTCTAAGGGCGATCCCTGGGCAGCTTGTTAAAATGCA